GGATAAGGACCTTAGGAGCCTGAGTGGGTGGTGGAGAGGCCGCTGGCAGGGCAGGGGTCGCGGAAGAGGTGGTTTTGGTTTCGTGCGTGGTAGGGGCAGAGGAGCCTTTACTGGCCCAGAGTCTAGTCGTCCTGTACTAGAAACCTCTGGATCTCAAGAGACAGAGAAACCCTCAGTTGAACCGTCCCTTATTGACCAACCGTGGACCCACGACGGTTTCGAGGAGATGAAGAAGCGAGATGAAAAGAGGCGTGCAGCTGCACCACATCAACAACAACAAGCAGCAAGGTCTACACGAGGTTTCTTGCCATTTCATGGCAGGGGTGGATTTATTACCGGCCGCGGACGTGGCGGTCTTGCACGTGGCGGTTTCACGCCTTCACCGACTGGAGCACACTTCATTCCTCCTGCTGCCGCTGCCGCTGCATCAGGCAGAACGTGGTATGCGATGAAGCCCGAACGTGTCTGGACAAAGCAACACGAGGGTTTCCTGTTTTTCGACCCCACCTTGAAGCCTCGTCCCGGTCAAGGTCCAGGCTATCGGGTCAAGCTCTCTGGCAATGAAGGGAAGATTGTCAGAAGCTCCGCTCGAACCACTCAAGCAACAGAGCCTGTGCCATCTGTGGCTGCACCTTCAGAGGCGAGTGAGAAGACATTTATCGTGCGTCTACCCAAGAGGGCAGGAAAGGAGAAGGTACCAGAGCCAACTCCTGAGGTTGTTGAGACTAGTACTACCGCTGCAGATTCTCCTATCGAAGATATCTTCACAGTTCGACCGGAACTCGTGCCCCCAAGGCAGCCCATTCCAACTTCGCAGTCAGCTTCGCCTCTGGCCAATGGCCATGTGCCTTCTACACCGGTATCTGTTGTGCCTTCCACACCTGCTGTACCGACTCCTTCATCACCTGATGCCTCGAAAGAGAATATCACGTCACCTCTTTTGCAGCAAATAATGCGCGCAGCCGCAGATCAGCAGGCCAAGGAGACTGCAGATGTGCCAAACGGCATATTGCAGGAGCAGTACGACCAGAATGCGCCTGCTCTCCTTCAAGTCGAGCAACCCGCAACAAACCCGGATACTTCTGACGCCGTCCGTTCATCGATGCCTCCACCCCTGCAGACTGTGTTCTCGCCGCCATCGCAGCCCTCGCCTCCGTACGGATCACCGTATGGATATGGCTCTCCTCTACCGCCCGGTGTGGCCATCGGCCACCATGGTATGCCGTATGAGATTGCCACGGGCCGAGCAGTGTATTTGCAACACCCGACAATGTACACTCCGCGCCCGTTAGCGCATGGTATGATGACACCGCCAGGGCTTCCATATACTCCTATGCACCATCATTCTGCTAGCTCTCCGGATTTCCTTGCGCCATCACACACACCTCCTGTTAATGGTTACATTGACCCATCAACTGGCAATCCGCTCTTCGCGTTCCCTCGCCAGAGTTCTCGCATTGAGATCCGATCGCCAACCACACATTCGGATCTCAAGCAGTTGAAGAGTAGACGTCGGCCTTCCAGTTTAAGGACGAATGCAGCCTCATTTGAGCCTTCGCGTCCCGCAAGTCCCAATATTGAGTCACAGGCATACCAATCACCTGAAGATCATTCTGCACAGGATGATGCAAATTCAAGTCAAGCCAATGACCAAGTGATGCCAGAGCAAGCAATGGAGCCCACCATGTACGGGTACCCGCCATATCAACAGCAGTACTACTATCCAGAGCACTACGGGTACTCCCAGTACTACGACATGTCTCACGTTCCACAGTACGAGATGTATCCCACCGACCCACATGCTTCTCAAGTTTACTACTAGTACTAATATGTTATATCTTCTGATGCTGTTGTTTTTCTTCTGTTCTTGCTTTGGGATACATACGTACACCGCTATCCATGACCGTTTTATTACTCACGATCTTGACGTCCTCAGGTCTCAGCAGTTACCCTCACAGACTTCATATTGCTCCAATGCGTTCCTTACTCTACTCATGCTGTTTCACTTGTGTTTCTCTTACTGCAATACTTCTCGGGTCTTGAATATGATATTGGCTTGTTGACACTGTTGTTGTTGAATATTTTACTCATGTAGTTGCTTGCAATGCTCCATTTCTTCCCCACTCACACTGTCAGTATTACCATGCCATCTGTAAGACCGTGGTAAGAAGGGTACCAAAATGGAAGTGTACACGGATGTTAGTCATTCATTGACATTGGTCATCAAGCCTGTTTTCTGCGTGACACAGCAAGTAGCACTTTCTGTCCTAGACCACCACCATCACTCACCACGGGCCTTGGTCGGGCTCATCAGATTGAAAATATTGGGCCGTATTTCTCAATCAAGTGGTATGTAACAGCGAGCTAATGTCTAATTCCGTGAAAAAGCTATATTACTCCCATAATTAGATACGTTTTAGAAAGAAACACGTTCGTTGTATTCGACGCGGCTCAGACCGCTATTCAGTCTCGCAGAAACCGCACACGGGATCTTGCAGCCAGTTATTAGGATGGCATTCGCTCAGCCTTTCCCACTCGCAGCAGCAGCCCAAAAAACACAACAACCGGCGTTCGGTCCTGACTTAGCCGTGCGTCTCATTTGCCCAGAGTGCAGAGATCCAAATCCAAACATTGTCGAAGAATTTGGGAGCGGGGATCTTGTGTGCGGAAGCTGTGGACTGGTCCTGGGTGATCGTATTGTTGATACAAGAAGTGAATGGAGGGTGAGTCTTATTGTCTCCTTGATTGTTGCGATAACCCTGCACCTATTATTATGTGTCTAGACATTCGCAAACGACGAAGGCGATGATCCTTCTCGTGTTGGTGCTGCGTCGGACCCTCTATTGGAGGGTATAGAGCAACTAGATACGCTCATCAGTTTCCGTGATGGTGGCACGGGAATTGCACGCGAGCTCCAACGTGCGGCTTCTCGCTCCCAGAGCTCCCGCTCCGAGCGGAATCTTCTTACCGCGTTCCGCGACATTGGCAGCTGGTGCGATCAATTCTCGCTTCCCAAAACCATCAGCGATATTGCCAAGCAGCTATACAAGCGCTCAGATGAGGAGAAGCTTCTTCGTGGAAAACCCCTCGAGGCTGTCATTGCCGCGTGTATATTTATCGCGTGCCGCCAAGCCCACGTCCCTCGTACATTCCGGGAGATTTGTAACTTGACCCACGTGTCGAAGAAGACGCTTGGACAGTGCTACAAGGCACTTGAACAGGCTTTCAATCTTTCTCCGGGAGCTACTGCACAGGTCAATGCGAATGGAAGCAACCCGTCCACTGGCCCCGAAAACTTGCTTGTTCGTTACTGCAACCACCTTGACCTTCCTGCCAATGTCCAGTCTATCTGCGGTGATATCATTGTTGCAGCACGTCAGCATGGCGTTGCGGATGGTCGCAGTCCGGTTTCTATCGCTGGCGGAGCGATTTACTTTACTTGCCACTTACTAGGGAAACCCAAGTCTTCCCGAGATATTAGTGTAGTTGCTGGTGTCAGTGAAGGCACCATCAAGTTGGTGTATAGGTTGTACTACTTAGAGAGGGAGAAATTGGTGAAGGAGGAATGGATTAAAGAAGGGAGGGCAGACTTGGAGAGGCTTCCTGTTGAACGGTAAAGGGATGTAACCACCCTTTGTATACCGATTTGTTACGGATATTGAATTGACAGTGGTACTTATAATGATCAGCGTAGCCATTTGACATGACAGACTGCTCGTGTAAATGAGTGACATACTATGCAATACTTTTAATAGCTAGCGTTTACCGCCCCGTTTTCCCCTTGCTCCTTTTTTGTTGGCTTCACGAGCAAGAGCAACACCACCTCTGCCCTTGCTTACATTCCGTATTGCCTTTCGTACGTTGAGAACGTCATCGCCTGCGCCTTTCTCCTTTCTTACTCTCTTTACATCACCATCTAACTTCGACAGCACGGCAAGCGATGCCTGTTTTTCTTGTTCGACAGATGTTTCTGTAGCCTCGAACTGCAGGCAGTGAGTCGCGTGCGGAGATGAGGTGTGATGCTCCGAAACTTACCTTGCGCTTGACACCTCTCAGTTTCTTCTCTCCATCAAGCTTCTTGTCGAATCTGCCCATGCTTGCAGTGCTTATTCGAGTGGTAGCCAGTGTCCTCTCAATATCCTTTTTACGTTCATCCCGACCACCAGTAGCGGTTTGTGCACGAGCATGATTTTGGAGCCGCTGTCGCTCATTTTTGGCGACCCTTGATGTCCGTACATCACGGGCGGCTTTGACGGGGTCGTGGTCCACGGCTGAAAGTGATGATTAGATGAGCTTCATTCAAAATAAAAATAACAAACACGCACGAGCATCAGCCTTGACTTCATGAATCCATTGTTCCTCCTTCTCCTTATTTTTACCATCCCTACCCCAGCGGTTGACCCACTCCTGTCGCTCTTCATCCCACACCTTCTTTTCACGCACCCGCTTCTGGATACCCTTCGCAGCGGCGAAGCGCTCCCATTTTGTCGGTGGTTTGGGCTTGGGAAGGGGTTTAGCACGAGGCAGTTGTGTTGTTGGTGGAGGAAGTTGGGCAAGTGGGCCGTCTGGTGATGGTTGGGTGGGCAGGCCATAGAGTGCTGCTACTAATGCTTGGATGCCATCTCGAGCAGTCACCTGTAGGTACTCTTCAAGATTTGATCTGAAAAAAATATGTGGATTACAGTTCAATGTAATGATCCAAACAAGCGGTCGTACTTGTAACTATCCTCATCGATTGGGGTGAGGTCAGTGACAGTCAGGAAGCCAGTGTCTACGTCGAGAGGTGTCTCTTTCTCGACAGTAACAGACTGACTGGGTGAAAAGGTGAGTAATTATTGTACAAACAAAAAGAATCGTACAATTTTGCAGCATGTGATGCTAGGATATTTGAGACGTCCATTGTAGTACTTCGTTTGCACGAAAATACTGAGTGATCAGTGTTACACGCTTATTTAGCAAAAGCTTTAGATTTCAATAAAGCCAAATAACACAACACATGATGCATGCCTTCCCGTCGTGCCACTGTCGAACTCCCTTTGCACATCTTGCAGAATTCAACGCTAATTGTCTGTCAAAAGGTAGGCCATGAAGACTGAAAGCGAGGCTCCGAAGACCCCAACGCCCACGCAAACTCACGCTCAAACATCGTATACTGCACAATGGGGTACAGCACGTATGTGCCGTTGTCCAAACGTCCCCTGCGGTGATCATTATTGAATTTATATAATCTAGATATACCAATTGATCCTGCACTTCAGCAGCAATCTCAACACGCCACGTCAAGCTGTCTCTTTGTTCCTCTCCGTTCGGATACTCAATATATCCATCTTATCCAGAACAACTCCATATTCCTACCAGTACACTCACCACTATCCTCAAGCCGCGTATTCGCATTATTCATATGTTCCACAACAACCCCAAGTACAGAGGCCACAGGCCTCAACAATGGCTCCTGCAACAGCAGCAACTGCCCAGCCCGCAAATGCGAATAGTGGGATGGATACCTCCGACGTGGCAACGTTGAATGATGCTCTTGGGAGCGCGGGTGTTGATCTTCGGGTGCGTTGCTACTGGCAAGGTATTGGTTTCGGTAGTAACTATTCCGTAGGCAGAGGAGGAAAGCCTGCAGAGGTCCCATGACTCGCATCAGTCATATCGAACCTTCGAAGATAGATCACGCAAACAACCGACTACTCCTTCCTTCGACACACGCTTCTTAGGTACCACCATGCGCTCTATTGGTACGGAACACAAGGTGACAAAAATCCCCGAAGACTCGGTGAATTACTTGGCGATTGCCCTCCGTGCCCGCTTACAAGACCTCGTTACTACGATGGTTGCTGCAGCGAACCACCGTATGGACACCCAGTTTGACCGTCCGGCATGTCCATATGAGAACGGCACGCCGATGTGGAGCATAGTCGTACAGAGCGATGTCGCTAAGCAACTAGCTGCATTAGAAAAGATTGAGCGAGAGGAAGAGATGAAAGTTCGAAGAGAACGCAAAGAGCGCGCTGATATGGCTGCTGCGCATGCTGCTAACCTCGCCGCGCAAGCGTCAGGCGGCAATGCCATGGCCGTAGACGGAGACGAGGAGGGAGGTGCGAAGAAAAAGAAGAAAAAAGAAGGACCAGGTGTAACGGCGAGGAATATGTCTGAAGATGTGCGTAAAAAGATGTCGAACGCTGTCGCAAGTCAGGCTGCTGGAATTAGTTCGAAATATTCATGGATGAACGCTGCAAATGCCTCTACGGCCGCTGCCAAACCGAAGCCTGCAGCATCTTCGGCCGCTACAACAAGTACAGCTACCACTACGACCCCTGCGACTACCACAGCTCCTGCAGTGTCAGCAGCTCCAGCAACTTCATGGGCGCGGCCGTATATGGGGGGAAAGAAAGGCAGTCCGACATCACCACAAACAGCAGAGGACGATGACCGGATGTTAATCACAATGCGTGATGCAATGTTTGCCATCGAGAAGGAAAGGGGTCATGGAGGAGGTCGTGGATCCGCTCGTGGATGGTCATAGCCATTTGTACTTGCTTGTGTTGTTTAGATCGTCCGTATGGCTGATCGCTTATTTGCAATGCACCCATTTTGTGTCTGCACTTGAGCTTATTTTCATCTCAAGCATAATTTGGATTACAGTAATAGGACGGTGCTGGCGCCATGGCGAAATCGAAACGATGAATGCAGATTGCCACTTCCGAGATATCGTAGCACGTTTATGTATACGATAACATTGTTTACATTGACAGGCAAGCTGGTCACAAGCACATCTTCAGTCGGACGATATTCATCAGTGTCCCGGTGACAACTCTGCTCTGAGAATGTTTTCATTTAGAGGTCCAGGACCAGAATACTACTAACTTGAGATGTCCAGTTGTTTGTCGAAACCTTCTGGATCAAACAAGAACAAATAAATCCTGACCTGTTTAAGTTAACGACTTCGACTCCACTCCGGGAGGAATTCGGCCGGTCATACTGGTCGACGGCGTTGTGCTAAGGTTTCGCAGCAGTGACAGTTGCCTGAAAACAGATCTCAGGCGATGGTCGATACACAATAACACTCGCGTTGCTCGACCTCAATACTCCTCCAAATTCCTGTCCGTCAGTCATTTATCACTTTACCGAGGAATTATCTTCCGAGCAACATCGTTCGTGCGTGGGGAGAAAGAGTGAGATAGAAGTATACCCTTTTCTTTTCAGCGATACGATATCATCCGAGTCAGGCATCTCCTGGAGCCACATCCAAGCTTCACTACGTTGACCCTCACTTATGTGCAGTGAATTCCTGACCGTCAGGCCTGCGTCATTTAGAAACGTCACTCTGCGCTCGGGTATCGAGGAGGATTGAGCTCGCAATTTGTTATGGTTCAAACACTTACATTCTTAGTCTCGGCCCCACATCAACACCGCCCATCCGGTACATTTTCCCTCTTCTTCTACCACTCTCACAGTCTGCCTACACCATATGTCAACATGGTGGCCATTTCGTGCATGCCATGCACGGTCTATTGTTGATACTTTTCTATCAGGCAAACAGGTGTGGTGATTTTTTTTATTGCCGTCGTTGAGATCTCATGCATTCGCATTGCATCGCTGTAGCGGGTGCTCCTATTAATGATGATTGCTGGATACATAATGAAGTCTTCGATCTTCCTTTGCCTTATTTCAACGCGCACAGACAAAGACTGGGAATGATGGCCCAGGGGCCATTTTATGTTGCTGCTTCAAATAATCTGATTTTGCGTATGTTTTCCTATATTTTGATGTTGATTATCGTCGCTTGTCGCATTCTTATCCATGAATGTGGGCCGCTGATATGTTATTACTCCTTGATGGCATCTTAATTCAGCAGTTTATCAACGACGTCGGCGTTTGTAATTGTATGATCAGAATTTCTCTATCGAATGCTAAAATTACGCTGCCAGATGTCAGGCTTTAACGCGATTCGCAAGGTTTCATAATGTCGTCGGCCGAGCCTTGCAGATGCGTCTGTTTCTTCAACTTTGCCAGTGCCACCCCTCTCTGACTATCAGCCGTAGCCATGTTCGTTCTTTCACTCCACGTTCGAGGGCTTGTCGTCAGAGTCCTAAATTTCTCAAATACACAGCACCTTGTATAGATGGTTCTATAGACTGGAAGGTGGGAAATGGAAATCACTAATGGACGCTTTCCACAGAGAAAATTTGGATATGGCTGTGTGCCACCAAACAAGGAGACAAAATTTATCAGTATTGTGCAGCTGTCCTCCCATCCAATAATCAATTGCTTTTCCTCCGCGAGCCAGCCCCTTGGTAACATGAAAATCTTATCTCAACTTGCAGTGCCGATAAACTAATGATGAACTTCAAACAGGCAAAGCGACCGCCCATCTTCAAAATTGCCATTAGCTTTAGGCCTATCGCGCACTAGGAAGCTCGGCGCTATTCCTTTGAACACATTCACATAATCCGAACCCCGTTCTTAGCTAATTGCCATTGTCGCACCCGATGTCGCATGGCCTGGTTTCCACATCGATACAGCACGCCGCTGCAGCAAAAAATATAGTTCTGGATCCGATAATGACCCTGGAAGGGCATGACAAATATATTCGATCAATATCCTACTTTCCGGATGGCCGGCAAATGATTAGCGGTTCTTGGGACAAGACTACTCGGCAATGGAAACTACAGGAAGGTAAGGAGATTGAGGAAGCACGCAACGTTTGTGAATGGGGAATCTGGGCGGTGGCGGTATCCAGGGATGGACGATGGGTTATCACAGGAGGCGGAGGTCTCGGATCATGGGGAGCTCAAAGTCGTTGAGGTTGAGACAGGAATTGTAAAAAAATTTGAAGGTCACTCACGAGAGATCAGCTGCATAGATATCTCCGCAGACAGCAGGCTCCTGGCGAGCGGATCATGGGATCGCACCACGCGAATATGGAGCTTGGGCACTGGTGAACTTGTGGCTGGTCCATTCGAGAGTATTGATTGGGTGGGCGCGGTTCGTTTTTCGGCAGACTCAAAGAAGCTCGCAGTGAAGTCAGAGGCAGGGAAGTGCCTTGAGGTGTGGGATCTCCGCGCAGAGACTTTGGACGTTAGAGTTGGGGAATTCGGTGAAACACCCTTCACATCTGCGCCAGTGTTTTGGACAAACAGAAACAAAACTATCATAGCCGCATTCACCTTCACGTTCGATGATGCGACAACGATCTATGAGTTCGACGCGTTGACACTGGAGACTGTCGGAGCCGCCTTCGAAGGGCATACCAAGATTCTCCGTGGTCTAGCACTTTCATTTGATAATGCTCTCCTCGCAAGCGCTGCGGACGATAACACAATCAAGCTCTGGGCCTTCGAGTCCCGCCAGCTCCTCGCATCATTCAATGCTCGGACTCCCGAAACCCTCATCCTTTCACCCGACTCCAGTCAACTGGCTTACACGACAGGTTGCAAGATCCGTATATGCAATATTCCACTCAATATCCTGGCCAGTATCGGACGTGCACTTGAAGCACGGGGAGGTCACGGTGTACGCATTCGTCGCATATATTGTCATCTGTGCGCCAACATTTCTTTACAGGGCAGTGCAGACAAAAATGCAAGGCTTGATCGCCTGCTGAATGTTCGCATTTCATGCCTTTTTTGTTTACACAACTTATGCATTGCCGTCATTGCAGTCTCACACAACCCGTCGTTCTCCTGCATTTGGCCGTCACCGAACGACATCGCCGGTCATATTGTTCGCCAACAGGCCGCACAGACCTCCGCCTGAAATACACTCGGAGCAACCCGTTTTACTACATCACCTTCGCAATTTTTTCGCTTCTCTTCTCGTGGAATCGCCGTTCCTCCTATCTGGAAAGATCAGGCTCATGATCCACTAGATGTGTGTCTTTGTTTGAATTATTCGCTGTTAGATTGATGATCTCCCGCCAGTTCTCCGCCATACCCTCCAACCGTGTTCTCTTGGGGCAGGCCAAAACTCACTTTGATGATGTCAGTGTCCACTTTTGATGAACACTCGATGCATTATTGACTACACGTTCAGGTCGAAACAATTTCCATGCCCTACCACTCTGCACATGGCGGCTCACAGCACACACAGCAAGCACATCCTAAAGAGGAAAGTTTGCACCTCTCGAACAGAGCTATGCAGTTCCTGCAGCAGCACTTATCCTTCTGTAAGACAACACTCGTTCACGAGCCACCGGTCGTTGATGTTGCAGCTGGACGCAAGTTCACGGTAATGGGGATATTCTAACCTCTCCTTCCTTGTTTGTTGATCGGTGCCCTACAGCGGCTTGCTGCTGCCAATTTACCTCAATATAAGAAAGTTGACGACACCCGACATTCATCCAAACGGCAGCCTGGGGTGCTGCACGACACCGAGTCCTGTGACATTGATTCACTCCCGGACGTGCATTAGTGCAAGGCGTTCTTCTGCTACTATTCGTGCTGGTCTCGTGGCAGACTGAGGATCCCTCCGCGATGGCACTTGGAGAATGCAGACCCACCTCAACAGGATGGCACGACAAGAACCGGTCGTGGTGGGGCTCGCTGTCACAACTAGTCTAATTATGTTCGTCGGATGTCCTTTTAAATTTTGAATTCGGGAGGTGATAGAAATTGTCTTTGTAGATCTCAGTGCACTACAACATTCAAATATTAAAAAAAACATCGTGAATTGAAAGCTGACCCCACTCATAGTGCTTTAATCTTCAGGTTGCTTCCAATGATTGGAGTGGGCTACAAGGGGCGGAAGAACTGCGATTCTAATCTCTGGCATCTATCGATGATTCGATCAACGTCAGCCCCTCCTACTGAGAACTGTAGAGCTGCAGGCGCCGAGCACTTGAGTACGACGTTGAAAGCAAATATTGTCTAGGCGCAGACAATGTGCACCAAGACACATGTCTGCGGTTATCTTCTGAGTTCTGACCAACTGAGGAATCTTCCGCATTCAGTCACGTTGCAGCCTCAACTTGGGTTACTTGCCACAGCGCCCCATATCCCAGATCAATGATGGGAAGTTAGTGGTCACGATGGACCGGCGCGGCTGGCAACGTACCTGCCTCTGGCCATGGAAGCCGGTATGGCCTCAACCTAATATTGATAGATGCTTACGGTACGAGGGACCTCTAGTGACTGACTAAGCTATGCAAAGGATGGCAAACACCCGCCTGCACCGTGACCGTGACCCAAGGAAAGCTTCCATCATCTTTTCCTGAGAACGTGGAGTGGACAAATGCATATACATACCGTCGGTGCGACCTTTTGTAATTGTGGTAAACCAGTTTTAACAGACTGATTAGTGCGAGATTGGCATTCAAACGTAGGAATCTTGGCGGCGGTTGTGAACCCAAAGCAAGAAGCGAATTGGATGGATAGAAGCACTGCCAGCTAGTATCCCACTACAGGCTCTAGCACTGCCATGCAGCAGGGACGCGTTAGCACAACGTTAGCAGGCAGGCATGACAGCTGTGCTCACTGAGTCACTCTTTTTCCTAGCCTTGTCATGGCAACATCAAACTCCCAGTTCCGAACTCTTAACTCACAGATAAACTACGATTCACTATAGAAGGAAACACTGCCGAGCGAGTCGAACATCATCAAAATCGTACATCAGGCAGACAACACGCGAGGAAAGCGCGCCCCACCAGTGCTCATCCAAAGACACGTTCCCCAAACTCGGCTCTCTAGACCATGGCTTCTACATCAACAAAACCCGCGGCTGCAGGAACCAATATGAGTCTGACACCAGTACTGACCTTGGGGGGACATGAAGAGCATGTTCAATCCATATCATACTTTCCGGATGGCAAGCGAATGATCAGCGGATCGATGGACAAGACTGCCCGAAGATGGGATCTGCAGGAGGGTAAAGAGATTGAGGAGGTGCGGGATGTTTGTGAGCGGGGAGTCATGTATGCCGTTGTGGTATCAAAGGATGGTAGATGGGTTGTCACTGCTGGTGGAGATTTTAATCACACTGGTCCTGGGGAGATCAAGGCCTATGAGGTTGAAACGGGGGTCATTAAAACGTTTCAAGGCCACACACGAATGGTCACTTGCATCAACTCCTCTGCAGACAGTACACTACTGGCAAGCGGGTCATGGGATGGCACAGCACGAGTATGGAGCTTGCACACCGGCAAACTGGTGGCTGGGCCATTCAAGAGCATTGATTGGCCGGGCGCAGTTCTATTTTCGCCAGACTCGAAGAAACTTGCAGTCAAGTCAGAGACTGGGAAGTGCATCGAGATTTGGGATGTTCAATCACAAAAATTGGATACGAGAGTAGGGGGATTCAAGTTCGTCGGAAAACCCTTCACATACACACCACTTTTCTGGACAAACCAAAATAAAAACATCCTGGCCGCGTTCAGCTTCACAGATAACGACATTCCCAGTATGATCTATGAGTTCAACGCGACGACGCTGCAAACTTCTGGAGATCCTTTCGAAGGGCACACCGAGATTATCACCGGATTAGCACTTTCATTTGATGGTGCTCTCCTGGCCAGTGCTTCCAATGACAACACCATCAAGCTTTGGGCATTCGAGTCCCGCCAGCTCCTCACCTCTTTTAGCGTCCAAAACCCTTTCTGCCTTGTCTTTTCACCTGACTCACGCCAGCTGGCTTATACTACCCACACCGAGAAAAAAAATGACAATAATATCTTTATATGCAATACTCCGGCCAGTACACTTATTCGCCGCTCTGATTGATATTTCTCATGCGCTAATATTCTCTTACAGATCAGTGCGCATATGAAGTCCGACCCCGGTGATCTACTGAAGGTATCTCATTTTCAACTTTCTATTCGTTATACCAGTCACCCATCGCCATCATTGCAGTTTGATGCAGCTCATCGTTTGGCTGCGACGCGCCGTAATCCGTCGACATTGCCCGTCATAGTCAGACCGCCAAGATCTTTACCTGCAGTAGACCTACGGCAACCCATTCTCCTTCGCATTCGCAAACTCCTTCGCTTGGGTCTTCCCGTTCAAAATGGTCAGCCTCTTGATCCTCTAGATGTACGTTTCATTATCCTGTTTAACTTTTACGGTTCACTCAGTCGCGCTGCAGTTCCCTGCTACGTTGCCTCTACCCCCAAACTTGTGGCATTCAAGTGTAGATTCTCGTGAGAATGTGAGCCTCTGCTCATGCAATCATTTTTCAACTCACACTGTTTTAGTCTCGAGTTACACCGGCATTGCCCACCACCCGATCCTCTTTCGCCACCTCCACTATCTTCACAGCACACCCAAATCCTCTTCGTGCTGCCCGGTCTCTGCCATCTGTCATTAATGTTCCTCACGCTCAGGCTAAAGAGGTGTGCTCAGTTGGTTTTTTTCATCGAACTGGAAGTCTCATGGATTGATTGCAGCGCAACGCCGCAGCAGGTGCTCCCAAAAAAGACAATAATATAGTACCTGATGAATATCTCGACCCTCCTTCACCACATCCTGATTCACAAGAATCGACTACTGCAGTACAATCCAACACCGGAGAGCATGGGGGTGATCGGTCGTGTTTCTGTTTCTAGGTGGTTTCATTGATATCATTCGCGCATATTATATATGGTTGTATCTTTTTCATTATTTATGAACGTAGACCGTTGTATGTTTGCATTTCTTATCTCCACTATGGTCCAGGATATTGACGAGAGATGCGTGCAACATATCATTGGTAACTTGCCGACGACTCACACCGAGATATCAATATCCAAATTTCGGAAATTGATCCCATATACAACCAGCTTTCCTTCCTTTGCACACTTCTTAAGCCACACCATGCAGAGCATTGGCAGTCGTGCTGGATATGCTTAAGTTACAAGTCGACGAATGTGACTCAGCTATCATAGCAGAACGTTCCTGTGTAACGCCGCAGAAACCTCGGCCACATGTGAGCCGAACATCACTGAAAACCAAGATCTATGATAAACCCTTATATACACATTATAATCCCAACAATGTCTATAATCGTATGAAATATGGCAGTGCAGAAGCCATAGTCTTGTATAGAAATATATTGTTATCCCTTGCGACCAATCTTTATCATGATTACCTGTGCCCGGCATTAGTTGAATGAATTTGGCTGTGTAAAAACTCAAACGGATTGATAAACACGCTAATTGCTGAAAACAAGATATATATGTGTAGAACGCTATCCCCTATGACCAATAATCATCAAGATGGTTTTCATTTAGCATTAGCTGCATGAATCATGTCGTGACAGTACTAAAACTGTACTGAAGTGGTGAAGCATGTTCGAAAAAGTGTCTCTCATTTAGCATTTCTAGCACAGAGCATCAGCAAACTACAATCTTCTGTGCAGCTCTGTACAGAACGTCCCAGCAATGTAGTAAATAAACCAAAACAAAGTCGCAATTTTGGCATTTTAAAATGCCAAAGGCAGGAATTGAACTTGGAAGACTACGAGCAAAGTAACAAGACATAGTTACCACTGCACCATAGTGCCTTTGATATCTAAAAAATACAATAACATTTATACCGATTTTACTCAAGCCTCATAATGTTTTCAACAAGTTGTACAATTTGCTGTTGTTCAAATCTATCACTTTTATGTTGTCTAATGTCTCAAACTTCAAATAGATCTTTTCTTCAGTGAAACATTACACTAAGCCTTAGTTTAGAGCAAAGCTTATTAAATTTTTGTACAACTTGTTGAAAACATTATGAGGCTTGAGTAACATTGGTATAAATGTTATTGTATTTTGTTGATATCAAAGGCACTATGGTGCAGTGGCAGGCTCCTTCCCACCACTGGTGGAGAGGTAAGGGTGGCGTCTATTAGTGCGGGTAGTGAAGGCTTAGTAAACCGGAAACATGCGCAAATCTTTCAAACCCAGCCGAACCTTATCCACCCAACCTCTCCACCAGCGGCTGGCACAAAATGTTTGTAAACAACGTCAGCCACAGTCGGGAAACCCAGAAAGAGACGGCGGAGGTTCAATTTAGATATTGTATTGCTAACGAATTTATATATATATATATCAATCAATATGTCATTATCCGACCCAGTGGACGATGTTCTTGAAACCCTGCAGCGCGTCGGCATTTCAGCTTCAGAATTTATACTGGTGCTTCTCTCGAGTGAAAAATATAGCGCTCATCTGGCTGTAAAAGATATACTCTCGAATGGACGTGAAATTGTTAATGCTCTTACAAAACAAACTTCAAGTACTCTATCGAATTGGGCTACCGATATTACGAAGGACATCTGTGCACAGGAGATCCTTAACCTTACTGCTAAGGGTAGCGGAACTCATTTCGATGTGACACACATTACAGTGAAGCAACTGGAGGATTTTAGGGTGGCCGAGTTAGCCATAATCATGGAGAATTATGCGCCAGTAACATGGAACTTACTCGACAGCATGCTGTCTGCGAGAACACAATCTAATACAACAATTGGGAGAGATCATGATGGTGACGTCATCATGGAAACTAGCAATAGTGATGAAGAGGCTTACTGGGAGGAAGTTGGGGAAGGAGATCTTGAGGGATCGTTGATATCAAGCCTTGCCAACAACATGGAATCTGAGAGAACCAAATTGCAAAAACAACGGGCAGCAAAGACCTTGCTTGTGTGTTATTTCACCACCTTCCAGATCAATATTACTGACATCGCTATATGTAATCAAGAAAAAAATCACCGTTCTGAGCATTATGATGAGAAGCACAAATCAGCGTTCAAATACCTTGCAAAGTCTACTCGGGATGTTCCTACAATCAACGCACACACCACAAAAAGTCATCGAAACGCTGGAGCGGATGGGTATATCAGTGTCCGTAAATGCTATTCTTTCCGGGACGCAATCGTTAGCAGCGCAAACCCACCAACATCTCCGGTCACTCGGTCGGTCACTTCTCGTGGCATATGCCTATGACAACTTTGACATAGACCTGAAAACCCATGAGCACAAGATCGAAAACTCAATGGAAACTCTCAAGCATCTAACATCAGGTCTGATGTTCCCAGATGCTTTGTTGCCCTAGTTGGTTGAGTGGAGTCACGACAATCAGAATGCCTGTGTCCCGGAGTGTTAATGGTGACCAGAAGGCAAGTGTTTTACCCATCCCTGTCCCTGCGATGCAGATAATATCACAGTCATTTTGCAGGAAAGCATCTGCGACTTTGAGTTGCCACAAGCAGGCTCTCTTGCCAAAACAATTATGGAGCTTCTCTCGGATAGCAGAGAAGCTAGGGGCTTCAGCCGGCATGAGACAGAAAAGGTCAATTTCTTGGGAACAAACCCATATAAACTATATATTTCACGATATATTTTTTTACACTAAATTGAACCTCTGCCGTCTCTTTCTGGGTTTCCCGACTGTGGCTGACGTTGTTTACAAACATTTTGTGCCAGCCGCTGGTGGAGAGGTTGGGTGGATAAGGTTCGGCTGGGTTTGAAAGATTTGTGCATGTTTCCGGTTTACTAAGCCTTCACTACCCGCACTAATAGACGCCACCCTTACCTCTCCACCAGTGGTGGGAAGGAGCCTGGTGCAGTGGTGACTATGTCTTGTTACTTTGCTCGTAGTATTCCAAGTTCAATTCCTGCCTTTGGCATTTTAAAATGCCAAAATTGCGGCTTTGTTTTGGTTTATTTACTACGTTGCTGGGACGTTCTATACAGAGCTGTACAGAAGGGACCAAGCTGTGGCTCTGTAGGAGCTGTAGAAGGCCATTGTAGTTTGCTGATGAGGCTCTCCTGTCCAATAAGTAAAAGAGATGGAAATTCTTGCCATCTGTACCATCATATGGACAATTGTTTCATTGGCATCATGGTATTGCGGGTTTTATACTTGATTGGCCAGGAAGTCAGATTGGGTTATATAGGATTATACAGAGACACTCGGTACAATACATGTAGTTTATCAATGCCTCGCCAATTCTCTACCCTAATCTCATCATCAACACTGTCTGCAGGAACAATAACATGGGTTGAACCACAACAGATATCGTTAGTGCCTTGAAGTCCAGTGAAAGCAAGGTGTCACGGCAACTTGACACTATTGTTTCCTTATGCAAAATTTGCACTGCTCAAGTGGTTGACTGAGTTTGGCGGTGCCGGTGTACAATCAAGCTCGGCGGTGCCAGTATAGGATCGAGTTTGGCGGTATATAATTGAACTCGTGGTACCATAGGATGTAACAGGATCAAGTTCAGCCATAGGATCGAGTTTTTGGCCATGGAATAGAAGTTGGTCGCAGGGATCAAATCCAAATATGAGATCGAGTTCAGCCATATCATCGAAGACCAGTCATCCTTAGACAGAAACATAGACCACGACATGACATATCCTGTTGCCAGACCATGTAGTACAGTGCGACTTTCTGGATGGCATCCTGTTGAGAAACTTGCAGGAAGTAGCATTAATGAGTGATTGAAGGCAGAGTAGGTGATAGTGGGGATTGTAAATAAAATCTGAGTCAGATCCTTACTTATCAATGACCAGAAGATATGCTCGGCCGGTGGTGACTGAGGTCTTGACCCTTCCCAAGGGAGTTGTACCTCGTTCATTTTGAGATCCGGTGGTCAAACTATTTCAGAATAGGAAAAGAGAAGGAGCAGGGTCGGAGCCGGGTAAGGCTGCGAGCTTCGGCATCAGTTGCAGACAGCTAAAACCAACAGAGATAACAGCAATTTCGAGCATCGGTCGAGGACACGTGGCCAATGTTGACTTTGAAGAAAGGCCAAAATGCAGAATAGGTTTCAAGTGGGATTGAGGGATCATCCAGACCACCATTCACTACTGCCCGATCCCAACAACCGCCAGTGCTTAGCGCACATGCCCAGCGCATGTCAGCAAATGCTGACGTGGCTCAAACATATGCGAACCACACCGGAAGGCGCCAGAATGAGAGGAGTGGAGGAGGGCGAGAAGGAGATGAGGGAGAGGTAAGTTTAAGTCTTGGGTACCTATGGAAATGAGGTAGTTAGCAGCATAAAAATGCACAATACATATTACACGCACCTCTGCAGCTTAGAGAAAGGTACCCACAATCCCTCAGCCGTGTTCAACACCATCAATCTCCAGTAAAATGTCACAGCTCATTCCAAGCACCACATCCCTTCGAGCTTTTGACAGACCGGCAGTGCCTGTTCGAAAAGTCGGCTCAATGTCCAGTAAGAGATGTTAGGACCTCAGAAGCGAAGAAGGATGGCACTGACTGCGTCTTGAGATGAATTGTTGAATCAGAAAATATGACAATGACGAGCAAATGTAGCGAAGCCATGGAGGACGAGTGCAACTCACAGTGGTGTGTGTGAGTTTTGTGTGTCTAGAATTTTTGAATAGATCAGTGCCATATATGTTGAGCGTATGCCTACAGCATCGACGTCTTCCTATCATTCTGCACTGCTATATAGTATTAAGCCATTTTTACGCATGAATGCAAAAACTATACCACCAGCTTAGAATTCAACATACTGTTAAATTAATGTGTCGAAACAACAAACAAGCTCACGGATCAGGAAAATGATGCTTGATAAGTAGGCCAATACATGGGCATATAAGGACAACACAGATTTCGCCAACCTTATAAGGTAAATATTGTCATACTGGGTTATCCGGTTTTCAGTGATGAAGAACAAGGTGAAGCCATACACCAGGGACATTAAAGGATATCATGCAGGGTACCTGCCAAGCGCAATCTGAACAATTGATGCAGCATGCCTCACGTTCAACCTGTTCCTTCTTGGTAACATCAAACCCTCATATCAACTTCCATCAACTCAGGCTGATGATCAGCTCCAAGTCTAGGAAGCAAAGTGCTCTCGACTGAGTTGGGAATCTCAACAACTACTACTATCAACGGCAGCACACGAGAACTCACCACCACTCCTTCAGACACTTTTATCTAAATAATCCATCCCCAGGAAGCTGGCTACTTGCAAATTTCGCCTGCAAAAACACGGGCAATGGCATCTACATCGACACAGCCTCTAGTTGTAGCGACCAGTATGACTCTGACACCGATAATGTCATTGAAGGGCCATGAACGAGGTGTTTCATGCATGTCCTACTTCCCAGATGGCAAGCAGATCATCAGCGGTTCTGGGGACAAGACTGCTCGAAGATGGGATCTACAGAAGAGTAAAGAGATTGTGGAGGCACGAGATGTCTGCGAAGAGGGCGTGTATGCGGTGACGGTATCAAAGGATGGTCGATATGTTACCACTGGTGGTGGAGAGATGGATACCAGGGAGCTCAAAGCCTGTGAGGTCGAGACGGGGATCGTGAAAGCTTTTCGAGGCCACTCAGAGAGAGTTGCCTGTGTTGATATCTCTGCAGACAGCACACTATTGGTGAGCGGATCATGGGATACTACAGCGCAAATCTGGAGCTTGGACACTGGTAAACTCGTGGCTGGTCCATTCGCGATCCTTGATTGGCCGGGCGCAATTTTATTTTTCACCAGACTCGGAGAAACTCGCAGTAAAGTCAGAGGTGGGGACTTGCCTTGAAGTCTGGGATGTCCATACAGAGACTTTGGATATCAGAGCAGGCAAATCTGGTGGCAATTTGAACATGGCATTTGCGCCAGTGTTCTGGACCAACAACCTGAAAAAGAGAACCATCGTAACAGCATGCAACTTCGCGAATGATGAAGAAGCTACAATGATCAATGAGTTTGATGCATTGACTATGGAGATTGTTGGAGCTCCCTTCGAAGGCCACACCAAATGTATCACCAGTCTAGCACCTTCATCTGGTGGTACTCTCCTCGCTAGTGCTTCCCAAGATCATAGCATCAAACTGTGGGCCTTTGATTCCCGCCAGCTCCTCGCCTCTTTTCATGTTCAGGATGTCAAATTACTCGTGCCCTCACCTGACTCACGCCACTTGGCTTACACCATCACTGGTCGTGACATCTGTATATGCAACACTCCACCCGCTGTACTAACTGCGCTGGAAGCGCAATCCACCCTCCAAAAAGTATGTCCTTGCGCAGAGTCTATCTTCTGTACACTGACCTACTCTTTAAGTCCAATAAAACTCTTGAACATTTACTTCAGGTATGTGCCACATATGGCTTGAGCGATCTATTAATTCTCATGAATCATTGCAGTCAGATGCCCGTCGTCCTGCTGCAGTGCGTCGTAACCCAGGGACGTTGCCTGCCATATCCTTCACCCCCAGGCGGCAAAGACCTCCAGCTACTACAAACCAGCAACAACCAATTTATCTTCGCCTTAGCAAGCTCTTTCACTTCTCCTCTCGTCAGACCAATCAACCTCGTGATCCCCTAGATGTAGGTCGTTTATGTTGGTTCTTTCACAGCTGACTCAACAATGGCACTGCAGTTCCCTGCTACACTACCTCTACCATCCAATTTATCTCTCTCGCAGCAGTCTGCAACTCAGGTGGAGAATGTCAGTCTTCAATTTTGGTAAACTCGTAATGTATGACTGACTCTGTATTTCCAGTTCGAAATAAGTTCCCCGCCTTACTCCTCAAACGGAGTTGCACAATTTCTACGGCAGCACCTTCCTTTCCTCATACCTAGACATAGCCATGGGCCACCGGTCATTGATGTCGCAACCGGGCGGAAAGTCACTGTAACGTAGATATTCTCACACCTCCTTCCCTTTTTCTCATTAGAGCCCTACAGCGTCTTGCTGCTGCCAAATTACCTGAATACAGGAAAGTTGACGATACACGACATCCTCCTAGCCAACAGCCCAGGGTAACGCAGGACATTGAATCGTCTGACATTGATTCGCTCCCAGACGTGCATTGGTTCAAGGTGTTCCTTTGCTATTATTCATGCTTTTCTCATGGTAGACTGAGGATGCCACCACAATGGCACTTGGAGCGTGTTGACATACCCCACCAGGATGGCGTGGCGGGTAGCGGACACAGTGGTAGTTAGCTCAATGCGCACCCATCTAGTACCCTTGGATATTCTCAGTCTTCTATACCAGTACGCTTTGCTGTCACTACTTCTTCATCTGAGGGGCACACTGGTGGCACACTGGTTTGGTTTCGTCAGTCTTGTTCTCGCCTGATGGCACTCACATCGTGTCTGGTTCACAAGATTCCAATGTCCAGCTGTGGGATGCAGCAATGATGCTGCCATTAGGTGAACCCTTCCGAGGGCACACTGGTTTGGTTTTGTCAGTTTCGTTCTCTCCTGATGGCACTCGCATCATGTCTGGTTCACAAGATTCCACTGTCCGGCTGTGGGATGCAGCAACAGGGCTGCCATTGGGTGAGCCCTTCCGAGGGCACACTCGTCTGGTTTTGTCAGTCTCGTTCTCGCCCGATGGCACTCGCATCGTGTCTGCTTCAGAAGATTCCACTGTCCGGCTGTGGGATGCAGCGACAGAGCAGCAATTCCAGGAGCACATCGAGATCCACTCCTCCGCATTCTCTTTGGACAGACGTCCCACCACACCTTGCATTTGCTTTGCATCAAGCTTAGAATATTATGCACTACAAGACCCTGCTGAGCTACTCGAGGGCACTTCTCATCTTGATTCAAATCCTGTCATGCTGAATGATGGATGGATGAAAGCAGCCCACCATCGGCTGTTTTTCTGGGTACCACTTGCTTCCCGAGAACGCCCATTTTATTCTCCTAGGATTGCATTTACGATACCCAGGGGGCAAGAGATTGATTTGAGTCACATGGCCCATGGAGAAAACTGGTCGAATTGCCGAGATGTGTGAGTTCTTAGCCTTGACTGTACCTTGTATTTGCTGAACCAATATTCTAGCGCTATTTGCAAATGATCTCATTGTAATAATACCCAGTGTACGGTTTTGTTTTATGTCGATTCTATATCTGCTATTGGGCTTGAATTTGAATTTGTTCGCTATCGTCGTGGTTGCAGAGTGGACGTTTCAGCAATAGCATAGCACAAGTACCGTAGAGTAATGATGGCGCGATGAGGTTTACTGCTCTAGTGCTCTCTTCAGGATGCCATAGAATTCGACATCCACAAACTTTTGTCATCAAACACAAGTAACAGCATGATTCTTTGATACAACATCGACTTACTTACATTTTTGTCTTGGTACCAATTATTCCAAAATAAGTTTGACAAGTATTGGAAGTCCTCCAGGCCCATGAAGCTCTCCTTGATGCTTCTTGCCGAAACGAACTGGTAGAAGATGCTAATACTCTCAGCTTTGTCGTTGGTCCCACTCGTTGGTCCTCCTCCAACGAATTGTTGGCCCACGACCGTCCGCGCCAGGGCATTGCTCGTTGTAATTGACGTTGCCAGCAGCGTTGCGTAGCTTGTTTGTGGCCGTCCGAAGGGCTCTGCGATCTGCGGCGAAGCTGGAGAAGACGTTGTCAGTCAACGTGATATCGTAGAGACCTTGCGACTCACATAGAGTCGGTCAGTGCATAAGGCGAGGTGTTATCGATGAGTTCCAGAGTCTTCTCATAATTCGCATTGTCATATACATAAATCTGAAAAGTTGTTGGTACAATCTGGCCGCATTTCCAGACAAAAAGCCATTACAGTAACGACAGGACTAAATATTTCTTCTTTCATGGTGATTGATCTTCGGTTGGAATGATGGTAGGTTGTATGAAGTAGCCCTTGGAGTCATCACCTGTAGGATCATGAGAAAAGTTGTAGGTGAGTCATACTACTATCTGCCTTACCAGTGCCTCTGATAAGAACCTCCCCTCCCACATCCTTAGCTTTCTGGATGAAGCCGATTGTTTTGTCATAAGCTGGACGGCCTCTGCGATGTTATTCAGTGACTAACACTAACCCAGGTGACCCTGCCGGGATGTCGCGACCGGCAGCAGACGTAGTGGTAGTTAGCTTAATGCGCACCGATATAATTTCTCTGGATCTTCTATGCCGGTTTGGACACTGTCGTTCGTTTTTCGTTCCTCAGGCTGTATAGCGACACGAACTGGCCTCACGTCCTCAGTCCAACACTCGCAATAGCTCATGAGACGTCTGACGGTCCGAAACATTCAATACAGTTGCTGATATGCAGTATGTCACGCACCAAGGTGTTTTTATGGTTTCTTTGACAAGCCTGAGGCCTGAGGTACCGTACATCTTATTGACATTAGTACAAAATTGAATTGGCTCGCGTTATTTGTAATTGTGCTCTCTAGATCAAACAAAACCAAATAACTTCTTGTTCCAACTTGAAGCAGACAGGTCGCGGCCTTCAGGTTACCCTGACTCGCAAGGTTTCGCAATGCCCGGAGAACCATCGCGGTCGACTCTTATAGATGTGTATGTTTCTGTCCTTTTTGTTTACCATGCCACTTTTTTTCTCTGACTATTGTTCTGTGCAGAACGAACCAACAATTACATTCCTTCCTGTCTGGCAGACTCGAGGGCTCGTCCCCAGACCAATTGTGTGACATCATATCTGCCCGTTCCTTGCAACTTCGAAATGTCGCCAAACCTTATGGACGGCCCACACCGGCGTCACGAAAAGCGGTCGAGGCTGGCTCAGTCACGCTCACGGATGGTGTTGTGTTGCAAGTCGACGAAGTCGAGAGGGAGTTCACACTTGCAATTAGTGCTCGGTTCGGGATCGACGAAATTCAGGCTTTTGTTCTCCTTCGATCATTTCTATATAATGAAGGTCTTTCAAATAACGGAGGCTCAACCGATAAAGGCGTTGTGGACGAGCTCATCGCAGCTATCACGCCATTCTACTACTCCGAACGCCTCTTCGTATTGCGCGCCCTCATTCCACTGTTCCGTGCCCACGAAAACACTGGCGACTCAATCCATGCCGTTGCCACGAAGTGTCTTCCCAGAATCCTACAAGACAGTCGTCAATTCGCACTCGACCTCATAACAGAATATCTTCACAAAACGGAAATGGACATCCCAGAGGTTTTGCATGCCGATGCACGTATCGCCTCTCGTTGGGCTAAACAGAACATGAAGGAGCAACTCGTGACGCTAGAGGTGCTCTTTTGGACAGTCTGGGGGTATGTTCCTTGCGATGGACCTTTGGTTGTTCGAATATTTGAAGCTGCTTACAACACGAACCTTGGCTCCTCGCAGAAAAACTCGACCCTTTTATTAGATGATGAAGGCAATCAACTGCAGCATGATTGCGCGGCGTTATGGATACTTGTCACTGTAGAGGTCCTCGAGCTGGAGAGGGTGGCAGAGGATGGAGGAATAGAGATTTCGGCAACTCCTTCTGACAAAACGTTCTATCCCTCTTCGCCAGAGTCGCTCAGGCGGATTCATGAGATCGTGACATCCAACCTGTCCAGCCAGCACGCGTGCACACACCTAGCATGGGCCTTCGTTCTGTCGCGGTTGACCTCAAAAGCTGGTCAATTGAAAGAGACTCCAGAATCGTATCGCGGGTTTTTAGACTCCCTGCATCCGCACCACAATCGCTCTAAGGAAAGGGAGCCATCGCATGTACTTATGGCACGGGCAGCTTTCAGTCCTGAAGCCGGACTTTTCAAGCTCTTGTTGACTCTCCTTACTACCTCCCCATTGTTTGTTACCTCCGTTGCTTGGAAGACAGGGTCGACTGTAACCGACCCAAATGCTATTGCATTCCGCTCTGTACTCAAAGGTGACAACATTTTTCTGCGTGAAACAGCACATTGAAGATAATTTTTCCTCAGGCTTTGTCATTGCAATGGTTGAATTGGTCCCTGTTGAACTCATTCCCGACTTCGACTCTTTGGTCGAAGTCTGGATTGCGCTATTTGGGCGCAGCGAGTGTCAATCTATAGCAGGGATATGCCGACAATTTTGGCAATCGGATTGGCGGCAGGGCCTTGCACGTCGCGCCATATTTGATGTTGCACGAACACGCTTCCCAATTCACTTCCGGCCGCTCATCCGCCTTCTTCGAGCAATGACTGCGTCTGGATTCATTGATACCGATCCACTATCCACTGCGGCATCGTCCAGCCAACCTCCTGCTGACGAAAGTGATGATGGTGACCGTGAGATCTGTAGTCGACATGTATTTTACTACGTGGATAAGTTGCCTACTTTCTCGCTGGTCATCCCCCTGGCATCTTGCACTGGTCCTAATGCTGTCTATGAGAAAGCACAGGCTGCCGGTCCATCCTTCGCATACACAAACCTACGTGCTATTCGCCTTCCTGGAGGCTCCGTGATGCCTGCGCGCTCGAAGGGTCGGCTGTTGAGTGGGGATGGTGGGGATCATATTGCAGTGTGTTGGCAACATGAGCACAGCGGATGGAAGGTGGTTTTGGACGTGCTTACTGAGTACGTAACTCGGCGGAGGATGTATACGGGCACCGTGGACCTATACCAGGACGTTGCCTTCGGCCGTACCGGCCCTGGATCTATTCCTTTGACGCTAAGGCTTGAAGACGTCGGGATGGAGATTGATGAGGGGGGCGATGAAGCACTCGCGACAGATGCTCTTGACCTCATTCGCAGCGTCATCCAAGACAATGAAGAGCTGGCGGAAGAGCTATTGGAGTCTCTCGAGAGCGGTGGTGACCCTAATAATTCTTCGGACAATCAGCCGCCCGACCTCGTCCATCTCACGACAATGATTCTGGAGGAAGCCCTCAGTCGCTCACAAGCTCGAAGTTTTTCGCGAACTCAGCTAATCACATCTGCAATGAGCGTTCTATCAGCACTATTATCCTTGCCAAAATACTCTCTGCGTGTATGGCTCTATATCCGTTCAACCAGCGTGCTGTTTGGCCCTAGTCGTACGTCAGGTTTCGCGGCAGTCGCTCTTCCAGCAGAGCGGATCTCTGGTCATTATACAATGACTCTCGCATTGCTCAATCTCGTCCAACAACTCCTCCATGAAGCGTTTGCGTCCGTGCTCACAATTCCACTTGACAATCAACGCCTTAAACAAGTGAAAGAGGAAGTTCTACTCCGAGCAGCAGTGTTCGTCCATGGGGAGATATGGGTAGAACACTTAAGTTGGAAGTATGCCCAGCTTGGCGACAGGTTCGAGATTGGACGACGAGTGTCTTCGTTTTATGGCTATGTTCTCAAGCAATCTCCTCCTGCTTTGGGCGATCGTCCCTTCCCTGCCTTAAGCCAAGCTGTCGCTGACGCTCTTCTGCATAAGGCCACGACGTCAACTATCAATCCACTTGTATCATCGATAGCGGTTGCCCCCCACATCCTCAGCACCCTCTACGCTTCCCGACGCTATGGCGATGCCAGACGTCTGATCTACCTGCTGGAGTCACACCTCAGTCTCACTAGGCTAGTCCTTAGCTACAAGCAGTCCATTCCCTATTCCTCGAAACCGTGTCTTCTAGAGCAAGCTCTGTGCGCGCGGGTAGCAGGAGGCGCTGGGTTCACGGATTCCACGAGATCCAGGATAGATCCCGTCGACGTCCTGGCAAATTATGTTAAAGGGCGGGATATCGGGACAGCTGTTCCGCTAGAGTCGATCAGAGTTCTTTATGCTCTCTGCGCATCCTTGTCTGTGACTCAGCCCTCGCCTGCGACAATCATCGGTCATCTCTCGAATCCAGAGGCCACTGTTGCATCGTTCGTGCGAATTGTACAGCACCCGTACGAGGATCTCGCACTGCGCAATGCCGTTTGGAACTTCATAGCCCTTGCCGTTGATAAGGAACCAGCATTAGCCAACCTCTTCGTTACAGGACAATTCCGGATTCCGAACAACAAAATCAAGAGCAAGGAGAATGCTAAATCGCAAGGAGAGGATGATTCGAAGAAGCACATGAGCGCCCTCGAAGTTGCTAACGAAACGCTCACTCGGTGGACAGACTTGTGGGAGGCCAATCCCCAACTCTTAGCATCGGTGTTTCGCTTCATTTACGTCGTGTGGCAACACGGGCTTGAACACAAAAATCTCATCGATACTACTCGTGGTAATGACGAGTTTTGGACCAATGTGGTTGCTGTTGTTAAAGAGGAGCTCGGTCCCGACCCTGACTATGAGACAGAGACATTCATCATATTGGACGACGAGCGCCGATCAAGTCTCCACGAAGCAGTATCTGTTCAGTCGTATCGCAACATGGTGAAGTCATATGCTGTGCGTGTCATTGGACAGGACATCTTCCTTCAGCCACAGCCTAGGTCCTGTGAGCCCGCGAAGAAGCCCTTGAGTTACAGCAAGCTAGCTCCATCATTCAAGTCCGAAGATCAACTCAATGAATTGATATTAGAAGCAAAGAGCACATCGTATGACCCCAGTCTTTCTGATAAACTCGGCGCGCAGCTTCAGCAGGACTTCCCGGGCCTCTCCCTTACTCACCTACAGTCGCAGGATCTCAGCGACGAGCGGCAGTTTGGCGATGACTTCATGTTCTCCATAGCACTTCTTCGCAGTCGTATGCAACAATGCCTGTCGGGTGATGATAGGGCAAATGCAGTGGAAGAAGTGGAAAAAAGAATCGCGTCTTTGAATCTCAATCTCTCCCTCACCTACGCTCAGACGGCTTTGACGGAGTCGTGGCAGTTCCTTTTGCATCAAGTGCTGCCATTTGTGCGGCCGGTGCCAGAGATCCGTTCGAACCTGCTATCACTCTCTGCCACGATATCCGGAGACCTAGCTTTGGAGAAAAGATCGGGAGACATGATGGCGAAACTCCATGGCACGCGACTCAATTTGTTGCTATCAATTCTCGAAGTGGTCTGGTTCTCTGATTCGGATACCGACAAGCACATCACGTCTTTCATGAACCTCAGTGGATAACATACACAAAGTCTTGTTGAATGAGGCACAACCTCCTTCTCAGTCATTCCTGGGACAATTATCCGTGCCTTTCCATCAAATCCTGCTCCAGGTCATCTACTTCTGTGTTCGCCAGTGCCGGAATCTTGCCAGGCGACCTAAGGTCCTCACCGCTAGCAGGCGCATTGCCATTTCTGGCTTGGTGGACGCAACGCTTCCACTAGTGATTGATGCTCTCCTGCCTCACCTTTGACTCTGCCCGTACACGACTTGATCTCGATCTCGATCGGGATATGGAGCTACTGGTTGCAGTCTTCGAGCAATGCACGCGTCCTGATATCAACGTCTCGTCTGTAACATGGTTGACTCGATGTCAAGAAACGGATGTCATCAAATCAAGCTTGGAGTTACTCACTCGGACAGATGTGATCGGCCTCACAGATCTGCCCCTGCTGCGCACACGCAGGCAACCTTTGTACGCGCCTCACATCCTCCTATTCCACATGGCTGTAGTAAGCATATCATCCGGGGCTGAAAGATTCGCCAGCGAAGGCATCATTTCGGCATATAGTAACAACGGGATTAGCCTTGCGGCAAGCTCGGGGCAAATCGATGTTGTGTTGCCTGAGCTTCCTGGAGAGAGGAGCCCAGCACACAAGACATACTGCTCGATGATAGCCATAGTTTCTGCCATTGTCTCTGCCCTTAAGCGGCAACACCACTTCTTCGACGCAGAGGCCTGCGGATTCGTACAGCTGTATGGCAAGCAGATTATCCGGGCGCTGAGCTGGAGTGTCGGTGATCCGATTACATTACCATTGTTAGAGGAGATGGAACAGGTCGTTGGCCTCTTTTATGCGCTTGCGGAGAGTGCTCCTCCTACTGCCTCCCCAAACCCGGCAGTCGTCAAGGTCCTACGTGTGTTCACGACCCACGCGCTCATGCTCCTTCAGCAACTCAACTACGCATTGACGCACCCTAATCACATCGCCAGTCTCTTGGAACCGGTGACTGCGGAAGAGCGTGCGTTACTGGAAAAGGAGCCTACCGCCGCATCTTCCCTGTTATCAGTGGACATGGCCGACCTGCAGAAACATCCGTTGACTGCACGTCTCGTTCATCGGTTATTTAGGCTGTCAAGCTCCGTGGTGTCTACGCTGATTAGCATCAGCCGAGCGTATGACGTTCTTCTTGGTGAACAAGAAGAATGGCCCGTTCAAGAAGCAGTGGTAGTTCCTGTGCGTACTTCACGTTCTGAAGCAGAACTTTATTCACCGTTTTCCTGCAGCATTCCAAGGTGGTGCCGGGGGAACCAGCATCTTTGGGGACCTTGCTTGAACTCGCGAACTGCACCCTTGATGTCCTACGACACCTCGTCGATCGCCCAGCAGGTCAGGCCATCGCCCCCCCTGCGTCCCTCAAAGATACGCCGCTTGATGTGCAGGAAGGCATGCTGACAGCCCGAAAGACAGTGGAAGCATTGCTCGTGTATGCGGCAACGCAGCTTGCGATGTGGCTCTCGAAGCCAGAATTTGACGCTGCTGAAATGGACTCGGAGGATCACATTCCACAAACCATGGATATGCGAGAAAGTTCAAAAAGACCATCTAGGGCACTCACAGACAGAATCAGGAGGGGAATGCCGGGAGAGATGGCGACGGATTTGGAGAAGTTATTGAAGCAAGCGAAGCCTATTCTGCAAAAGAGCGTCGATGACAACAGAAATGTCAAGGGGGATCTCACGCAGGTGCTGCTTAGGTTTATGAGTGAGTGGGTAATGACCACGCCGTCGTAGATGGGTTAGGTGCTATGCAGATGTATCAAAAGTAACATTATATTTTTCCCATTGCCAATTTGTCCTAGAGGTGAATAAAACCATCACTGCGTTAAAACATCTACACCAGTCTCAGTAATGAAAATCATATGTTCTGCTTGAGCGCTTCGTGCACAATTCTGCTTAAGACAACTGTTAGGAAAATATTCGGGCTTATAGCAGGCCAGTCGCACCTCCGTCGATGCAGTCCAGCCGTCCGGAAAAATCCAGACACTAGGATTAGAACCTTGAACGAGAGAAGGCTGAAAGAAACGGACGTTAGCAATAGGTCACGACATGCACTGAGCTGATTGCCTCAATGGTAAAGCAATGCCCAGGAAGCATTACGCCAGGTTCTTCATTTACTGCGAAGCAAACGTCAATGATACCATCAACACGGGAACAAAACATGGACTTGCGAGTGTGGTATATCCAAGGAGGTCGGTGGAAAACGGTCCCTATGCCGTGCCCAGCGAAGGCAGGACAGACAGAATGACGGCTGTTTCGGACAATTTCATGTATAGCCCTGCCAATGCCATTGAACGGTCTACCAGGTCCGCAAGCGTTAATACCAGCCTCGAGTGCAGCATTTGTCATTTGCACAAGATCTCGGCCAGGTTCGTCCTATCATGCAAGTAAATCACGAAGAGTGTAATTGTTCTGAGGGATGTTTCTTACAACATCTCCGACGAGGAAAGTAGAAGAAGTATCACCGTGAAAACCGTTGAAATAGACTGTCACATCAATGTTAATTATATCCCCATCCTCGAGAGGTCGACTGTCACCTTGTTGAGTCTTGAAATACAGCTCGTACAAAAGCACTCACTCATCTGGTATGCCATGCGAAACAACATTGTTGACACTGGTGCAACACGAACGTGGAAAGCCCTTGTATAGTAGTGGTGAAGGATATGCTTCATGCGCAATTATAAAGTTGTGTATTGCGGCATCTATCGAGTTGGTGGTCACACCCGGCTACCAATGAATTATCTTGCATCTGCATGGTAAATATTAATGAATCTCACCTGCACAAGTGAGCCAGCATACTGGCGCACATTCTTAGCAAGTGTCGCAGCTGCTCGCAGGCGCTTTTCGTCTATGCTACCCAGAATTATTCTTCCGTCTCCTTCGTATTGCTGCGTATGGTCTATCTCTGATGACATTGGGGGGTCGAGCTGCACCGCATATTTTGGTCGAACGATATGACTTGGAACTGGACGCTGGGTTATATGGGAGACGCCCCACACGAACGGCTCCTCAGGTAAGATGACATTGTACGTCCCAAAATCCTCGGCTTCCCGCGATTCATCAGAGTCGAATGCAGGTGATGTTGTTATATATCTTTTCAAATAGCTGCGACAGACAACTGCCGAGCGTAGACGAGAAAGAAGAGGGGGGAACAACTTGTTCATGATCATGAGCGGACTAACAAGTTAAGAAGAAAGTTGGCGGCGGGCCGGACCGCATGCCTCCGAGTCAGTGGCTATGCCGGAACGACTCTGACCAATTTTTCAATGACCCTCAGTCTACACGTGTCTTCAACGCTAGCAAGTAGGCTCCCGAAGCCCTGATTCATATTATATGTCTTTAACTGTGACAGACTCAGGGAGTTGCAACTCGAGCTTTTCAGTCTGGCACTTCTCACTAATCTCATCGGTTCTACACCTATATTCACTACTCTCTTCCGAATGTCACCTTTAAATTCACCCCGGATGTCGAGTAATGAAGGAGATGATCCTGTGGTTATGGTGCATGAAAACTACCATTGTCACCACAAAGCAAGTGCGGCTGTTTTTCCAGTTACTATTAGCCACAGGGTATGTGTGCATGCCACCGCAATGATAGTCGAGCGACTAGGTTGGACACAATCTGGACGCACCACTTCAGCCTAAGGTGTTATATTGAGGCTTGCGGTGACCGCTTAGTCGGGGATCGACGATAACGAGGAGGATTAGCGAGACAACTTGTCTCAGATGCACACTGCATGCCAAAGGCTCCAATTTGGCGTCGAATTGAAGGGATACATACCAGTGCTGGGCAAGCCACATCCCGAAGATTAAAGACGTGATTATATGTTGTATAGGTCTACTCTTTCCAGGGGTAATCAAATTTCGGCTGGTCCTTACGTCTCCACAATTTCTTCCTAGACACGTTCCATCAGCACGCCAGAGAAAGATTGTTTAGAATTTACATACTTCTTTTTCGTTGAAACGTGCTCTGCAAATACTTCAACGCAATACTTAGCTTTGAACTCACGAATAAAGCGCGGATCCCTGTATTACGATTAAGATTGAATAACCGAGGCGTATCATCCGCAATGACACTCACCAAAGCTCGCTCGCTATTCCAAGATCTTTGCAGCATCGCATGAGGGCATTACTCTTACATCCCTCCGTTGCCGTAGGAATATTGGATGGATCAAAATATTCTTGTTCACCGCGGGCAACTGCTACCAAGCTGCCGGAAAGCAGGTTCATAAATCGTTAAGCAACACAAGGATAAACACACCGGCCCTGGCAGACAAGCGCATACTCCCTACTGACAACCTTGGGCCCGACGTTTGTCTCACTGCGAGGGGCGAGTCCCCATCCGCCTGGTCCAAATGCCTTGTTGAGGACGCGACGGTATTTGATTTCTGGCAGGTATATCAAGCCATCTATGAATAATGTTTAGGAACATAATCCGCAAACCATGCACCCGAAAGGTACCTGGCTTCATCTCTATATCCATGTCATCCACAGGAGCCAACAGAATATTAGCTATATCCTTTGAGAAGGCTTGCATAGAGAGTCCATGGTAACTAGTTGACCAATCAGTGGAGCCAATGTCGCTTGCTGCTGGAAAATCGCCAGGGAAAGGTGAAGATAGAGATGCAGAAGAAGGCACGGTCTCAGGTGGAATACTTCCATTCACGGCTTCAGAAATATCTATCTCTTCTGGTATGTTCTCTGTTGTGCCTGAGTTGCCAGTACCTGCTACGCTCGTACTAGCAGTTGCCTTCACTACCTTGGGCGGACTGGAGGAAGGAGTTGACGTCTTTGGTGTCCATGTTCGCGTAGACGCAGCGTACGCTCTCGAAGACAGAAAAGGCCGTGCGAGGGAGGGTTTCCGAGTCGCCTTGATTCCTAGCAAAAGAAGTCGATGTGCGTTGTTGGTCAAAGCCGACATTATTTGACTAGAAACCAACCTCCAACTTTTTATGACAGGAGACAACAGTATCGCGGGATTTTAAATTGCAAACTTTGCACAAACAAAACACTGAGTTCGTTGTGGGCAACGATAGATGCTACGATGAGCACACCATCCTCGACGCTGTCGGCCCGTCCTCACTCTCGCGCGCTGAATCAACGGCCATCTTCCAGCTTATCACAACGTCCACCTTCCAGCGCGTCATACGCAAGACCAGTTTCAAGCGCGTCCTTGCGACCTCAATCACGCATTTCTCGACCAAGTTCGCGTATTTCGCGACCGGCCACCAGGCAGTCCACGCGACTTGCGCCTTTATGCCAGAAGCTAATCACACAACTCACTGGACTCACTTTAGAGAACGATGAAGAGGACTTTCGTATGGCCTTGGATTTCGTTTCTAGGAACCTAGAGCATGCTACGGCAACGAAAGGAGGCCCAAGCTCTGATATGGCTACCATGGACAAACGTTTTCACGGGTACATATAGTCGTCTTATATATGAAAGTGTTATTCAGCCAATGCATGTTCCTTCAGTTTCCTCGAAAAATACCGTATACAGTCCAATGATACCCTTGCGGAGGCTTTGGAGATCTCATACCGGAAAGTGAAAGATAGCGCGAAGGAACTCACCAATATTGACAGTGACATCAAAGTGGAGTCCTGAGTTATCGTGTGTAAGTGCAATACTGAAAGGTTCCTTCACAGCTCGCGCATCTTCCAGACCACCTGCAACTGCTTGTGAGATCATATTCATCCTATGCGGTCGAGAAACCAACAGCTTGATAGGCACTTCTGTCTGTTGCACCAACAGCATCTACTCTCAAGCATGCAGATGCATATGTTGATGGGGTCAAAAATCCACCAGAACCACCACCTTCCCTCACCTGGAAGGATATCCTGGCCGAGGAGCCCTTCGAGGGACAACACTGGGAGGGTGCTTATGGTTTGCCATCAGGAAGCACGGTAGAAGGTTGGGAAAAAATGAGCGATGGTAGCACTCCTTCACTTTCACCCTGGGACGATGACTCGGACGATTTGGATGAGAGTGATTCGTTTCCCTACACTGAAGATGCTCCCTCATCTCCTGGTCCCGTGGAACGAGTCTCATCCTATGAGCAGCCAACTTTGAGCCTTTCATACCAACATCGTAGGGTCGTGGAGGAGCTGCAAGTTCGACAGTACTGGAGAGAAGAATGGCGAACAGATGCCGATTTATCTCAGCCATTTAGTCTGGGCGATGCATCTACACTTGGTAGTTTGCATATACTCTGGGGTTTTCATTACTGATGACTTTGTAGGCCCTTCACTGAGCCGAGCTCTTGGTGAAAAAACAACTCTTTTGATTGATGGGCCTGAACGCGAGGTCAGATCTTGCGACGTTAGAACAAGTGATAATAACTCACCGCTTCTATAGAAATACATCAACGAGCATGACGCTGTTCGTGAGGTGCTCATGTGTCTCCAAGGACGCAAAAACCTCATGCTCACCAGCAACTCGAGATCCCCGTCGCTCATGGTAGGTACCTGCGGTGTACAGATTTACACTCCCCTTCTGATCTTATACAGCGGCCATCACCAAGTGCTCCACGTCTCGTTCATTTGACATTAGCATCCCAAACTTCTATCCTCTCTTCATTTGCGCAACTTGCTAGCACCATGTCCCACATCAGAAAATTCACCTCAGCAGTTTTTTCCAATGTATTTTCGAGCTCAGACCCACCTTTGAGCTCGACGCACCTTCTATCTCACAACACGCGTTCGCAGACCATCGAAGCTTTCGCAGATGCGATCGATTCTCAGCTACAAAAGTTCGACCGCTGGTGCGCCGACAAGGAAGAACGAATATGTTACGCTCACGCTGGCCTTGGCAACCAGCTGGTCGTCAGTCTGCTGGGTCTCGAAAAAGACGTCAGAGATCACTTTTCAGTTACCTTCGACCTCCTTTTGGCCATTCTGCGAGAGATAATGGGCTATGTCATGCAATCGGATAATGCGTCTGACGAAGAGGTCTGGTTACTGGCATCCCTGTCTAGTCGCATGCCGCCAGCGGCTGTTACTGCCCATCTACTGGACGCATGTCTGCGTTCTGCGGAGGAGCAGTCTTCATTGGGAGACGAAATCACCGCTGAAGCTCTCACTGAGGTGTTCGTGAGGTCCGCACAGCCTGTTTGGGCGATGGTGGGCCGCTGGGTCAGCGATGGGATGCCAGTGCGGGACACGTGGGAACCTTCTGATAATCAGACCCTAGATGAAGAGTTCTTCGTCGAGGATAACGAACTTCCACTTATGGACCCTGATTTCTGGGCGGAAGGATATGTTCTTAAAACTTTGAGTGACTTTGAAGCGCGCACAGGAGATGCGAAGGCAATTTCCGTTCCGGTATTTCTGGAACGTATAGCTGATCGTATACTCGAGACCGGAAAAGCAGTCGGTCTGCTGCGGGTCTTGGGGATTCCCTTGCTGAATCATGCAGATAGCGATGTCCAATGGTCATCACTTGCAACACTTATAGGACAGCACAAAAGGGATGCTTCGGATCCAGAGAACCTTGCTCACCTTATCTCCGACAAGATCGCGCCCTATTACACATCTTCGGGATCTCAACTCACCCAAGTACTAACCGAGGACTGCGATCTGTCACGCCACTTCACGGCCATCGAAGGGCTATATCTGATGACCAGAGGAGACGTCATCGGCCATTTTGCCGATGTCCTTTTTGCAAAGGCAAGTATTCTATCTATCCCAGTACGTAGGTGCTAATGCAAATCATCAGATGGACAGCCAGCAACGCTGGCAAGACTTTCACTTCTTGAACAGCGCATTTAGGGACGTTGTAGATGCCAATAATGCCACAAAGTACATCGAGACTTCCCTTGTTCGCCTCTCCTATCGGGGAAGCAAAACCACCGTCATCGCACAGACAGTGGAAGCACTTGATGGTCTACTTGTTGAATATGCAGTGCCTTTTCCATTGGCATATATCTTCACGCCGCGTGTGTTTTCGGTCTATGGGTCGATCTTCGCATTTCTTCTGCAAATACGGAGAGCGAAAAATGTTTTGGAGCGGATCCTTGTACGGGGCGAAATTGGGAATGAACGACATATGAAGCACGAGTTGAAGGTATTTTATGCAATGAGGGGCAAGCTATCGTGGTTCATCAAGTATGTCCATTTTGTGTTGCGACGGCTATTAGCTGACTACTGTTTGTTAGCACGCTGTTGAACTTCCTGACGACTCATGTAAGCTTCCTGGCTATCGAAACAATGTGGCTCTGACCATTCATCAAGGTCCTGTACTCTCAGTTAGCGATGTTCCACGATAAATTCAACAAGGCAGAGTCCCTTGATGAGATGATCAAGATCCATAACGACCAGTAAGGTTGCTTGCACCTGCGCTATAATAACCTTGCTCACATGCGTCATTGAAGCTTGGATACAATCCAGCGCGGTTGTCTGCTTCATCCCGAAGTGCGTCCATTTTTGTTCTTGTTTTGTTCGTTGCGCTGACGACTATTCAAGACTTCTGCCCTCCATCGTGTTGTCTTGTCAGCACTCGACATGTGTCTGCATTTCAGTAATATTTTCGTCTCGTTTTCAGGCGACAATACCCATGATATCTCACGGCTCTCTATCGTTATAAAACGTCACCGAAGTCGTCGCCAAAGACGGCTTCCGTCGAGACATCATTGGTTTCTCTACCCCTGAGATTATCTCGGATGATGAAAGTGACGATGACGACGACGAGATGGTGGGCGATGCACCTGAGCCTTCGTTCTCTCTGGCTGCCTCGGTGATGAGCTATGAGGGTGATCTCCCTGATCATCTGGAGAAGCTGTCCTCGGACCTGGATGGTGTTGTACGTTTTGTTCGCAGGGGGAGTGAGACCTGGGCAGGAAGTACGTGTAAAGCTGCACCTGCTTTCGGGGTTCTTGCGTTTTCATTGGAAGATTGGGATTCGTAATTCGATATTCAATACTCGTCATGAGGCTCATAGTGTACATGAATAATACAGTATTTTCTACAGCCGTTGGTGCCATGCCCTACGGTAGACAAAATATGCAAGTATATGTCATGAGTCATGTGTTGTCCGCTCACTGGTGCAGACAGGAGCTAAAGGCGATAGGATGCAGGGTATGTGTCGTTCAATCTCCGTCGTCGTGTGCGAGTGGTGTAACATCTCCGAATATTTGTTCTAGTCTGTGTCTCTTCGCGCTGGTAGTATTGTTGGCAGGTAGAACTGGGGAATTTCGTGATGATAAGTGTCTCGCCACGTTGTAATTCCAAATTTATTTCCTAATACATGACCGCAGCACCACCCTTGGTATCCACGCGGCGATTGATGCCACCTAGGAGAATTTTGATGAGCATTTCAGCATTCAGTTGACCGATATAGGGTGTTGTGTCCACGATGTCCTGGCGAGTTCTCAGTAAAGAATAATTTGATGTTAGCCTGTGACATACTCGTATATGATGTGTCTGCTTCAAGTTATCATCCAATTCTACGAGGAACTGGGTTGCGCGTCTTGAATTCCCTATCTGAACGAACTGTATTCCAACCTATACAAAAGTTTGGTCAGCAACTGGTGCAGCAAAGAAGCAATGTATATTCACTTGTGCAAGTGGCCACTTATCGGCGTCGAGTCGCTTAGCAAAAGAGACTATTACACTCTCGGGATCATCCGCTACTCAAACAGATCAGCGAAGTCAGCTATTAGCTGTTGTGTGGACTTACTTGGTGCCCCATCAGTGATGATGATCACGTTCACGGGCTTAATTTGCTTGCGCGCAAAATAGTCACCAGCATCCTCCTGTCTTTTGGCAGCATCCAGGTCACGGAAATAATCGCCGAGGATTATGTCGAGGCGATGTCCAATAGGGGTAGGGCCGCGAGGCTGGAGGTTGGTGAATTGTTCGTGGACAGCTTTGGAGTCCTGCAAAACGAGATCAATACCAATTTTGGATGTGACAAAAAGCTACCTACTGTAACTCCCGTTATGCTTTCGTAATGGTTCAAAAAGTGGATGTCGACGCCATTGGCATCATATTGGCTCGCGACACCAGCAAGTGTGGCAAGGGCCTGTTTTGCCTGGACATGACGATTTCAGGACCATCAACGACTAATGTAACGAGTATCATACCTCCTTCCATAGCGAACCAGCCATCGACGAGGAATCGTCCATGATGATAATTGTGTCATATTGGCGCAGTGTCTCGAGTGCGTCTTCCAATGATTCCTGACGCAGAGGTTGGCGGAGATACGCCACTCGGGCTGCTGCTCGAGAAGCTGTGTGAGATTGCAAATTAAAATTGATGTGGACTTTGGAGGGAACCGAATACCTTGAGCGTCATTTTCAGAGACAGGCGTCTCTGAGGTGGCAGAGGTAGTATACGGTGGCGGGGCTGATTGGTAGCTGCCATCAGTGTGCCCAGCAAGGGATGATTTGCTGTTCTGTACATGATCAATATTGAAGTCCCCAAATTGTCCCCTAGTACGCTGCGATCGTGACTTAGATGGCCCGTTTCCCATGATAGTAGTTTATCTTTGGGTGTGTATGAAAGCGAGGAGGGATTTATGGGACGAGCGTTAGAAGATTAAATTTAGTAAGTACTTGTGGGAGACTGGGAGACTGGAGTGGCCCAATGGAGGTGATAGAAGCTAGAGAATTTTGCGACTTATATAACGTTTGGGATGTGGACGAATGGAGAATTCTTTTGCAGTGAAGGGTAAGTACCTGCCACTTTGGCTTGTGACCTCAATGGCATGTTATCGGAGTCGATGGCTGGTGCCAGGTGGACAGTGGAAAGTGACCAAGCATTCCAAGTGGAAGGTCATGTGATTCGATTGCTGTGCAGGCGCTACCAGACACTGCCACCGCCCTCATCTTGTGCTAAGCGAATCTAATCATATCAGACTTCTGCTGTGTACCACTGGCGATCTACTGCTAGAAGCCACCATTTATGTCGTACATAGGCTGCAGTGCTGTACCATGTTGTTCCTCCTCTCACAGCTCCCGAGTTGCGTTCTCCAGCCTGACATATTTCTGATGAACAACCATAGGAACATCACGCTTACAACAAGATATAGCTGTGTTCCTGTATATTATCTAGGATAATGGTGCCAAACGATCCGCTACTCTGGGAAATGCATTGGCACTAGCTAACACGACCATCTTCTTCTCATGCGAGATATAACCTCTCATATATCCCTGGTAGATCATATTAGCAACATAGCATTCAGCTTCCTCCATCGAAACCTCGATCCCCTTTAATCGCAACGAACAGTGGAACATAGAGACGGGTATCCGTGTGCTTTGATCGGTTGCCACCCAGCTTAATCAAGGTAGTTAGTGCATATTCTATGTCATCGCTCACCGGCCGGTGGTCTACGTACACGCGTCTAAACAGGCCTCTGATGCATAGTTCTCTGGCTCGTTCCAGCGTCAACCACAGGTTGAGCTCGAGCAGGCGCCGTTCCCACTTGTCCAATGCTATGTCGTACGCAGATATATCTCCAGCACGTATAGCAGCAATAAAGGGCGTGAACAACTCGTCAAGCACAGGGAACCTGTCCATCAGGTCTCTGGTTGGGAGGTGCCCACGGAGAACACGTAGTGGGAGCAAATACGTCAGTATTCGTCTATTACCCGGGCGTCAATTTGCAAGCATCAGCCGATGATTAATATTGCTTACTCCTGATTACTATGTGCCGGGATATAGCATTGGTAAAAAGCTAGTGTTAGTTCCTGTTCGGACTGCTACCGTTGAGTCCGAGTGGCGTCGCAACATGATTAGGCCCGTACTTTATTATAATCTTCATTGAGAAAACTTAGCATGCCCAGGTAGTAGCGGTAGGTGACCTTACAAATCATGACGTAAGTGGTCCTCAGGAATAGGTGCTACTGATGTGAACGTACTTGATGTGAGCGTGGGTACTCTGAGAGAGGTGGTATATCGGGATTAGCGTTGAGCGCTCTGAGAATATTTTTCGACAACTGATATTCGTTTGACCTGTGAATTTTCAGTGGCAATGCAAGCACCAAATGAACAAGGAAGGACAGACCCGGAAGTAACATTTTAGTACAAGCCCGACAACGTAGTAGACTCCCCATTTACGAGATTCGTTCGGTGGTGAAGTTCTAGCGAGGTATTGGGCGCCTGTCAAAAATACGGGGACAGCTTAACAGGTACAGTACCTGTCTGTCATGCAGTTGCTGAACGCCTTGACAACAACGCCAGCAGCGCTCTCCATACATTCGCTTTTCTGATTATTGTATTTTGCGTAATTGTCGGCCTACAGCATTCAATGAGAGTTCAAGAAGTAGAAACCGGATGTCTCACATCAAAGGCAAGATCTCGTAGGTCTCTCAACATCGAGAACAGCGCAGGAAGTGTCCATCCAGTATTGTTGATGAAGTAACGGAAGAACTGACTGTGGACGAGTGAGCTAAGGAGGTGTCTAGAAGTACACAGATACGCACGAAACAAGTTGCGACTGCTCGTTGAATGCCTCCCCCGCGCGTTTTCGGGCGATATGTGTCGTGACCATAACATATCTGACAGCGATGTCGTCCCATGGGCTCTCAATACATCCACCGTAACGCGACATCAGTGTTTCGCGCTGGAAATCCGCTCTGAACGTCGACAGTGTTCCGAAAGGGTCAAAGACGCACTGTAGGATTACGAAATTCCTTGACGAGATCCTTCCCGTGAGGACTGGTTGGGCGCAAAAGATAGGCTAAGTTAGGTCCATTCTCTGACTGTATTGTCTCGGCGAGGGTCATAATGAAGGTCGAGAAGGTCATCGCCATAGTTTTGGGGTTGACTAATGTACGAAGGACTGGCCAACGTGACTATAAGCAAATCTTGGTACTATCTCTGATTTGGTGCTAGGCTTATTTATTTATTGCGGTCAAAGTGAAAGACGCAACAACTGAGATACTCACCTCGAGTAGTAAAATTGAGGCTCTTGAGTCTTGACGTTGAACTCGAAGTTAAAGTTGGAACGTTTACGATCACGTGGTAGATAACTCCTAAATATCAAATGACCTCTCAGGCTGGTCATATCTTGGACAACGACCTTCAACGTGTCAGCACTCGAGTATCATGGCTCTTCAACCCTCCCTTCGACCTACTATTATTGCGGGCGCTCACGATGCCCCGCATACCCTTGATATCTTCCGTGAGCCAATAAATTGGTCAAGTGCCTTGTAGCTAATCAACGAGAGGGTCCAGTGGACTACGTTTGTCCATTCAGGTTGATATCCACATACACCGATACGAAGAGCTGCATCACTAATACTGATAATCGTACAGCGCAAAGATATCGCTTGCAATCGACAACGTTTTAAAGCCTCTGGTCGACGTGGGAGGTTTATATTATGGCAAAGTGAAAGTCATTATGAGGCTCCAAGTCCAGCCATGGCATGCAACTTCAACCTACACTCATGAAGCTGGACTTGCTGTAAGCGCTTTAAATCGATACCCTTAGGATGGTCGTAAGGTGATCTGATCTAGGTTGTGCGTGCTGCTCCAGAGCAATTCTGGACATTCTCTCTCGCAGTAAGCATCACTTGTAATCACCAAAGTCGAAGTGACTTCTGCCGCTAAATCAATTTGATACACAGCTTTTCAAGCAACAGGGTGAATTCTTCGATGGTCCCTCATCCAACATGACTCCCCTGCAAATTCGCGAGAAATTGGCCAACATCGCTGCCCAAGTAATCACAGAGGAACAGTTAGTGATGTTCAAAGATCTTCTGAAGTTGAAGCCTTCTCCGAATGGCGGAATTGGCGTCACAGATGATCTTAAATATACTAGTGCGTCTTCACGTTTTTGTGGTGGTTTGGGGTCTCATACCTGTCATCGCACAGTCAAGTTCGCCAGGCAGAATGGCGTACATGTTTCTCCCACTGTCCTTTGGGACGGTTTGATTGCCAATCAAATCTCTAGCTCTTGGGGAGAAAAGGAGTGGTCCGATTTTCTTGCGAAGAACGTCGTTGTCTAGGTGTGAGGACCTACATTCTTTGAGCTGTACTATTAAGAAGTTTGATGTGATAAGTACGAATTCAATGCTGTTTCCTGATAGTCTCCACAACCACGATCCAAGACCTTTTGTATTTGTTGGCAATTTGTTGCACTGTACATCATTGGGGCTCTGGAACTGGAAGGATAGTTGTGTACATGGTCACCTTTAAGTACATTCTCGAGGTATGCCGCATATATGCATGAATCACAATCTACGTGCCGCGAGTTAGCTTCTGTCTAAGAGAAGTAAACACGCCGACGGTTCGAATGCGCATAAAATATGTGAACCAGAAAACAGCAATAATCTATAGATGGATGGTACATGTGAGCGTGAGATTCAAGGAACATCGGGCAGTGACTCACATTGAACGCGACGAATCCGAAGACGATGCCCAGGTTGCGCCAATGATCACTGTCTTTAATGTTGAACCTCGAGTACATGTACTGATCAGCAGTCTTGTATGGACAGTACTGACAGCCCTCTGCAGCTTCGGGGTTCGTGAGGTATCCGCCCGCGAATTCCATGAAGGGGCCCATGTACTTGCCGCATGTTAATTCCTCCGGGGGGTTGACGCGGACTAGTTCTGTGTAAGAGCAGGTAATAGCTTCCCCGCCAATAGCTGCGAGGACTCAGATGCATAACAACCAACAAGAAATAATTAACAGACCTTGACCAAGTAGACCCTCGATGATATATGCGAAAGGAGAGACCCTGTACATCCATTTCCACCAGTTAAGCTCGATGAATGGCTGGATTACGCCATCACTGATGTATCATTAATATGACGTAGCGCAGTTCAAAGCGTGCATCTCACAAAATCATGAGGAATATAAAAAGAGTTACGAGGTACAGAGATGCAATTGGAGCGGTTGGCGCCATCGACGCGATGGCATGTTCAAGCGTGGTATAGTACAACGGAAAGGCGACAGAAATCATGAGGAACGTGTAGCCTGCTCGTTCTGTGGGGTATCCAACGGTCCAGTACCAGCAGAAGAAGAACATCGCCGCACTTGTAATGTTCCAAGGAAGTTCAACAACAAGCTGTGACATGACGAGAGCAGTCCAGTGATACATTCTACTGGAACGTTCACGGATTTCGTACACTATGCGGATGTCAATGTAGACGGCCATGAGCTGATGGCCGAGGGAAACACAGAGCACAAGACCCAGGAAAATCGACTAAAAATGTGTAAATGACATTGAACGGGGAATCCTGATGGGTATACTCACAAACAACTTGTTTTGGGTGCCCTGTAAAGAGTTATTTGCCTGGAAGAATGTCAAGCCCATAAGAAGACCACCAGCAATGTTAAGCAGAAACTTGGTGCGGATGTAGGTAGGAGCGCGCCAGTATGCTCGGAAGTTCCGTTGGGTGAGGGCAACGAACTGGTGCGACCATGAGGTGGCGAAGACAGATTTCCGGACACTAAGCCGTCGTGGGCGAGTATGGCCGTGTTTATGTATCCTTTCGATTTGGACTTGGAGCTGTGTCGCTTCCGATGAGCGTTTCCAGACATCGCACCAGTCAGTGGTGGAGACAGTTGCTCCAGCACCTATCACATCGAGCATATATTCCGCCCTTGAACGTACTGATAAGCGTCGGACCTGGTATGACTGCATCTTACTTACGGATTGGCATCGGGGCCACAACGCGGAGCACCGTTAGACTCAAAGTAGTTCAGCATGGCTGACGAGTTCTCGCCAATGTCGCCAAAGTAGACAGTTCGTCCACCCTTGTGAAGGAGCAACAATCTGTCGAAGACCTGGAAGAGCTCCGCTGAGGGTTGATGGATCCTGGTATATATAGTTCGTGAGCAGTGGGGAAACCTACAGGCAGAAATGGTACTCACGTGCAGAGAATGGCCTGGCCATGATCAGCGAGTTCACGAAGGAACTGCACGATAGCCCAGGCAGATTGCGAGTCAAGACCAGACGTGGGCTCATCCAAGAAGAGTAGAAGTTTGGGCTATTGTGCTTGAGTATAACTTCACCCCGAGGGGTGTGCGTCCTACCTTAGCAGCGAGTTCCACTGCAATAGTAGTGCGTTTCCGATGCTCAACCCCAAGAGAGCCAACAATAGCATCGGCGTACGCCTCAAGGCCACACATTTGAAGGCACTTGCCGACGCTGAACTGGAAATGTAAGTGGAAATAGATTATAGGCATAAACCACACGCACTATGCCTCCTTTTCAGCGTGAGGGACTGATTGTGGCTGACGAAGATTAGCAGAGAAAATGAGCGCTTCACGAATAGTTGCATTGGGAAGGTGAGTATCGAGTTGTTGACAGTAACCACTAAGCATGGCAATCAAGCAACCTCAGCACAAATCAGAAAAACACTTGCATCTGAGCTTCGAAGTCTATGGGGAGCGGCTCTCCGTCAACAAACAGGCCACCGCTCACCACACCAGCACCAATGCGTTGTGCAAGAACATTTAAAAGTGTGGTCTACAAGCACCCAAGTAAACGGCATACGCGAGTGGTATATAGGAAGTCATACCTTTCCAACACCGGATCCACCCATCAAAACAGTAAGTTTCCCAGGGGCAACAAAGCCTGTGGCATCATCAAGAAGGCGTTTCATACCTCCCTCAGTAGGGACTTCATACTGCAGGTGCTGCCACGTGAAGTGATTCGGAACCATGATGTTCCCGTCGGGACTATCGAAAGTCAAGGGATCAGCCGCCTTGGGCTGACATCCAGAGCGAAACTCTATATCTCCTTCTTCTTCGTGAAGTGCTTTGGCATTTCCATCAATAGCATCAGAGCCTTGCTTGAAGAGAACGACGGCGCCGTCGAAATCGGACGAAGTATTGTATTCTGTGGCAACCAGAAGAACTGCCAAGAACCCAAGGTAGAAAGCACAAATGACACCAAAATTCTGAGGCAGTGTCATGAGCTATTCACAAAGTACGTGACCGGCCTACCCTCCAAAGATGACCATACCAAAAGTTAAACGTCAATCCAACATAGATGTTGCCATCAACGAGAAGATCCCCAGGCTGCGATCCGACTGTTGTACAAACCTGATTTACAAGTGAAATGTTCTCATAGCCAGGACCCTGAGGGACAAGAGTGGAGCAAACTCCGTGGAGCGTGTGGAACTCGTTGACAAGAAGTGAACCAAAACCCCACCACACTGGCTAAAATAGCAAGGTTGATACTAAGCAAAAGATGTGCCCTGTAAGGGATGACGCACGTTTAACCACATGATCCACCGTAAGCCCTTCGGAGCAATTGGCCAAGGAATTGTGTACCCGCCAGAGAGCGATATCAAAAGAACGAAGACACCACTAACAGCTATTGCACTCAAACGAGTTTTGAAACTTGCAGCAATAGCTCTGAACAATGACTTCATGGTTTGCGATGTTAAGAAGATGAAAAGGTAAAATATGCTATTGTGCAGCAGGGTGAGCATTACAGCCAGCCAAGACAAATAGCATGAAGCTTACAAAAATTGTGCGGCAGAACGTTGCAACCCAACTAGGAAGTAAACAATTACAGCGAAAACTAGTTGAATGACCAAAGTGATCGGAATATCAACGATAGTATGCGCGAGGCTCTGGATAAAAGGGTAATGTAACGCAGCTTTCTGGTGACGAAGCACGATAGGACGCTGGAGAAAAAGCGCAGGGACTTCTGCAACGGCTGTAATGGCACTAAAGAACAGGGAGCTAACAGAGCCCCGAGTTACAACTTGAATAATGACAAGGGAAGAAACTTACAAGAACAGGATACCTCCACGAGAAAAATAGGTGGAGGTGTCGTTTGGTACGTTCAGGAAGACGGTGCCCATAAATATCGCTTGGAAGACCTGGGAGCTATCACCCAAGGTTACTGGGGGTTGGAAAAGGAAGAATGTCACCTACGTCAGTTGAACGAAGAGCTCGAACTTATTACCAACAATAACTTGCAGGCGGCGCTTCATGACCGTTTTGATTTGATGGGGAATAGAAGTCATATATGCAGAAGTTGTGGTGGCACCTTCAGTGGTCACGCTAGAAAGATAGGCTTGCTTGTGTTCGTGATTGCCAACACATTGCTCCAGGCGCTGTTCGATCGCTTTCCGATTCTGATGTCCGAGGTCGGAAGCCATGAAACGGCTAGCAAGCTCTGCTGATGTCCGCGGGACAATGTTCTCATATCCAGGGCGAATTTTCCTCCCGTTTGCGTCCGTGACTGACAAAATGGTTATTGGGCAATCTAAGTAAACTGGAATGACATACCTGCAACCAGAAAATCGGGGGTGGTCTGCCTGTTTTGTGGTTCGAAACCCATATCGATGAAATAACCTTTGGCCGACTTCGCCGAACCGAAATAGGCCATCTTTCCTTCAGCAATAATACAGACCTTGTCAAACAGTTCATATATTTGCTCGCCTGCCTGGTAGAGAGAGAGAATTGACGTTGTACGTCTGACATCTGTGATGAAACGCAACGTGCGAACAAAATCAAGGGCAGTCGAGGAGTCTAGTCCACGAGTGGAACTGGATGAGAAGGAAGTCAGACGAATATCAACTGAAATGAAAACGCTTACTTGTCCCATGTACCAAGCGGGCCTACAGAGCCTAATATTTCTGCGATAGAAACTCGCTTTCTCTCGCCACCGGAAATACCTTGAATCTGAGCATTGCCGACCAAAGTGTTTTTCGAGCCGTAGAGGCCAAGGACTTTCATTAGCATCGTGGTAGTATCCTCAACATAGTCTTTGCGCGTCTGGCCGAGAAGACATGTTGCGGGAGCACGATTGCTAACAGCGAAAGAGAGCGTTTGATTGACAGTCAGGGTCGGGAAGTGGATATCATCTTCCGGGCAGTAAGTGACATCGCCACGAAAGGAGTCATGGATCTCCTTTGGGGTGAACGCATCATAGAAAACTTGACCCTCAACAGCATGATACTCCCCACATTGGTTAGCGATTGCTTTGAGAAAGGTCGAACACCCGGAGCCGGGACGGCCAAGAACCACTATACGAAGGGTTAAGACTGGAGGCCAAAGAAGGACGTGGGCTTACAAAGCATTTCGCCAGGAGTGACCACGCCCTCGAATCCGGATAAGATGTCTCTGATGGAGGGATGTCGAATTTCCCTTATCTTGCGCAGAAACGTTGAAGGATAGAAAGGGGAGCCCACAGTGGGCTGGAGCGAAGTACGGGAACATGCACCAACGACACGCAATTCTCTAAACATGACACCAAGTTGGCGGTCCTTGATTCCTTCATCTTGACGGCTGACGGGGAGATAATATACTGCCGAATTAGATAATTTATGCAAATCACCACGAGACACTTGCCGTTTCATGAGGTGTCGAAATGTCTGCTCGAAATGAACGGCAACCTCATTTCTTATGGAGGTGGATGTGCCCGACGATTTCTTAGGGAATAAGGGAGCAGGTGCGTCTGAATCTAAGCTGTGGATTGGAGTAGCAGCCTGGTTAGCTGAAGACTCGACCACTCTATCGGGAACGACATGTTGTCCTTTTTGATGGAGAGTCATAATTGGAATGAGTTTGCAGTGGACCGCAGAGGTTTGAGCTTCGGGGAGTGAAAAGGCTACCCACAGGAGTGTATGGGTGAAGCTGCTCAGTTATGTGAGAGGGAAACCTGACCATTTTTATATCATACTATTTACCGACCTATATGTGCTAGTCCCGACTGAAGTGTTGTTGCTGCGAAGCATGTCAGTCTCTGACGGAGCCTGAACGTACCTATCAGCGTTCCGCTACCTAACATAGGGTAAGTGTCAAAATCAAGGTTACTTAGTATTTGACTTACTATTCTCTTCCAATAGCATTAGGTATGCAGATGCATAAAAGCGTCAGAAATCCATTTTGACAGTGGACCAGTTTGAAGCCTCAAACAGAACCAATTGCTGTACGCAGAGCATGGAGCAAACATCAGCTCCTGCTATACCTACAGAAACCAACCCCAAAGCCTGTTGATCGCGCTCGCTGGTTTGGCTTGACTCACAAGTACAAGCCGATCATTTAAGTGCCAGCTTGGCTGGAAAGAACAAATAACGAAGATGCGATTTGTTTGGATATTGATATCATGAGACCTGTGAACTCTTGAGTAGTAAAAGGAATATTCATCTCTCGTTTCCAAAACCAGCGATCGATCAATTCGGAGCTGGGTATATAGATGATATCCAGGTGGGATAAACGCAAAGCGAACACACAGAAGCTACCACATCCAGCCTTTTGGTCGTGTTCAAGCCCAGATTGATGTTTCGGGGACGACGCCACTACTGCCATGGTCGGCTATCGCGGCGACTTCCACAGATTTTGAGCAACTACGCGTAAAAACATATTTGAAGGAGTCAAGGTAGGCAGTCTGTCATAATATTGAATGTACCCGGAATGGACGATTGGTTGCACTGAAATGGACGCACCCTCTAGCAATCATGAAGCCTGCATATTAGACGTTCAACGCCTGCACTATCCTGACACCGCCGCTGTTTGTGATCGATCATTGTCACCATCACGGTGACACACGCTTCATCCAATCTCACGGCAAGAGAACCATTGTCGATTGTCTTGTCGGATGTGCATCTTGATGAAGTTTCTTTTGTGTCACCAGTCAAACTTGTGTGCTGTCTGACTTTATTTGTCGGTTCATCTACCCTGGCCCTGTCAGCGGTAGTTCGGGAGGAGTGGAATTCTGGAACGAGTGTCTTGACAATTATTGTCACTGTGCAAGCACCACTCTTGATAGGTTGCTGTGGTATGAAACGGAGGTCTTTGATTTATCTTGCTGATCTTCCTGTCGACCATAGCTTCATTTCCCTAAGCGAGGTTGTTGCGAGGCCGTCTACAACGGCGCTCAACACACGAGAATATATTGTTCAACATTAGTCGAGCATTGCAGTCCATGATGCGGAGTCACATCCATGTGTGCGCTGTGTTGGAGACCGCGCCGATGTGGCATCAGTTACAAATACGTGACTAGTATGGCCAGCAGTGTGGCTCAGCGCTCAGCCACAGGCCCATCGGTAGGACGTTGCCTCCGTGCACCAGCCAACCTTGTTCGGACTTCAGCAGCTGTGTGGTATTCGCGAGAATCGTACCAAATCATGGTTGGATTCAATTCCTGTCTGGCAGGTATCCAGGGCTGCCACAGAAAAGGCCGAGTACTGCAATTGGGTATATTTTGATTGTTCAGTGTTGCATGACCAGAGGTTCCACGAAAGACATTTGCAAGCGTTTCAAAGTTGATTTCGTGTTTGGCGAAATTCTGCACAATTCGGTCCAAATATAAGTAGGAAATATAGCAAAAATCCATTTATTCCTGCCGTCCTGCTAATTATGTACACAAATTTGAGTTGAGTTTCTAGTGATCTACAGTTGTTCGTCTCCAAGACATCGCTATCAAATATGTACCTTGGCAATCTGCAAGTCATTCACACCTGCCCCCTGACCACCTTGTCCAAGCTCTCTGCAAAGTATCTTATGTTGTGCGAGTTCAGCCCAGCCATCGAAATTCGTCCGTTGGCCGTCAAGTAAATGTGGAAAGTATCTATCAGTGCTTGCGACTGAGATGGGTTGATTCCAGTGAAGCTGTCGCCCGTTATCAGTACGATGTTCATTCCCAGGATGGTATGCTTGTGCCATCCAGGCCACACCGTGGCGTCAATACGTGACCAATAGCACAAACTCACCTGAACATGCCAATCTGGTTGATGATATGAACCCAACTGCCTGGCGTTTTCAGCTCCTCCGTCAGGAGTCGATAAAGCTCATTGCGCATGGATATGATTCGCTCAGCCATGGTCTTGATGTCACGGTTCCAGTCGTCAAAGAGGGCACTGTCGTTGAGAATAAGCGAGACCTATTCCCCACCCCTCATCAGGTGAGCGCAGCTCATATTGAAATAGACTCACCAGGCGTGCACCGTAAGCCGGTGGGTTGCTTATTTCACTGCGCTGTAAAACCGACAGCTGACTCTTAACACGGTCTGCAGCATCCTTCGTAGGGGGGACGATGTGCAGCGCACCGATCCGCTCGCCGTACAGACCTGCGTTCTTGGCGAAGCTCTGGTCCGATCAGCTGTGCTGCAGTGGTCCAACGAGTGACGCACTGACCTGACACACAAGCATCGGCACACCCTTCTCTACGAAGTATCTAACTGCCCACGCATCGTTGTTGAGGTCACCACTTGCAAAGCCCTGGTAAGCGCAGTCGAAAAATGCGTAATGGTTTTTAGCGACAATGACTTCAGCGATGTGTTTCCATTGGTCACGAGTAGGGTCAACTCCTGTGGGATTGTGGGCGCAAGCGTGTAGCAAAAACACTGAGCCCGGCGCAGCACTTTGCAGGGTTCCAATGAAACCATCAAAGTCTAGCCCGATGGTGGCCGGGTCATAGTAAGGATAATCTATAGGCTGGATTCCAACATTCTTGAAGATGGCATGGTGATTAGCTGCAGGAACGTCCGATTAGATTTCCGTTGCACCCATTCCTACAACAACTTACCCCAGGTGGGATTGCTCAAGTAAATCTGCTTTGGGGCATCCCAATGATAAAACCTGCTTAGAAACAAGGCTCCCAAGTGGTTTGCGCCAGTTCCGGAGATGGTCTGCACGCTAACAGCACGGCCTTCTGCAATAGCAGGCGAATCGGCACCAAGGATGAGCTTTGCCGCACCGGCACTGAACTCTGGTAAACCCGTGATGGGGAGGTATTCGTGATCGAGATTAGGATCATTCAGAAGAATTTGCGTGGCCTATGGGGGCGCAGCGACTGAGTCCAGAGCGTAGTTAGGATATAAAGAGAACACACCTTCTTGATAACAGGAAGGACCCAAGGTTTATTGTCATCATCTCTATATGCTCCAACACCGAGGTTGACCTTCTGAGGAAACGTGTCCGCCTTATACGCCGCAGTCAATTTAAAAATGCTATCCGTGACGTTTAGTGAAGGATACAAATAGGTTATAGCTTGTACGCACCTGTCGGGTGGTGCAAGGGGAACATCCTGCCATGTTTCTGATTCGTGAAATGATTTGAATGCCGGGTATAGTGGCGGAATTATAAGCAGGGCTTACCCGCCGACATCGTGTTTGAACCTGAGAGGTGATTATATACTTGTCTTATCCTGTCTGACATGTTGGTTAGTTCCGAGATAAGCGATGTTGTAGGAATTGTAGATTATCGATTATCACAGTGATGGTACGAGTTGCGGCGACATACGGCAGCCGTGAAACACCCCATGTGATTATTGTCCCAAGCTTGTCAGCGCAGCTCTTGTCCATCCAACAAGCCTGGCAGCAATAGTAACTGAACATGAAAACCCAAGTTACTCACCAGTATCCGATTTGAAGGTGAGATCAGGATGGGAATAGCAAGACGATGTCACGGTATAAGTAATAGTGCCAGCTTCATCTCGTGGTAGTACGGTGAGAACATATAGCCGAGCTCGTTTTATTCCCGATCATGATATTCTAGATTTTCTGGTATTGAATCAAGGCCTCGTGAGGTTCTCAAACGTTTATCGGACTCGGTTTTACTGATCATTGTATAGCCGTTAACTTGAACCCGAACAGGCTACAGTACTGGTAGCGTCTGGAATTCCAATATGGATGGGTCATTTCGAACGCTGGCATGATCAAATGCCGCACATTACGCCCGTTTGGTGGTACTCGCTGCCTCCCAGCACCCTCCTTGTGACTTTCTCCTCCGCTCTTACTCCGGGAATGGTTTAATACAGAGCCAATCGATAATTCCTTTGGAAAATCCGAATTCGTTTTTCGGTTGAGTGGTATTTAGGCTCCGAGTTGCGGCCAGCCTGACTCTTCCAGAATTCTCTCAAGGTCAACGGGACTCCATGACTGGAACTCTCGGAGGACTCTTCCTTGTGACCCTTCCATCTGTGCGGTACCTTCAGAGTGGAGGCTACAGACGGAGTGGTCACCATTTGCTCCATATAACACATAGGGCCTAACGTCCCAATTATTCTCGAATTCCTCGTGTCCCAAGACCGGTATCGTTGTCACTGGTGTTATCTTGCCTTCTCGTACATTTTGATTCTTGATGCTTAACGAAATCCTGACGTACTAGTTCTACTCCCGTTGTTCTTAACGTCCGCGGAGACTTTACTCTTAACTCCTACTAGAGATTTTTACCTCAGATGCCCGTGGCATGTAGCCTACACTACATCATGTGCTGTGCTCCATGTGATCATAGAAATCATCATTCATACCTTCGTGATGGCAAGTCGAGTGACCGATATTCATGTACCTTTAACATGTACTAGATATGCTGGCGTATTACCGGACGAGAAATCTTAGCATTCAGTTTAAGATAACCATGAAAAGCACATGCACTAGCGTCGAGTAAGTCAAAGGTAAGTATACATTGTGATAGCATCAAACACTAAACTTTGAAAGCAAAAAGCAAAGCATGATAAGACAAGACAAATATAAAAACTTCCTCCCAAGATGGTCTACTTCGCGTTCTCCCTGGACATGAAATAGCTTGGGAAGATGCCCATCAGCTCTTCGAGGTACCAGTAATTCCCCGAAAGTTCATCCAGAGGGCCTTTGGCTTTCTTTCCGCGTTTTCCGTTGGACTTCTTCGGCGCTTCATTCTCCTCACGCACGATCTGCACCCATAACCCTCCGAGTCCCATCCCAAGGCTCAGCGTATCGAGAACGGTAGGCTCTAAGACCAGGACGATATCGTCCTCATATGGATTGTGCGGCTTTCCGGACCCGCTGCCTTCAACCTCGCCGTCGGGCATGACCACTGCACCGCGGGAGGTCTTGCGAATGAATGGCTTGGGAATATCGTTCTCCTCTCTCCCCCACGGGCTCATGACAACCCGCGCAAACCTCCGCTCTAACTCATCCTCCACCATTTCCGCTGTGTCACCCTTAATCTTTGCCTTATCCTTCGGGGGCAGGTGAATCGCTTTGATACGGCGTGTGGAGGACTCCACGACCCCTGTGCTGTGCGTCAGTGGGAAAGAGGTGGGACCCAGGAGAGACGTGAGCGAGGGCGGTGGGGAAAGCCAAGAGGGCTCAGTCACTTCGGGTGCAAATGAGAGTGGGGCGGAGTCCGCACCCCATTCGTCATTGTCATCCGCAGGGCCCCATGTGCCGCCATCGCCGATGGCACCCCAGGTGTCAGAACCTACAGAACCCCAACCTCCGGTGTCGCCCGTTGCACCCCACCCGCCGGCAACGGTGTCTGTTGTGTCTCCAGACCAGATGTCGGGTGGTGCGGTGGTGATAGGGGCGATGGTGTTGGCATTAGCGACGAGGGCAGTAGTGCGCATGTTAGTAACCTGGATCTCCATGTCAACATTGTCCTCGATGGCATCTTTAAGTGCTGTTTCCTCCGTATCTGGGAGAACGATCTCCGTTTCAGTACCATGCTGATCGGTAACAGTAATAGTCGCATCGACTGAAAATGGAAGTTTAACTCATCGATAAGCCATCATGTAGATGGCTGATATTACCTGGAGCAGGCTGATCAGTTGCCTTCAGGTGATCGTCAAAGGACCATTCAATCCCGCCTTTGCGGCCAAAGCACTCCTTGCAGCCATCGCTGAACACATCGGGTAACGCCTGCCCGATCTTGTATGTCAGGGGCAGCTCCTTCTTCGCGAGCTCCACAATATCAAGGGCACTACGGATGCCGCGTTCATGCGAGGCTTTTGGGAGGACGCGGTTCCGCAGGACAAAGTTCAAGAAAAAGCTGAGGAGGTGTGGTGCGTTAATGAGGTTCCTCTCCGACCTACGAGAGATACTCCAATAAGAAACACTTTATAAGTTATTATTGAGAAACAGACCAGATGAGGCCTTGTTCACGCATGTAAGACGATAGGAAAATTGTCACCGACTTCTCCGGGCCGTTCAAGAACACGGTCAGCTTCTCCTCGCGTTGTTCTTCCAGATCAGATTTGCGTGCCTGTAAACCTTCGTCGTCGTCGTGATCGTCTAATTCAACAGAGTAAGTTGAGCTAGCAGGGTCCTTTAAGGAAGGAGCTAGTCCAAAGGTATCCTCCCCGTTGATCTGAGTATTAGGGGGGCTATCGCAGTCATCGTCGTCATCGTCATCCGCTTCGTCTTTGGTCGGTTTGCGATAGACCGCTGGATTGACAAGGAGTCCAACATACAGACGAAACTATGAGAAACTGTAAGGTTCGCGCAAGCACAAAGACGAAAATAACTACCTGGTCCCAGAGCTGGCCGACTCCAGAAGTGACCGGCGGCCAAGTGCGATTGACCCGAAAGTCGTTCGCAGCATGAAAGAGGCGATCCACGTGAGATATATTCCTAGCAGGCTGATCAGTAACAATTCACGATATCGCAGACCTTAAGATAGGATCAAAGGTGATAAGAAAAAAACGACCTACGAATCGAACTTGCCCTTCGTGATACGCAGATCTTCACCCTCCTCCCACTCTTCGTACCACGGAACCTTCCTTGCAGGCGCGCTGTCTACGCCAGCAGTCTTCTTCTTACGTTTCCTCTTGCGTGTGTTGCTCTTGCACTCGTCAGTTGAATGCTTCACGCGCAACTCGACGGTGGGTATGCCCAGGCCATCGAGCTCCATGTCTTCCTCATTCTGGCCGCCAACAACTTCAAACAGCTGTATCCCGCGCGCCCTGAAATCTTTGAAAGGGATGAGTGTCACACCCGGTGGGGGTTTTGGGAAGGGTGGAAAGGTAATGAACGCCAAGTCCTGGGTTACTGTCGTGTCTGCCGCAGAGGGCTCAGCAATCCTTGAAGGCATTTTGATGAACGTTGTGGTAGACAATCAAGATGGGATCGATAACTACGATAGAGTTCTTTTTAGTGCTTACCGGAGTATCCGAAGTATATGATTTTCGGAAACATTAAATGCTGCTCTTTCCAAATCTAGACCACGCTACCTATAGCATCCAAGCGTCTGTTGCTTACATCGACATTGATATAGTGAAGTGTTGTACAATGCGATTCTATAATGGAGTTTGTAAAAAAAACATAAGACCGACTCATACAATAGTCCGCTGCCACTACAATGAATCCTACCGCACCTCCTTCGGCGGTATCCACTCTGGTACCTTCCCCCATTCGAACTTCTCTGCCGCGAATGCAGCTTTGACATCTGCTGGTATTATGTCCATGTAGTTTGGCGGTAATAATGCAGCGTATCTGTCAGGTTTTATCTGAATTTTAGATCGTGAAAATCCAGGTGCTGATGCAGACGGTTTCGAAGCATCGATTGGGGTTGTTGCCATCGGAGTTGCGGAAGCAGTAGCAGGCGCAGTAACGCCGAAGGATGGAGCTCCGGCGCCTGTGCTACCGAAGGCAGACGTCGCTGGCGCTACTCCGAAGGCAGACTGGGATGTTGCGGAGGACGCGCCGATTGGGCTTGGTGCAGATGACATAGAGCCAAAAGCACTTTGCGAGGGTGTCACAGAATTAAAAGCACTTTCTACCTGTGCAGGTGCAGCAAATGCACTTTGTGTTGGCCCAGGGGCAGGGGCTCCAAACGATGGTTGTCCAAACGCTGATGATTGCGTCGGTGCTGACGCAAACCCAGATGGCTGAGGTGCAAAGGCAGAAAAACCGCCACTGGCTCCAGTGCCAGCGCTGGTGCTTCCAAATGCTGATGATGGAGGCCCAAATGCGCCTGTGGAAGGTGCCGAAGAGCCAAATGCACCTGACCCAGGTTTAATCAATGAAGATTGTCCGAAAGCTGATGTTGGCTGAGTGGCTGAACCGAATGCAGAGGGTTGCCCGAACGCAGAGCTTGGCTGCTGCCCGAACGCTGATGTCGTCTGAACAGGCTGCCCAAACGCAGAAGTTGGCTGCTGCGGCTGCCCGAATGCAGACGTAGACTGTTGTGGTTGCGCGAAGGCGGATGTTGATTGTTGTGGTTGCGCGAAGGCAGATGTTGATTGCTGTGGCTGCCCAAACGTTGACGTAGTCTGGGCAGGTTGGCCAAACGCAGAGGTCGTTTGCGCAGGTTGTCCAAATGCAGACGTCGTCGCGGATGTGCCAAACCCTGTCTGGCCAAACGCAGGCTGGCCAAATGCAGACTTTCCAAAGGCACTGGAAGCCGCGCCAGACACCGATGGCTGAGGGCCAGAACCAAACGCTGGCCCGCTACCAAATGCTGATAGCCCACCAAAAGCGGACACATGGCCGAGCGCACTCGACCCAGGCGAGGATGCTTCCTTGCTCAATTTAAGAGCAGCATCATGCAACTGTTGAACGTTGCTCCTGGCGCTGTTGTACGCCTGTTCTGAGGCAGCTATTTTGTCTGACTCATATTTCATCTATAGGTAGATTGATCAGTCATCAAAGAAGGATATTATTTATCTATTATACTACGCACATATTCGTTGGTAGTCCCTGCCTTCAACGCAGTCACTGCCTTCGCGCGAAGTTCCTCAGGCGACTCGTCTAGTCCACTGATAACCACCGGTTCATACTTCGCAGCACCATAGGATGACAGTGGCCATGAAGGTTTATCTTGTAGAGGGGTGATGTCTCTTGTCACTGATTCAATGCTACAAACCATGGTGTTAACAGATTGACCGTATGTCGACCTTCCTGCGTCATAGATCCCAAATAACTTACGAATATGGAACTGCTATGTCTCTCGAATTATTATTGGTCCAACTTTGATCTAATAATTATATGTGAGAATATGAAAGAAAAGACCGAAGAAAGTCGAGACAACGTACTCCCAAAACCACTCTGTTGTGCTCTATCCGCTGGATGCTCGTTGCGACATCTATCGCCGTACTTGCACGCACCACGTAGATAGTAGGTGCAAACTGTCTGACATTACGACCGTTAATGTTGCCTCAAGTTCTCAGAGTGGCATCGTACCATAGGATACGGACTCTTGAATGGAGCAAGGTAATTGCAACCAAATCGAGCTTGTTTGCACAATGCGTATACTTACAGATTATGTAATGACCTCAGAATTTAATAAGGACAAACAACAGTTGACCGTCTTCATTCCGACACTGATAGCCTCAGGCCAGTTTGTGATATAGAAAAACTCAAGCTGGATAATGAAAATACAGTGACAATGCGTACGGCTATTATTTTACAAATTTATCAAGTAGAATAAGCACATCGTCATTTTCCTGATGCTGACTGGGCGAAAGTGGCGTCGAGGGCCTCGGGTCCTATCTCCTAGTAAACACCGTGGTATTCGAACATCAGCTTGGAAGAAAGGGTGCTGATCCAGACGATAGGTCATAATGCAGGGCTTTCAAGCGCGCTGGATGGTGAGTGAGGATCATCCGAAAGAAAGTTCAGTCGTGCACGATATAATAGTTGCTTGGAGAATTTCACTTTCACAAGATACACAGTTGGCTAAAAGGGTTTCTGCGCACAGCAGCGTGCTTGATACCATGTGATATGGTCGGCCACTGGATATAATTTACGATTGTTAGGCGTTGGAATCTGCCACCGGTGGAATTAGAAAGGAACTCGTTCGTTGAGATGTTGTCAGTAAAGGCTTCGAATACCGGTGCACTTACAAAACACCTCGGCGGACCACACTAATACACGGCATCACCATATCAATCCCACCAGCCCCATGTCCTACCCAAAACAAACATAGCTCCAAGACCCGTCAACCAAGAGACACTAAGCACGACCGTCGATTCACTTTTGCATGCATCCACATTCTCGCATCTATTCGTGATCGGATTTTTGCAGTAATTGGGAACAGTCGAGGTCCCAGTGTACGGTGCAGGTTTTCCCGTCAATGGCCCAAGAAGGATATCAGAGTCCCCAGAGATGGATAGCAAAACTGCAGCTGCGAAATATGGATGCCTAATCGCTGAAAATGTTTAAGTCGTTCAGAAAATATCACTAACGAGAGGAAAAATAACCTACACCAGGCGTTGACTCCTGTCAGAGCATGCGAAACACAGGATAGGACAGTAAACGAATTGGAATCGGAAGTGCTCAAGGGAATTGGAACTCTGGCAGTGCCCCGCAATTTAGAAAGGATGAAGCTCCACAATCTGAAAGGGACCGAGGGAATGGCACCCCACAATTTGAAAACGCCCGAGAGAATATTGTCCCTCAAATTGGAAGTGCCCGCGAGAATAGTCCCCCACACTTTGATCCAGTGGACACTGAACGGATCTAGGCCTCTGTTAGATCGTCCTCGAAAAAATCAGATCCCTATTAACATACTCGATATCATCCCTATGAGCTGCCGCGCCTTCTCCTGGTATTGCTGAAACGCTGGCATATCAGAGCTCCAGTGGCCATATGCGGAAACCTGATTACTAGAAAGTGTGCATCAGGCCATCAGCCAAGGCAGAATAACCATGAAGTGAATAACATACACCAATTGTTTAGCCCCTGTCAGAGCGCCGGACCCATGAGAGATGATATCACCCGATACTTTCGACCAGTCTATGTTCGGGAGGTTTATATCATCTTTCTTAGATATGGCCTGATTGCTGAAAAGAGTGTAAACCGCGTCAACAAGAGGCATGCGTCGTCAAGGGGCGAAGAACCTTAATTGTTTGACCTCTGCCAGAGCATCAGACGCACGGGATAGAACAGCGCCCGACACTTTCGACCAGTCAGGCAGGTTTACATCGGGCGGGGACACGGCCTGATTGCTGAAACATGTTAGGCTACCATCAGCAAAGGCCATGCCAGTGCATACTCATGGGGCCAATAACCTCATTTGTTTGACCTCTGCCAGAGCATGGGAAGCACTGGAAATAACAATACCCGACAATTTCGACCAGTCGGGCAGTTTTTTATCTTCCTTGGACATGGTTGAACCTGGTGACTAGTAGGCCGTGAAGAAGAGCGACCAAGCGCTCATGCACATGATCATGAACACCTACCATCAATTGTTGAACTCCCACGATGCCAGAGTCAAACTTGTCGTTTTCACAAAGTCATCCTGAATTTGCTGCAAACGGAGGTCGACGACGGGAAGACATTCGAGAGTAAAGAGCGCGACCGATTCAGACACCGCGACGCGTATAATTAGCTAAGCGAAACAACTTTATTCAATTGCAATAGTACGACGCGACGGGTCTACAAGCGTACGTTTGACTACACTTTTACTGATCAAGTAGACATGAACACCTCACTTGGGATTCCGTCGATATTATGGCTCCACGTTTGACTACCACTCCCTCCACTCAACATACACGATGTCCAGCAACCACATCACTTCCACCACCCCCACCTCCTGCCCAAGACAAACACGGCTCCAATACCTGACAGCCAGGAGACACCAACCCCAAGTATCGATTCTGTTTCAGGTTGATCTCTATTCTTATGTTCTTCAACGCTCGCTAATCTCAGTGCTTCTTCCATGTCATCATCATAATTGTCAGCGGCCCCGTATGACTGGAATCTCGCAAAGGTAGAGTCCCGTGGTACGTAGCCACCATAGAGATGGGACTGGTACTGGGATGCCAATGAATCTGTCATATTCGTGTTTAAGATCATGAGGCTCCTGTAGTTGAATGAGTACGATGTACCTTTCGCTACTCCTTGTCTCCTGAAACCGAAAATATACAGGGTAAACCTCCCCGCGAGCCGTAGTGGCGTAAGTAAGAGTTCAGGATTGGCAGAGATCAATATCAAAGCTCCAGCTGCTACATATGGATGCCTGGTTGCTGGAGATTGCGTTATCAACGATATCGTGAAGAAGAAATAAAGAACCTACACCAGCTAGTATTGACTTTTGTCAGAGCATAAAGCGAAGAGGCGTGCATAGTGTTCCATAGTTCAGGCCATTCAATGTCGGGTAGGTCTAAATCTTGCTGGGACATGGCTGTATGCGTGCAAGTCTGCTAACTGGATAAATCTGTTTATAAAGTAAACGCCAAACGCTGGTGCATCATGTTTCCATGAAATTAAACCCACGTTGACATTCTCTAGACAAAGGTCACACATATGTACGTAGTATCATCGGCTCTTCGGCCTGATCACTCGCAAACTCAAACCCTCAGCCAACTGCATAATCTTAGGTTCCCTTCCTTTCGACACGATGCAATAACCAGTTGCCTCATCAGAGCCACCACCTCCACTCCCGGCCCAAGACAATCGCAACTCCAACATACGATAACAAGGAGACGAGCGTCAATGGAACTGGCAACATGGTGGCCCCAGTTGATTGGAGGTGCGCGAACGAAGAGCCTCGCGGCACAGTACCACCGTAGTGACTGGACTGATATGCGGATGCAAATGAACCTGTTGTTGTGTGTTCAATTAGGAAGTGGAAACTGCCGCCAGTGATTTGTGTACCTTGCGCTACTCCTTGATTCCTGAAGCCCAAACACCAGATGACAAGCTGCACCGGGAGAAGACACAAGAACACTGCAATCGCTCCCGTCAGCTGCAATAATGCCAGGAAGACTCCAATATTTGTGACTGCAGAGAGCAATATCAAGACTCCGGCTGCAACGTATGGATGCACGATTGCTGTGAAGTATGCGTCAGTACTATATCATATATCGCGATCAAGAGCTGGATGACACCTACACCAGTCGTTGACTTCGATTAAAGTGAGCAAAACACTGGAAAGGATAGTGTTCCACAAATTGACCCTAGAAAGTATGCATCAAGCGCTCCTATCAACAAAGACGTGAAAATAAAGCAGTGAATGTCATACAACAGACGTCCAGCCTGTCCCAGAGCATTAAGAATATCGGCCCATATTTGGGACCAGTCAACGTTTTTCAAGTCAATGTCTTTCTGGGACACGACCTGATTGCTGTGCATCGAACAGCGTCAGCGAAAGCATAATAGCCAAGAGGTGAATAGCCAAGAGGTGAATAACATACGCCTGTTGTTTGACCTCTGTCAGAGACACTTTGGGGAAAAAAATGTCTGGCAATTTCGACCAGTCGGACATCATGATAATTGGAGGCATGAAGGGCAATACCACAGGCTTCGAATCAATTCCGAGTCGGCAGAACCGAGGTACTCCGCGCTGCCTCCGCGTGTTACGGTCTCTTATAAGTTGGCCGGTCACAAATTTACACTTATACCGAAGTCCTCGCCAAGTGCAAACGCCACCGGCGACACTTCTTCTGTAACTTATGCGTCAGTGGCATGTAACCTGCGCCATATAATAGCATCCACCAAGCCTCCACAAACCAACCCGGAACTCTGCCATTTACATATTTTGACCATGGTGATATACATACTTCCACAAGATAATCCCACTTCATCACCATCCATTCGATACAAAGTGACACCAGTCCCCTAATTGGATGCACCACTCCCGTCCCAAGATAATCACAGCTCCAGTATACGCCAACAATGAGATAAGCATCGAGGCGACTATTGGCGTGGTGGACGCATATAATTGGAGTTTCGCGAATCCAGAGCCTCGCGACACATTACCACCGTCATGACTGGACTGATATTGGGATGCAACTGAATCTGTGATAGCGTGTTTGGTTAGCAGGTAGAAAGCGCTTTGTTTGTGTACCTTTTTTACTCCTCGACTCCTGAAGCCAAAACACCAGATAATCAATCGCACCGGGAGAAAACACAAGCACGTTAACACTGTAGATGCTCCCGTCAGCCGCAATACTCTCTAGACAAAGGTCATGCATATGTACACAGTATCATCGGCTCTTCGGCCTGGTCACTCGCAAACTCAATCTCTCACCCAACTGCATAATATCAGGTTCTTTTCGATACGATACAACAACTAGCCACCTCATTGGAACCACCACCCCCACTCTCGGCCCAAGACAATTACAACTCCAGCATACGATAACAAGGAGACGAGTGTCAGTGGAACTAGCCACATGGTGGCCCCAGTTGATTGGAGGTGCGCGAACGAAGAGCCTCGTGGCACAATACCACTGTAGTACATGGATTGAAACAGGGATGCAAATGAACCTGTTGTGGCGTGTTCAGTTAGGAAGTGGAGACCGCTGATTTGTGTACCTTTCGCTACTCCCTGACTCCTGAAACCCGAACACCAGATGATCAACTGCACCGGGAGGAGACACAAGATCACTGCAAATGTTCCCGTTAGCTGCGATAATGTCAGGAAGACTCCAATATTTGTGACTGCAGAGAGCAATATCAAGACTCCGGCTGCAACGTATGGATGCACGATTGCTGTGAAATATGTGTCAGTACTGCATCATATATCGTGATCAAGAGCTGGATGACACCTACACCAGTTGTTGACTGCTATTAAAGCGAACAAAATACCGGAGAGAATACTGCACCACATGTTGGTCCAGTAGGTGCGTGATATATCTAGATCTCCGTTAGATCGTCCGTGGCGATATTAGACCTGTCTTAATTTACTGAAGATTACTCCAACAAAGGCATACACCAGTCGTCCTGCTGTTGCCAGCACACTAAAAGCATAAGAGAGAATGTTGTCCCACAATTTCGACCAGTCGAACATATCAGTCGCACTGGATACAATATTGCTCAACAATTTGGACTGGTCAACGTTCTGTATGTCTATGTCTCTCTGAGACGCGGCCTGATTGCTGCGTGTTAAATTGCGTCAGTGAGGGCGTAATGTTTATGGGGCAGAGAACATACACCAGTTGTTTGGCCTCTGTCAGAGCATCAGACACACGGGAGACAACATTGCTCGATACTTTAGACCAGTCTACGTTCTGCGGGTCTAGATCTTTCTGAGAAATGGCTTGGCTGCTGATGTATGCGTTTACCGGCATTAGCAAAAGGCTAGGAATCAATGGGTGCATAACCTACACTCGTTGTTTAGCCTCTGAGAAAGCTTCGGACCCTTGGGAGAAAATACTGCTCATCAATTTCGACCAGTCTGTCATAGCTGTAGATGTGGAAGGTCAATACCTGATGGTATGTGTGAACGACTGTAAGCGCTCACCAGCTGAATGTCCATCAAACGAGCTCCCACGAAATCCCAAATCTGTCATAAGTCAATCATTTGACAAGCTATCTACACAACACATGCCTTTCGAAATTCTGCTGGATGCATCAATGCCATATAGTCGTAGGTATGCATAAATATTGTATCATGACGCAGCTTCGAGTCAAAGTCGAGAAGCCGGAACCTTGGGCACGAGCAGAAATGAAGCAACATTCCCACCCCGTCAGCAGCTGAATATCATGCGGTGCACGTCACGGAAAAAAGTCAAGGCTTGGCCTCTATATGTGGCGCCGCATGTCGCATAGCCGGAAAATTATGTTGCTCTCACTCTGACAGGTGAACGAGAATTGACTTGTTGCAGACCAATTTAGATTCGGCAGTCCGCGGTGTTCGTAAGGACCACGGCAGACTCCGCGCTGCTTCCGCGAGTCAGTCTCTCTAACAGCGTCATAACACATCGGGGTGAACGATATTTAAAAGAGGTTTATATGTTGTACAAAATGTGAAGACAATATTTAATATTTAAACTAACATAAAGATGGGTGCACGACTTCAAATTTTGGTGGTGTTTTGTGTGTAATCCAAAATATCAAATATTCACAACCATATTCCCACAGACAATATGTCAACAAACATAAGAAATATAGTCAGATTTTTCATGTCTGCTTCAACTTAAAGTTCAATTTCCATGTAAAACTTTGGAGAAAACTTGAAGTTTTACAGATGACATGACATTAAAACTCGATTTAAATGTCAAGCTTTGGCAAAACTTCAAGTTTTCTCCAAAATTTTATGTAAGAATCAAACTTTAAATTGAAGCAGACATGGAAAATCTGATTATATTTATTATATTTGTTGACATATTGTCTGTGGGAATATGGTTGTGAATATTTGATATTTTGGATTACACACAAAACACCACCAAAATTTGAAGTCGTGCACCCATCTTTATGTTAGTTTAAATATTAAATATTGTCTTCACATTTTGTACAACATATAAACCTCTTTTAAATATTGTTCACCCCGATGTGTAAATATCATAGTATCGTTTTCAACTAATACCAGGCAGTACGATGGGGCCGCACAAGTCATGACAGCGAATTCACGGGAACACATCGTTCTACTGATACATAGACGACATGCCTCACACTTATAAGTCGTATAAGTGAATATCTAGAGCATCGCAAGTGTATTCCATGTTGCTGGCACTGACTCAACTCCCTCCATCGAACATCCACACTACTACCTATCGCATCAATACCACCATCCCCACGCCCTGCCCAAGACAAACCAACCTCCAATACCTGCCATGAAAGACACGGGAGCCGCAATCGTTGATTGTGGTTCATCTCCGTCCTCGTAATCATCAGTAGCCCCATGCGCCTGGAATTTTGAAAACGCTGATTGCGATGGTACATAGCCACCATAACGACGGGATTGGTATCGGGATGCGTATGAACCTTTGATAGCGCGATGAGACAAGTCTTGTAGCTACTACAGCTGTGATTGCAGACGTACCTTTTGCTACACCCTGTCTTCTAAAACCGACGATATACAGGATGAACCTGGTCAAGAGCTTGAACGGCCAAAGGATTAACCGGAATGGGAGGAAGCACAAATAACGCGCAATCCGCAATGGTGTTAGGAGGAGTTCAGGAGTGCCAGAGATGTATATTAGAGTTACAGCTGCGATATATGGATGTCTGATTGCTAGAGAAGAGTGCATATTTTTTTTCAGCAATGAGCGATGAGGAGTGAAGAAGAAGCGAAAACTAACACCAATTGTTGAGCTCTGTCGCAAAATAACAAGTGAGACAGGTGGTAGCATCCCACAATATCGACCAATTTAGGTCTAAGTCTTGCTGGGACATGGTTGTATGTGGTCAGGACCATCCATCAAGAAATGTGGTTGATATTAGGCGTCAGGGCACGATAACTTTAAATAGGCGCCAGGCGCCAATACCGCACCATCAATTTTGTATGACACCAACCGCATTATTACAAGTAAAAGTAAAGATAAGTACTCGGAAACGTAGGGTTACCAAACATGTTCAGGTAGGCTGGTATATGATGACATGAACGAGCACCAAGGACTATTTGAGTAATACAGTCGTCAAGGTAGAAGTGAAAACTACTCGAGGATCAACCTATATGAGCAACCGTTCTTGCAGGTGTACCATCTTCATGGGCAGTATAGAGCGTGTTTCGATTTTACTCCAGAGCTGATTAAAGTACAGTTGATGGTTATAGATGAGAGATGGGGAGATATTATTGAATACTTACCAGTGAACCAAGCACGCAAGTCGGCTTTCATATCCTCATCAATCTTATCCATCATGGACTGATACGATTCGACGGCCGCTCTCAAACTACCTGCTCGAAAGAGTGCACGACACTGTTGTCGGTTTGCAGTTTGCCACAATGACTTGAGGTCCCAACCAAAGAGCTGTGGAAAAGACGCAGCTGAGCATGAAAGAATTTTCGATGTGTCATATCCGCATACCACGACAAATTCATCGTACGTCAAATGAATGGGCGACTTGTAGAAGAAAGTACTAGAATTGGCAGCGGCAGTGAAGTGTTCAACGGCTTCGTTGTAGCGGGCGCCCTGCAAGGCGATATTTCCCAGTTGGACGCGTAGGTAGGCCTGGTGTACGAAGGGCAAGAATCAATGACAGGACGTGAAACTGGCGTGGTCAAGCTTACTTCCACGATATAACAAGCAACAAGATCGACATTGGGACACGTAGCTAGCTCTCGGATGCGAAGCATCGCCTCTTGATGTTCATTTGCATTGAACAATGCAATGGCCTAAAAATCATAATGAAGCACGAGTATGTTGGAAAATATTACCTGCCTTGATGAGGAAAAGGAAGTGGCCGGTCTTTAAATCTCGGTTCGTGAACATGGATGCGAGGTCAAATGAAATCCTCGCAGCCGGAACCTGGTTTTTTCCGCAGAGGGCAATACCCTCGGAGATATGGCCTGCCAACGATGGCTGAATGCTGACGGACTATGCCATCATCAAAGTTAACTTTGTAAGGACGTCATGATGGGTCAAGTCAGTCTCACTTGAATTGCGTCTTGAAGTGCTTGGTTCCAGTCGCGTTTTCGCGCCATAACAAATGCACGATTGGCATAGGCGGTGTGATCGTCAGCGTCAGCGTCAATATCTCTATTCAGCACCTTTTCAGCAGTAAGCCAGTCCTCAACTATGCATGCGTTGCGGACTGTCGAGTTCATAGCGAGGACCTGTGTAAATCATGTTCACGTTGTATTTGTCATAAGGGTCAAAGGTAGGAACATGCCTTGAAATCAAAGTAGCCTTGAGCCTTGGCATAAAAAACCCGCTTAGATGATGAATGGGCGAGAAAATGAAAACAGACGTGCCTGGTGTGTCGCCTGCTCCTTCATGAGGCCATCTTTTGGACCGCCCTCTGGCAAAGCGTCCTCGGATGTTGGCCACTCTGAGATCTTTTTATCCACACCTCCACTGAGGATGCGCTTGCCATCAGCAGAGAACGTGACACAGTTCACCTCTCCAGAGTGCTTGAATATGGCAATGTTTCTTCGATCTGAGAGTCGCCAGAGGCGGACACGGTTGTCACGAGATGCGGAGGCAAGGAGAGTGCCGTCAGAGTTCACAGAAATGGCGTGGATATTCTTGAAATGGCCCTTCCAAGGATCACCGACCTGCTGCCAGGTCGATGTATCCCACTCTCGTATGGTGGGATCTGTCTGATTGCCCCCCGAGAGAAGCCGTTTGCCATCTGGCATCCATGCGAGTGAGTAGTTGAATCCTCCAGTGATCGTTCTCAGCAAGTAGTGAGCACCGAAATAACTTCCGTAGTTCTCATAAATTTGGATATGGACGTCTGTTGCAATCGCAAGACACCCACGCATCGAATACCGAACACAGCGGACATTTCCACCACAGCTGAATGAATAGTGGGGCATCTTCAACGATTGTAGGTACCATATTTTCGTGGTGGTGTCAGATGATCCACTGGCCAATGCCGTGCAATCTGAAGAAAAATCAAGTGAAAATATCCAGTCGTCGTGGGCTTTATTAATTGTTTGGCGGAGTTCCCCAGTTTTTCCTTGCCACGTGATGAGCTCTCCGCTCTCATCGCCGCTTGCTATCCATCTCCCATCTCGTGAAACAGCCAGTGCGCGCACCCGACTGCGATGCCCCTCCATCATCTTCAACATTACACCTGTTTTCAAGTCCCAAAGACGAAGCATCCCGTCATATGAGCCCGTGACCATGCGTTCGTCGTAGCTATATTGGGCATTGAAAACCGCGACTGCAACCACGCGATCCCCATGATCTTCAAATGCTCGAATGGGTGTGGTGTTTGGAATGAGCGCTGCCATTGTAGTGGAGCTGCAGCACAGTTGATGTGGATTTGACGTGTGTGGGGGGATGGCGTCTTACTCGAAGTTGCAGAGATGCGCGTGATGGAGTGTTTTAAACCTGCTTCATAGCAAAACTCCCTCACTAGACGCCCAAAATACGAGGCTATTATCATAATCACCTTGCTTGCCAATCTAAACGAATGGGCTCATGCCCTCAAGTCATGTCGCCGCAATTGTCCACATCAGTCAACGAGCCTGATCATAATTGTTTCAGGAGTCCACGCGGCAGATAGGAAGAAGACTTACATGATTCACCTGATTGACCATGCCCCTGAATTTCGATAAAGTCATGACTCCAAAATGTAGTATTCCACCCGGTGACATGTTGAGCTTCTGTTCCCTGGAACGTTTGTAGCGTAGATTCTATAGCCGCGAGGCTTCCTTTCATCTCCTCTGGTTGTTAGCATCACGGGTGTGCGATCTACCATTAGTATTGAAGATAATAATTTAAAATTGTTTCAAACTGATTCAAGTCCTGCAGCTATTATTGAACTTCGTTCGAACGTTGGAGTATTTTGGATTCGATGATTTTGGATTGGCAATTCGAACTTCGAAAACATGATGTCTCTCGGACTTCGGGTGGTTGAGGATGGCAATTGGTGTGGCAATGACCTTCTAGTTCGTGTTCTAGCAGTGCCGAGACACGATGCATACAGTGTATAGTTCCCGTGTCATGCATTCGTGGATGGTCAAGTTTGTGATGTTCGAGGTTACTTTGCACATACATAGAAGCCAGATCTGGAGATGTGGCGATGACGAACTTCGAACTCGAACGTCACAGCCACATATGACTAAAAATATTGAGATCGTCACAGCCTGAAACTTCACGACACATGTGCGAGACGATGTTCAGAAGTTATTTCAGGTAAAAGTAAACACAGGGTAAACATGCTCAAGCGGGCCAGCATATTATGACACGAACACCAAGTACTATCTAAGTAATGCAGCTACCGTCAAGGCACAAATGAAAATTACACGAGGAACTTCAAACTACTGCTCGGTACGAGCGCGCCATCTCCATGGGAAGCATAGGCCGCGTTTCGACCTCACTTGAGAGCTGAGTGAAGTGCAGATGATGATTATAAACGAGGAGACAGGGAAATATCACCGAATACTTACCAGCGAACCAAGCACGTAAGTCGAGCGTCATATCCTCATCAATCTTATCCATCATCGACTGATACGATTCGATGGCTGCTCCAAAACTACCTGCTCGAAGGAGTGCATAACACTGTTGCTGATTCGCAGTTTGCCACAAGGACTTGAGGTCCCAGCCAAATAGCTGTGGAAAACACGCAGTTGAGCACGAATGAAGTGTCGGTTGAGTCATATCAGCGTACCACGACAAATGCATCGTACGTCAAATGAATTGGCAATCTGTAAAAGGGGGTGCTAGCATTGGCAGCGGCAGTGAAGTGTTCAACAGCTTCGTTGTAACGCGCGCCCTGCAAGGCAATGTTTCCCAGTTGGACACGTAGGTAGGCCTGATTTACAAAGGACGGGAATCAATAACGACACATGAATCTGGCATGAGTGGGCGAATGGTACTCACTTCCACGATAAGACAAGCAACAGAATCGACATCGGGAGACGCAGCTAGCTCTCGGATGCGAAGAATTGCCTCTTGATGTTCATTTGCATTGAACAACGCAATGGTCTAAAAACCGCAATGAAGCACGCAATATGTAAGAAAAATATTACCTGCCTTGATCAAGAAAAGGAAGTGATCAATCTTTAAATCTCGATTTGTGAACATGGATGCGAGGTCAAATGAGATCCTCGCAGCCAGAACCTGCTTTTTTCCGCAGAGGGCAATGCCCTTGGATATATGGCCTGCCAACGATGGCTTAATGCTGACGGACTATGTCATCAACGTTAACTTTTGCGAGGAGGTAATGAAGGGTCGGTCAGTCTTACCTGAATTGCGTCTTGAAGTGCTTGGTCCCAGTTGCACTTTCGTGCCATAACAAATGCGCGATTGGCGTAGGCGGTGTGGTCATCAGTGTTAACACCATTACTTAGCATCCTTTCAGCGGTAAACCAGTCCCCAGCTATGCATGCGTTGCGGACTGTCGAGGTCATAGCGAGGACCTGCGTAGATCATGTTCACATTGTGTTATAAGAGCCAAAGGTGGGAACATGCCTTGAAATCAGAGTAGGCTTGAGCCTTGGCATAAAAAGACGTTTAGAGATAAACCGGCGAGAAAATGAAAACAAACGTACTGTGTGTGTCACCTGCTCTTTCATGAGGCCGTCTTTTGAACCATCCTCTATCAAAGCATCCTCGGATGTTGGCCACTCTGAGATCTTTTGATCCACACCTCCACTGAGGACGTGCTTGCCATTCGCAGAGAATGTGACGCAGTTCACCTCCCCAGAGTGCTTGAATATGGCAATGTTTTTTCGATCTGAGAGTCGCCAGAGGCGGACACGGTTGTCATGAGATGCGGAGGCAAGGAGAGTACCGCTAGAGTTCACAGAAATGGCGTGGATATTCTTGAAATGGCCTTTCCAGGGCTCACGGACCTGCTGCCAGGTCGATGTATCCCACTCTCGTATTGTGGGATTAGCTCCGTTGCCTCCTGAGAAAAGCCGTGTGCCATCTGGCATCCATGTGAGTGAGTAGTTTAATCCTCCACCGATCGTTTTCAGTAAGTAAAATGTATTGTAATAATCACTGCAGCCCTGGTAAATTTGGATATGGTCGTCTGTTGCAATCGCAAGATAATATCTATGCATCGAATACCGAACACAGCGGACGTTTCCACCACAGCTGATTGAACATCGGGCCTCCTTCAAGAATTGTGGGTACCATATTTTCGTGGTGGTGTCAGATGATCCACTGGCCAACGCATCGTAGCCGAAATCTGAAGCAAAATCAAGTGAAAATATGCAGCCGTCGTGGGCTTTATTGACTGTTTGGCTGAGTTCCCCAGTTTTTCCATGCCACATGATGAGCTCTCCGCTCTCATCGCCGCTTGCTATCCATTGCCCATCTCGTGAAACAGCCAACGCCCGTACTCGACTGCGATGCCCCTCCATCTTCTTCAACACTGCACCTGTTTTTAAGTCCCATAGACGAAGCACCCCGTCATACGAGCCCGTGACCATGCGTTCGTCGTAGCTATATTGGGGACTGAGAATCGCGACTGCGACCACGCGATCCCCATGATCTTCAAATGCTCGAATGGGTGTAATTTTTGGAATGAGCGCCGCCATTTTAGTGGAGCCGCAGCACAGTTGAGGTGGGCTTGGTATGTGGGGGGATAGTGTCTTTTTCGAGATTGCAGAGGTGCCGGTTGTCTGATGGGGTGTTCTAAACCTGTTTTATAGCATTAACCCCTCAATAGACGCCCAAAACATGAGGCTATTATCATAAGCACCTTGTTTTCAAATATAAACGAATGGGCTCGTATGTCCAAGTTGTGTCACCGCAATTTTCTACATAAGTCAATGAGCCTGACCGTAATTGTTTCAGGGGTCCATGCGGCAGATAGGAAGAAGACACACGCGGTTCATCCAATTCACTCCGTGAACGTTCGTAGTGGAGATCCTACAGTTGTGAGGCTTCCTTCGGATCTCTGGTTGTTGGGGTTGTTAACATCATGGATGGTTGATTTGCCAATTAGCATTGAATCGTTTCAAACTCTGATTATCGATTATCGATGGTCGAACAGGTATTTTCTATTCATCCCAAGTCAGCTGTGAATCATCGAGTGAAAGTGCTAGACCAGGGATGGCCTGGGTGTGTCCTTCAAAGGGGGCTCCAATAGTCTCCAGAGTAGGTACGTCGAATTCATAAACTGTCTTGATTGAGGTGTCCGCGTTGAGCTGAATGCGATTACGATGGTTTTGTCTTTGCTAGTCCAAAACACGTGTGTCATAACGGCTACCTCCGAGGTTCCCCGTGTGAACATGTGATCGGACATCCTACACTTCAAGGTAATTCCCCCAAGATGATATGACTGGCATTGACTGCGACCTTCTAGCTCCCTGAAAAGTTGAAGTCCCCACCTGCAGAGACCGCAGACAACCCATCGACTATCCCTCGATACGGTAATACCCCCACAGCATGTACCTCCTGCTCACAAATATCCCGCGCCTCCTCGACTTCCTTGCCCGCTTCTAGGTCCCATTCACGAGTGGTCTTATTGTTTGACCCGCTGATTATTCGCTTCCCGTCCGGAAAGTAGGATATGGCTGAAACAATGTCCCCTAAGGTCAACACGGGTGTCAGAGACTCAGAGTCAATTCTTTTACTGGCACAACGGGCCATGAGGATCTCGAAGCCGGTCTACCAGAGAGCATAGCAAAGTAATATGGGTGAGAAGTATTCGAAGGACCGTCGGTGAGGCTTTCTCGTATCCTATGGCCTGATATGGACTTGCTTAGGCACAAGTTCTTCCATTCGACGCATCAAGAACAAATGGACGAGTCCTTGCAATCAGTGTGGTTCACCAAATCAGCAATTTCGCAGGTCGACCTCCTTACGAGTCTGAATAGGGTGGCGCCTCGATTTGTCATGAATCATGTATGCAGTCTTCCGCATGTGAATTATTACGCTGTTATGTTCTCACTGTAGCAAGCATCTAGGAAACTGCTATAGACTACCTACTGCACAACGATCTTGCAAAGTATGTAATGAACTACACTCACGACGCAACGAAGCAACATTTCGAGCAGAGAGCGAGAACATGTATGACGTGGACAAACAAAGAATGATATAGTGCCAATATAGCATCAGTGAACCGGTGAAGAAAGTAGAAAGCCATATATCACAATATATAGTACACAATCGCACACATCAGCATAATTCTGCCATCGGTCATTACATTATCATGTTTGACCTTGTAGAGGAAAGAAGCGTTTTTCATTTTCTTATATCTGCTTCCGATGTCAAAGCTATAGCTCAGGAAAAACCTCCTTCTCAAATTGGATGAAATGCGATCCAACTTGCACAAATCTGCAAGAATTTGACGATTTGGCAATCTGTCCAATTATTTTAATCCCTTTCAAATTTTCGTAAATAGGATCTCAATTCACGACAATACTAGCACATTATTTTCAGGCAGCTTTTCCAATTCAATTAAATGATATCAAGCAAATTCCATTAAATTTTAAATCTGACATAAACAGCGAACATCTATCTATCTATTATAGATGAGAGCGAGTGAGAGATATGTTGTTGTGTCGTCGTTATATTGTCGTCGTCGTGTCATCGTTGTATCCGTCGTCATCATCGTTGTGTCGTCGTCGTTGTGTTGTTGTGTCATCGTCATCGTCGTCGCATCGCATCATGTCGTCGTCGTGTCATCGTCATCTCGTTGTCGTTGTCGTCTCGCCATTGTCGCATCGCGTCGTCGTTGTCGTCGCATCGTGTCGTTGTCGTCGCATTGCGTCGCGTCGTCGTCGTCATATCGACATTGTCATCGCATCGTGTCGTTGTCGTCGCATTGCGTCGCATCGTCGTCGTCATATCGTCATTGTCGTCGCATCGTGTCGTTGTCGTCGCATTGCGTCGCGTCGTCGTCGTCATTGTCGTCGTCGTGTCGTCGTCATCGTCGTCGTCATTGTCGTCGTCGTGTCGTCGTCATTGTCGTCGTATCATCGTCGTCGTGTTGATGTTGTTGGGTTGTTGCTGTCGGGTCATCGTCGTTGTCATCGCACCATCATCGTCGGCCAAAGTGGCAAGTGAGAGTAGCGATGAGTGAGAGCGAGTGAGAGCGGGAAGAAAAGTTCAAGTTGAACTTTTGTGAGCGCACCGTCACATGAACAAACATATACAAATGTTGGACTTAGGATATTTCCAGCGCTGTAGCACAATTGATCCCGGTGATGCCTTGTAGAGCGCCGCTGTACTTTCACATTTGCAATAAGCAGCAATCAGAAACATGTAAAGCATTGTTTTGAAAATACTTAATGTAGTCTTATTGAAAGCGGAGGCCGCTGGAAGCGGTACAGCCAGTTTCAAAAGTTGTCCGCTAAAGGTATCTTCTCATGAGAAGGGCTTGAATAGCATTGTAATGGGATAAATAAATAGGGCCAAACGACAATGCACGAAATAATTGGGATAAGTCTACTACCACCCCTCATTATCTGAAAAGGAGGAATGTCATAGCTTTGTGACTAAATCTAATGGTATTTTATATTTGTCGACAAATGCCCGAGGCTCTTTCCATCAAAAGGCCTTAAATAACATTGTAATTAAAAAACAAGATCAGGTAAGATGTCGAAGCTCAAAACAATTGGCTCAGGTATACTACCACTACTCATTGGCTGCAAAGGCGGAATGTCCCAGGATTGTTATAAATCATTCATGTTAAGCTGGATTTACAAGCATACATGAGTATATATGTGCAACTCAAATTGCTCGCAGTATATAAGCTAATATTTGGCGGCAGCAGAATTACATCGTGCTATACTTCCCACGGCTACAATATCGAGGACTCATCAATTCACTGATGAGCGTACAGGCATTTGTTTTTGGAATAAATACAATTTCTCTGTGCAACGACCGGAAGTCACGGTAGCGCGGAAGCACGTCAGGAGCCATCCATCGACTCGTAGTGTGTAACCTCACTCTACTGTAGCGGAATAGCATTGTCACACTATTTAGCTATACGATATCAGCTCGGAAACCCGGCTTGGGATGTCCATCTTTCGATGTGGTGTTTAGTGGGGATTGAGGCATGCACATACAAATCACGGGGACACGTTAGACACGATGTACACAAGTAACTACAGCATTCTCATAGCATGCTGCAGGAGATGTTTGGTAGTAAGCCTACGTTTACAGTATAGGTACTAGTACCCTGTGACTGTGCCTCGTTTTGTTGGTTGCACTGCTAACAGACTGTTGAATGCAATTAAAGAATCAAGGGGATCCAGACAGCAAGTAATATTCATTCCAGATCGTCAAATCAGCTCCCTCCGTCGATGGGCGGTCCCGAGGATTGGTAGACCAGCATTCCTCAATAAACTGCCAGTATCGTTCGCGGAGCTTAGGATAACGAGATCGGGAAGGTCTTTGCGACTTGGCTATGCAGAGAATGATGGTAGCATCATTTGTGAGGTGATAGTAGGGTGCTTTGTTGGTGAGGACCTACGAGTGGAGCCCGTGATATAAACGAGAGGCCAAAATAAACCAGACGTACCTGCAGCATGATGCCGCCAAATGAATACATGTCGCTCTGCTCACTCGGCCGGACTTGAGATCCATCCTCTCGTTCAATGAGCAGCTCAGGAGCCATCCATCGCATGTTTCCTTTCAGCGTGGACGTCCAACAAGCCTGAGAGGCGCTTATAACTTCGGAATACATCAAGGAAAGACCAAAGTCAGCGACACACGCAGTGCCATCACCATGAATCAGCACGTTGGGCTAGAACTCACGTCTCGATCAAATCAAAATTAACGAAAAGGGGTCGAATTTACCCCAGTAAAGTCACCATGAACGACACTGTTTGCATGAACTGGGAACAATATCACTACTCCAGGTCAAGGACCGAGAATAACTAACACGCACGATATTGCAGACCAGCTATGATATCCTTGAGCTGAGATTGCCATCAATATGTGGTCTGCATAAAATATGAGGGGATACTTACGATCTGGAATCTTCTGACGAGAGTAAGAGCCGCGCCCTCGAGCTCCAAATAGTCCGATAGGTTATCATTCTCCGCCCAAGGACTGACTATCGCTATAAATGGGCCAAACCCATACGTATAACCATAAACGGATAGAATATTTGGATGCTTGAGGTTAGCGCATATTCTGAGTTCACGCATTATCCTCTACGAAGTCGCAGCTCATAAGGGGAAGACACAGTCTTTTGTCAAGAAACTCACCTTGATCTTCTTCGTCTTTGCGGGACCAAGTTGATCGGCGGCGTACACTTGCAATGCCTTCACTGCGACCTACCAGATTATTAATTTAGACAGATGGACAGACAAAAGACAGTGAACAAACTTTGATTAATCTACGATTCATGTGGCAGGTGCATTTCCAGATCTCCCCGAACCCGCCACGAGCAACAGGATATTCTTCGTCCTTTGTGACATATCCCGTGAGGTTTTGGAGCATCGCTTCGAGGGGGAGATCGCGAGGCTCATCATTACGAGCGAAGAAGACTGTATTCGTATGGGAAGAGGAGGGAAGGAGCTCGCGAGAGTCGGGAGGTAACCGGGGTGGCCGCGAACCTACTATAGAAGAGGGTATCTGCGGTGGAGGGGAAAGAGCTATGACAGGTGATATTGTGGTACTTGGGAGATGTCAGTCCCCGGTTGAAATGTAATGTGTCCCGATGCAATGGTTGGGATCCTAATTCATAATGTTGCCCCGACATCCTATCAGGCGATGATTGCATGTCAGCAGGCCGCTGCCGCATGTCAGTAGATGGTCGCATGTCGGTAGGCTGTATGCGAGAGGTTTCGGCGTGTCTGTTAATCCAGGATTCGAATCCTGGTCGACGACGGGCGAAACTGACAGAGGGAGGTGGTAGAGAGTAGGAAGGGAGGCGCTCTTGCGCATCTGGTAGGGCCTCGCTAGATCGATTCACGACGCGAGAGAGCGTGCCAGACTGCAAAAAGGGGATTAATAGAGTGGTATAGATGAGAAGTAAGGGATGAGTACATCAGCGAGGAATAGGTTTCTAGAAGAAACAGTCTGCAAGAAAATGTAAGCACGTGAACGATAGTACTATTCGGGGTTAGCTGCGCACTCTATCTTGTGGTACTGGCTGGATGTTAGCGAGGATCTCAGGGGGAGTATTGCATAAGTAAATGTTGTTGCCAAACAGTGACGCAGTGGTGTAAACTAATTGGCGCGAGTCGGGCGAGAAAAGAAGGTGGCAGATGGTAGAACAACTATCAAATGAGGCGAGGAGCTGGCGGGACTCAAAGGCCCAAAGCTTGATGGTGTTGTCCTGAGCAGCACTGGCGAGGAGAGCATGATCGAGTGAAAGTGCTATACTGGTGATGGTTTGGGTGTGTCCTTCAAAAGGGGCCCCGGTGTTCTCCAGTGTAGACACGTCAAATTCATAGATCGTCTTGACTTGAAATTGGGCAACTTCAAAGCTGAATGCGGTTACGATGGCTGTGTCTTTGGTAGTCCAAAACACTGGCACACCTCCCAAACCCCAGTCACCTTCTCTGTAAACAACCAATCTCTGTGATTGGACATCCCACACTTCGAGGCGGCTCCCCCCATTTGACTTGAGTGCGAGCTTTTTTGAGTCTTGCGAGAATCGGATTGCGTCCACCCAGTTGATACTTTTAAATGGACCAGCTACGAGATTGCATGTTTCCAAGCTCCATATCCGTGTTGTACCATCCAATGACCCACTCGCTAGTAGTGTGCTGTCCCCAGAGATATCGATGCAGTTAATACCACTTGTCAGTTCGAATGTTCTCACGGTTCCCGTCTCAACCTCACGGACTTTGAGTTCCCCGCTGTAATCCCCACCTGCAGAGACAACCCATCGACCGTCCCTTGATACCCCCACAGCATGTACCTCTTGCTTACAAACATCCCGCGCCTTCTTGATTTCCTTGCCCGCTTCTATGTTCCATTCACAGATGGTCCTATCGCATGACCCGCTGATTATCCGCTTCCCGTCCGGAAAGTAGGATATGGATCGAGTAGTAATGTATTTGTGGCCCCTTAAGGTCAACACGGGTTTTAGAGTCGATTGATTTACTGGCACAACGGGCCATGAGGATCTCGAAGTCGGTCTGCCAGAGAGCATAGTGAAGTAATATGGGTAAGAAGTATTCGAAAGAGCGTTGGGGAGGCTTTCTCGTATCCTGTGGCCTGATAGGATACCTAAGTCGTTCGAAGGTGCTGATACACTTTGCCCGCTGAAGCTGATCGTCAACTCATCAACACTGACAGTCCAGATTGGTTTGAGCTTACCTCGTATAAGCTGGTAACTTGTGAGAAGAGCGAGCAAATTCACTGCTTGACAGAATGTGCTCGCAACTTCTTGTATTTCCCAACACGCTCCTTCGGCATGGCACCTGTGCATTGCACAGCGTTCGCTTTTATCCGCTGCCTCATGTCCACCAAATCTAGTACTTGGTTAAGCACAAGTTATTGTCACGGTTATTCGCCCCACTCAATTCTTAGGCTGGTACTTAATATGAGTCTTGACCGCATGGAAAATAAACTAAAGTGAAATCGAGCAACCCAAACTGTTTGTTCGACGAAGGCGTCACTAAGCTTGTTATAATGTACATTATGTGGCAGGGGACCATACGTACACGATGCTGTGAATCCATCATGTGACACGAGCACCAAGGGCTATTTGAGCAATACAGCTACCGTCAAGATACAAATGAGAACAACTTGAATATCTGTGTTTCCAACTATGCGAGTAATCGCTCGTTACGAGCGCATCATCTCCATGGGAAGCATAGACCGCGTTTCGATCTTACTGGAGAGCTGAATGAAGTGCAGTTGATAATTATAGACGATAAGACGTTACCGAATACTTACCAGTGAACCAAGCACACAACTCGACCTTCATATCCTCATCAATCTTGTCCATCATGGACTGATACGATTCGATGGCTGCTCCAAAACTACCTGCTCGAAAGAGTGCAAAACACTGTTGCTGGTTCGCAGTCTTCCACAAGGACTTGAGGTTCCAGCCAAAGAGCTGTGGAAAACACGCAGTTGAGCACGAATAAAGTTTAGGTTGAGTCATATCAACATACCACGACAAATTCATCGTACGTCAAATGAATTGGTGATTTGTAGAAGAAAGTGCTGGCATTGGCAGCGGCAGTGAAGTGTCCAACAGCTTCATTGTAGCGCGCACCCTCCAAGGCGATATTTCCCATTTGGACCCGTAGGTAGGCCTGGTGTACGAAGGGCAGGAATCAATAACGACGCATGAATCTGGAATGAACGAGCGAATGGTACTCACTTCCACTATACGACAAGCAACAAGATCGACATCGGGAGACGCAGCCAGCTCTCGGATACGCAGCATTGCCTCTTGATGTTCATTTGCATTGAACAACGCAATGGTCTAAAAATCGCAGTGGAGCACGCAGTATGTGAGAAAAATATTACCTACCTTAATCAAAAACAGGAAGTGATCGGTCTTCAAATCGCTCGTAAACATGGATGCGAGGTCAAATGATATCCTCGCAGCCAGAACCTGCTTTTTTCCACAGAGAGCAATACCCTTGGATATATGGCCTGCCAACGATGGCTGGATGCTGACGGACTATGTCATCATTGAAGTTAACTTTTGTAAATAGGTCATGATGGGTCAATCAATCTCACCCGAATTGCGTCTTGAAGTGCTTGGTTCCAGTCACACTTTCGCGCCATAACAAATGCGCGATTGGCATATGCGGTGTAATTGGCATTCGAGTCAATATCCAGATTTAGCACCTTTATAGCGGTAGACCAGTCCCTAGCTGTGCACGCGTTGCGGACTGTCGGGTTCATAGCGACGACCTGCGTAAATCATGTTCACATTGCGTTATAAGAAGAATCAAAAGTGGGAACGTGCCTTGAACTCAGAGTGGGCTTCAGCCTTGACATGAAAAAGACGCTTAGATGATTAATTGGCGAGAAAATGAAACAAACGTACCTGATGCGTCCCCAGTTCCTTCATGAGGCCATCCTGTAAAGCATCCTCTGGCAAAGCATCATCGGATGTTGGCCACTCTGAGATTCTTTTATCCAAACCTCCACTGAGGATGCGCTTGTCATCCGCAGAGAACGTGACGCAGTTCACCTCTCCAGAGTGCTTGAATATGGCAATGTTTCGTCGATCTGAGAGTCGCCATAGGCAGACACGATTGTCATGAGATGCGGAGGCAAGGAGAGTGCCGCTAGAGTTCAAAGAAATGGCGTGGATGTTCTTGAAATGGCCCTTCCAGGAAGCACCGACCTGTCTCCAGGTCGATGTATCCCACTCTCGCATAGTGGGATCTGTCTCATCCCCTCCCGAGAAAAGCCGTGAGCCATCGGGCGCCCAAGCGAGTGTGTACTCGGATCCTTCACCAATCGTTCTCATCGATTGAGTGGGGAATGGAGGTGGTGGTGTGTGATTGCGACTGTAGGAAACGTTATTATATCCGTTTGAAGTGTAATTCTGGTAAATTTGGACACCGTAGTGGTGCGTTGCAATTGCAAGAAGCGCTTGGGAATTGCCTATCGGCCGTGGCGAATACTGAACGCAGCGGACAGGTCCACCGCAACTGAGTGTATGTTGCACCTGCCATGTCGATGTATTCCACAACTTCGTGGTGGTGTCAGATGATCCACTGGCCAGCATCCTGGAATCCGAAGAAAAGTCAAGCGAGAATATCCAGCTGTCATGGGCTTTATTGAGTGCTTGGTTGAGTGATTCCCCAGTGTTTCCATGCCAGACGATGATTTCTCCGCTCTCATCACCGCTTGCTATCCATTGCCCATCTGGCGAAATAGCCAATGCGCGCACCCGACTGCGATGCCCCTCCATCTTCTTCAACACTACACCTGTTTTCAAGTCCCACAAACGAAGCATCCCGTCATACGAGCCCGTGACCATGCGTTCGTCACGGTCGCGGAAAACTGCGAGTGCGATCACGCGATCCTCATGACCTTCGAATGTTCGACTGGGTGTGATGTTTGGAATGAGCGCTGCCATTTTAAAGCGGCAGCACAGTTGAGGTGGATTTTGTGTTTGGGCGATAGGTCTTGCTCGAAGTTGCACAGGTGCGTGTGGTGGGGTATTCTATACCTGTTTTATAGCATTACGCCCTCGCCGGACGCTAAAAACATAAGGGGGTTATCATAAGTACCCTGCTTGCCAATCAAAACAAATAGACTCGCGCGTCCATGTCGTGTCGCCGCAATGTTCCGCATCAGTCAACGGGCCTGGTCGCAATTGTTTCAGGGGTCCATGCAACAGATAGGAAGAAGACGTACACGGTTCACACAATTCGCCTGATTGGCCCTGCCCTCGAATTTTAATTAGATCATCATCCAAAGACGTAGTATTCCACCCGGTGATACGTTGAGCTTCTGTTCCTCAAACGTTCGTAGCGGAGATCCGACACTTCCTTTGATCTGCTCTGGTTGCTAGCATCACGGGTATTCGCGATTTGCCATTAGCATTGAAGATAATCAATCTTTTCAAACTCTGATTCAAGTCAGCTGTGATTGAATGTTGGATTATCTTGTATTTGGGGTTTTGGATTGGCAACTCCAAAACATGTTGTTTCTTAGATTTCCGGTGATTGAGGATGGCAGTCGGTATGGCGATAACCCTTCAGATGGGCCCACCAGTTCGTGTTTTCGTTCTAGCTGCGTCTAGTACACGCAATTCTATATGGAACCATTATGTATGTTGCATTTAGGCTTCTCAACATAATACACATTGCCACATACCATATGTAGCTCCCGTGCCATGGATGGTCAAGTCTGTGATGTTAAATCATTCTACACAAAGGTATGTGAGACATGGTTGAGCGCGGTGAAAGAGATACTTACACGTCATACATGCTAATACTGGTCGACGGCGAAGGTTCTTCTGGCATTGGATGCAACTGCTGACATCCCGAGGTTAACCTAGATTTGGACTAAAGTCTTACTCGAGATGACGTCCGCATTATTTAGCGTTTGCTTCGCGTCAGTGATGTTGTTGTTATACAACACAACTAGGACAACTCGCCAGGGCCAGGAGAAGTGTCTGCCACCCTGAATATATTAGCAATAAGACATCATGAGAGGGTGGAATCATATTAACAGCTAGCACTTGAGCGTGCAAGGAGGAAACGGAGGGAAACACCGAATAAGAACGTTCTTGACAGGACTGCTGATTAGGTGGAAATGGTGGACAGCGGGTCTGCATCATAATAGATATGGCATGTGCGTCGCTCGCGCTAGCGAGTTGAAATATATCCCAAGTCTCGACCCCACACATTTGCTCGCAGGACCTCAAATTCATCTGACCTTGGAAGTAATACGCCATAGGCCGCACACACCCAATGCAAATGAGATGTTCAGGGACGCGAGAGCTACGAGTAGGAATGAGAGGTTTAGCGTTAGTGACTTGAGTAGACTGTCGAATGCAACTTGCCCACTTCACCAGCGTCAAAACGAGAGCCTGAGGTATATATGTAAGCGTGGATTTGAGAAAGGAAGCGATCAGTACTTGTGAGAAATGGATCGAGAGGGCGGACAGAGTAGCGTCAATAAGAAAAAACTGCTCGGAGTCATAACAGCGGTACTTGAGCATATAGTGTGATATGGGCTAATCGAACGATCACGCTTAAGGACCGCCGCATGAGAACACCTTCAATTACTCGTTTAGCAAAAAATTTGCATTGGTGTGTTTGGCGATCTCTGCGGTAGTAACGATATCTGAAACGGCCGTCGCTCACCTCGAGGGACAAGGGAGAGGTTGGGACGAGGTATTTATAAGTCAACGAGGATTTAAAACCCAGCCATTGATGCAGAAGGGAAATCATCTGGTCTCACATCGTGTGATCCTAGAGTTTCTGCAAGAAAACACGTTTCAGACAGCATGGTACGAGCTATATTTGTCATTGTTTGGTGTGCAGGCCGTTGCCCGTGTGCTGCACGCGTTGACCTCGAGGAGCAGATTATATTGTCTAGATATCGTTTCTACCGTCCTTCTTTTGTTTCATTATCTACCACCTAAGTATTTTAACCGAAAGACTCAGATCAACGTTCTATACGATGGTCTTCAGTCTTTTCACTCGCAAGTCCGATTCATTACCCAACGCACAACTACATACACCCTCTCCCTCACTTTCACACACTGACTTACCAGTAGCCCTCTCGCCCACACCACCACCCACTACCGAGACAGAGCCCGAGCAAGAGGTAACAGACCCAACCGCCTTGTATGACCTCGTACGCTCTGTCCCTCCCCAGACCCTACACACATACACCCTCGCCCACCTCTCCCCGACCTCCGATCCCCCACTGATACCCCCCTCCCCACATACACTCACTGCCCTTACTCAGTTCTTCCACGAACTCTCCCCGCCGCCACAACTCCATTGCGTGCGCTGCCACTCCTCTTTCTTTGAACTTTCAAATACAGACACGTCTTGCCGCATTCCACATGATGATGAAAGCGCACTCGTCGATCGTGCTGCGTATGAGACCTTGTGGTGCTGCTGTGGAAGCAGTGTCGAAGGGACGGGAGATATGGGTCCCCCGGATGGGTGGTGTTATGAGGGAAGACACACAGTGAGTATTATCTCGTGCTTTGCAATTCAAAGACTGATTTCAGATATAGACAGACACCAGGCGTGCGCGTTTCCGCGCAGATTCTACCATCCACGACGATAAACTATTTTCTTGCGCCGCGACGGGATGTCACGGCCGTAAACGCAAGCGGAGCGTATCCATCTCTGGCAGTGACCTGAGTGCCAGCATAAGGAAGAAAGACAAATCCAAGGCAATCGCAAAAGCAAATGTCGATGCTTCACCCAAGTCAACTCCCAAGCCCACTTCAAAAACATCCACGCCCAGGCCCACACCCAAACCCCTCTCCAAATCCGGCTCATTCATATCCTCAGCTACCCTCGTCCATCCGAGACCTAAATCTAACCTCCACAAGTCTCACGTCGCATCACCAACCGTAGATGCCGTTTCCGAATCTGAAACCGACCCACAACCGAATATCCCTATCCGTCCTACTCGAGAACGCACAAGAACGCGCTCTACTGTAGACGAACAAAAGACCCGCCTTACTGCAGACGACAAAACGCGCCCTCCTACTGACGAGAACATGAGTAAACCACGTACGCGGAGCGCAGCACGGGAAGAGCGTAGTCTTTCGCGCACGAGAATGATCGTGAGAGGCGGTTCTGTGCGTGTGCTGCGTGAGCGCGGGAGGGAAAAGGAGAGTGAGAAGGGTATATGTGAGTCAGATGGGGATGACAGGGGACGAACCAGGGGGAGGGAGGTGAAGAAGAGAAGGGTGGGTGTATGAGTCAAATCTTGCATGTCAGATGTCAGGTGTATGTTGTGTGGATGGGACTGGATGGGTGTGAATGACATATTATACTACTATTATTCTGGTGTGTCCCTTGTTTAAGTCAGTGCGATGACACTGACGAGTACGGCGCTGGCAGTCGATATAACCTTCTTTTGTATGCTACTACCCCACTATATCTGGAGATTCACAATCTGTATCCATCCTAACTTAATCGCTGTACCAGACTGCTAGGAGGCAATCTTGTATCTCTACCCACATGAAATCTGATGATTTGAATATCTAGAATCGGTAAACCTTCTCCCCATCCATATGAAACAACTAGAACGAGCTCACCATCTTAAGACACGTCTCCAAGCGTCTCTCTAATCCTTTGTCACCACCGTACACCACAGAAAGGTATACATCACACTTTCATACCAACAACCTCCCTCAGGCTTCAAAGCTTCACCATTCATCCCAGACTCATGAAACCAGACGCTCCGGAGACGCCCTACCCCTTTCAAACCAGAAAAAGAAAGAAAAGGTATAATCTCATCCGCTGGGAAGGAACAGGATACTAGGAGTCCAACGAATATAGCTATGCGTCATCGATGAATATGCGAGCTGCCAAATCAAGCTCAAGGTTAAGGGTGCTTCGCCGCTTCCATGGGCTTCTGCAATTCAGTAGATTTAGCACCGCGGCATATTGGCAATATTATTTAATGTTACATAAGGAGTCTTTTTGTAGAAGTAGCCTACCTATTTCAATTCAACTGTGTCGTGCTGGAACGCTAGGAACTGCATCAGCGAATTCTGGATAGGTTTGGGAGGAGGTACTGTGACGTCATCCCGCTTCCTGCTCGCCATGATCATTATAGACTGGCCCTGTTTCTTCTGCGTTTTCTGGAAACAATGATATGCAGAACGAAATGTCAATGGTATTTATATGCTGAAACGTCGAACATTTCAGCATACAGGGCAGCCAAAGTACAAGTTCAAAACACCAAAGGCTACACAACAAAGTAAGTAAACGACAAACAGTCTGCTATTCTCACCGCAAATCAATTTCCACCGTCTCGCCAACTTCCTCCTCGCCATCCTCAGATTCCACGAAACTCTTCCGGATCTCTTTCTCCACCGGAGGAGGGGGAGGAACTTCTACGCTAGATGGCACGACTACCACCACGGGCGTCAAGTCATCTTCATTCGTATGGTTCGAACCTGCTTCATGCTCGGGCTTCGGAGCATGTGGTTGCGTAGGAAGAGAGGGTACGGGTGGCACTACTTGAGCTTGAGTTGGTGACGTCGGAAATTTGAAATTCCTATCCATCGTACCGTTGCTCTTGTGCTTCATTTCAGAGGGAGACGGTTTCGGTGGGGGCGCTTGCTCCTCCTCGTCCTCTTCCTCATTGATCGGCCCTTGTGTGGTTGCCGACGGTGGTGTAGGACGGCGTATTGATGGGAGACTTTGACGCGATGCCGAGTTTTTATGAGCTGCGCTGGAGCTGGGGAGAGAGGCTTGTGACATCGATTGGGGACGCTGGGAGTAGCCAGAATTGGGCGGGGTGACCCCGAGATAGTAGCCCGAGATCGGCACCATTCTGAACATAAAAACTGTCAACGAGAAGCGTTATGAATAGAACAAACGAACTTTTTTTCGCTGTGGCACGCTAAAATCCACTGCGGTTGAACCACAGGGATGCTCAACTGCAAGGCACGTTGATATTCTGCACCTGGAGCTGCTGCAACACCACCGGCTGGTTGCGCACCTGCGGGCGTGACTGCAGGAGTAGTGCACACGAAATGCGTCGTATCGATTTGAATTTTGTCGCTCCACTTTGCGCGCATCTCTTTCAAAGCAAGCTTTGCATTTTCCAGCAACACGCTGTCTGTGACATTTGCGAAGCAAACTGAAATTCCGCTTGTATCTGCAATTGTGTGCGTGCGCACGCGGATGAGGTTCGAAGGATAGGTTCCTGCGGAAGTACGGAGGAGGAGTTGAAAAGTGTATTGGGTATCTACGGAGAGTCCAGAAAGTTTTGTGGAGTAGTTGGTGAGTGCATTAGGAATCGAGGCAAGGCGTTGGCTGTTCTTGTATATGTCGAGGGAACGTAACTTCGCATTAGCGAGCTTAATGGGGGGCCATTCGAGCGTGACAGAAGTTTGGGTGACATTACGGACCTGAAAATAGTGGTGTGAGCGAGGTGGACTGAAATAAAGTGGGTGCTGCTCACCTCGAGCTGCGGATTCTCAGGCGAGTGACTTCCAAATGTCTCTAAGATATCTTCTTGGAGCGACCAGAACTCGTGATCTCGCTTTCGCTCCTGAGCCACGTTCCGGTGGACCGAGATGTTGACTATAGACCCAGTTGTTGCTCCAGGAGGAAGTAGTACCGATGGAAACTCTATTAGGTGAGCTCGGTCGCCCAGAAGGATCTGCACCGCGTCACTTCATATTTGGGTGACGTACTGAACTTCAAGTTGGACTTACAGCCATGCCCGCATCTGGAGTTAATATTATGAGTCTTATGAACGCGTCAAGTGCCAGTCACTTACCGAGCTTTCCGACCGTAAAAGTGAAACTATCCTGCGCTCTCGCCATGGTTGCTTGTCACGGTGAACAGCGTTGAGAAAGTTGGAGCGCTGAAGGTATGGGTTAACGTGGTCCGTCGTGGCTGTGCAACATTATTTCGATTCCCTTATTGGGTGATAAATGTCGGAAAAAGGTAAACGAGCTTTATAATACCGCCGGCTTAGAAGGCTGCTCACGTGCATTATAAGGGACCTTGTAAGTGCCATTTAAGGAATCGAAGTGCCTGGCAAGGCGCGTTATGTATTTAATATGTATTAAAATGCTGCCGCCTTACAAGATCGAACATGTGACCTTATCAGAACATCCCTCTTTGTTGCCACAAGGTCGTGCCATTCTCTTCTCTTCTCTGCACATCCTGTACAAACTGCATTGTCCATACTGTTAAATCAATGGCACCAAACCGTTCAAGCAGAAGTAAGTACAATTATACCCAAAAAACACTGACTAGTGGGTCCAAATGCCCCCACTGCGGCGAAATGTTCAAATCCCAGGGCTTCAAGCGGCATGAATCGAAGTGCAAGATGCGTGATGCGCAGGATCAAGAGAACTTTAATTGAGAATACGATCGAAACAAACAAACGGGTGAGTCATTTCCAATTTCATTCTATTAATATCAATCATTATTGACATTGATCATAATGGAACTAGCTCGCCATCAAGCTCAACGAGCCTTGATGGCAGTTGCGGGCCCATCGCATTCAATCAAGGTTGACCCTGGACCACCAGCCTCAGGACAAGGTATGTCAATCTGCTCGTGTTTGATCGCACTGCTCTGACACTTCCAAAATGATCTTTCGGCTGCACCTATAGGTAGTCCTTCATCGGATGGTCACAATGTTATGGAGTTCGATCCTGGAAATGAGGGTGTTCCCAGCCCAGGTATGTACTTACATCTTCTCATTCATCGATTGATTAACAATCATCTATGCTACAGTCTTATCCGATGCCAGTATGGCCACCAATGTCGAACCTCCGCCTGTGCCCATTGAACAACCTTACAAATTCAAAACCGAATTTCACCCTCGCAGTGGTCGTCAAACACTCTATCAACGCTTCGAGGAGTTCGGCATCACTCCTGAGACGCAAGTGCTTCCTGCAGAGCAAGAACCATGGCGTCCATTCCAATCACGCGCAGATTTCGAGTTCTCTGAAATCGCTCTCGACGCTGCTCTCAACAAGAACCAAATTGACTGGCTGCTCAACCTCATGGCCCAAATATCACAGGGCCAAGCTAAAATCACGCTGAAAAATGATGGACTAGGACGAAAGCAGTGAGGGGAGAGCTCTATGATGCGTGATGATGTGTTACACTATGAACAGAGTTTGGCTATGTGCGCGTGTCGCTGACTAAGCTATGGCTATCGCCGAAGGACCAACTGCCTCTTGTCTATGTCTCTTCCTTTGGTCTATGCCTTGGGACCCCCGGTCCATGCACCCCCCTAAAAAACAACCAACGCCGTCCTCGGCGTTCTTCCTACTATCACTTCTATTGTCCTATTCGTTCTCTTCTTCATCCGCTTCGTCTCTTGTCTGGTCGTTCTCTTCTTCTTCATGTCCCTTCTGTTTCTCTGATTCTTTCTCCGTTCTATCTTCTGTATCTGCTTCCGTGTCGTCGTCTCCTCTCTCTCTGATTCTGCGTTCATGCTCTTCTTGTTCTCTTGCTAACTTCGTTCCCGTTCTCGGGGTGAATGCTCTGAGTCGTCTTGCACTAAACTCTCCTTGAACTGGGATTCCGTTCAGCGCTTCAAGCTTGTACGAGTTTAGGATCTTCTCTCGTATACGCCTTGGGATTGACCATTTTGGTATGAGCTTTCGTTCCGCTTTGAACGTATAATCTAAATCATTGCGATATACTTGAACTAGTTGTCCGATTCGAAATATAACCTCACCTGGCGCTCGTTGTAGCAACTTTTTATCAAATGCTGCCTTCCTCTTGATCGCATGTCGCACTACTTCATCGTATCCGTCCAACCGTTGTTGTTCGACGTATGCTATTTGAGTTAGTGGGTCTGAAGTGCGTGTCGCTGACGCGCTTTCTTCTACATTCGTCTTCGGTGTGTTGACTACTAATCCTAAAAGAAGTTCCTTTGGAGAAAATTTCAGTGCTGGCAATAATCGATAGTTAAGAGCGTGCACCGCATCCTCCAGATGGTCTGGCCACGATTGTGTCAAGCCGCTTTCTGTCGTTTTTTGTCCTTGACTTTGATCTTCTCCTAAACTTGGTGCGCATAAGCATTTTAAAACGTGTAGTAAAAGCTTATTTGTTCCTTCTACAAGGCCGTTGATCCACGGGGAGTACGCCGCTACGATGTGTACTTTGCATTTCTTCGATTCACAGAAGTCCTTCACTGCTTCGTTGTTGAAGTGCTTGCCACCGTCCGCCATGAATGTTTCCGGTGTTGTGAATGCGTTGAAGATGTTCTTGAGTCCTTCAATTGTCGTTTTTGCACTACCTGATGTTTTATATTTAAACACCCAGATATGCTGCGAAAACGTGTCCAAGTACACGCCGAGCGTATTGTATCCTCCTTTCCCTTTCGGGAGGGTGAGATAGTCTCCAACTAACAGTTCGAATGGGTGCCGCCTGGTTATTGGCTCTAGTAGCGAATTTATGTGCGTCGGTCCGAAGTTCTTGCATTTTGCGCAGTCTTTGATGGCATCTAGGATTGACGCGTCTAGCTTGGGGCTGCATATTCGGTCCAGTAATGCGATTTTGATCGCATCTCGTCCCCAGTGGCCTCCTTCTGCATGCTCTTGTGCTGCTAGTACCTTGGCTTCTCCTCTCGAGACACATTCTACTCTTGTCCTGGCTCTCGTCGTTGTGCCACCTCGTAGCTTCCAGAGCCTCCCTTCTTCTATAACGTACTGTTCTGCTCTGTGTCTTGCTCGCCGTTTCTCTCTGATCTCCGTGGCTTGATCTAGGTTACATATAGCTTCTACGACTTCCTTGAATACTGGCTCGTTCTCGAATCGTGTGCGAAGCTTGTCTACTTGTGCGTCCACCGTCGTAACGTTCATGATGTCGTTAATTAGTCCTATCCTTGCTTCCCAGTCTTCGCTTACCGTCTACTCGTTTCCGTCTCCTGCTACTGGAGCGGTGTTTTCCCATTTTCTGCTAAGGCCATCAGCAACGACATTCAGCTTTCCTGGTACGTGCCTTATGTCCACTATATGATACGCTAATATTCCCTCTCTCCATCTTGCGTGTACTACGTTCAGATGCGGATTCAGCAGCGTGTCTCTCATCGCCCTGCAGTCTGTTTCAATCTCGACCGGAAATCCCCAGATGATGCTCGAGAATTTATCCAACCCGAATTTGAGCGCTGCGAATTCTAGTAAGTACGATTTGTACTTCTTTTCTGTCGCTGATGTCCGTTTTGATGCGAAGCCTAGAGGATATAGACGTTCGACCCATTTCCCTGCTGATGTTCGCGTCTTGATTCTCTGTGCTAGGACCGCTGCGAAGCCTTCTATACATCCGTCCGATGTCACTATGAAGTGCGACCCATCGTATCTTGGTGCGTGTAATACTGGTCTTGATGTAATCGCCGTTTTTAGATCTAAAAATGCTTTAGTATGTTCCTGCGTCCAAATAGTACTTAACTTGAAGCCGCTCATGGCTCGTCGATACGCTGTTTTGGACATTGTGCTGTCTATGGGTGCTTGCAGTAGTAAATCTCTTAGTGGGCCTTCTCTTTTCGCGTATGCATTGATTAACGTTCTGTAGAATCCTGTTAGTCCTAAAAACGAGGCTAAGTTCTGTGCGTCTTCGGGTTGTCGCCAGTCTACAATGGCTGTCAGCTTTGTTAGATCTGGTTTCACTCCTTCTCTTCCTATCGTTCCTCCTGCGAACTCGGTCTCTGACATGCAAAGCTTTGTCTTGCTCGGAGCTATTGAAAATCGACATTCTTGAAAACGTTGGAACAAAACTGTTAGCTTATCCATCATTTCTCTAAACGTACCTGTCGCGCATCCTCCGTCGTCCATGAACAATTCCATATAGTGCGTCACTAGGAAATCGTGTAGCCTTTCTGCTAATGTATCGCAGAACGCTGTCGGTGCTCCTGTAATTCCCATCGGCATTCGTCGATATTGAAAGTACCCTCTTCCTTCGATGTAGAACGCTAAATATGGACGCCACTTCTCCGGCACTTCTATCGCATAATACCCTGCTGCGAAGTCAAAAATTGAGATGTAACGTTGACCACTTAACCTCTGTTGTTTTGCTAATATATCCCCCTGCGGCATTGGGACTACTTCCGTTATTTTGTTAAGCTGCGCGAAATTCTGACAGATCCTCCATTTTTTCGGTCCTTTTTCTCTTGTTTCTTCTAAGGTAGGATTCTGTATCTCTCGTGGCGGTAACTCATAGGCTGGTTGTAGTCCCGCTGCTCTATGTTGGTCGTTGATTCGTTGCTTTAGCTCGTCCCATGGTAGACCGCCCGTTTCGTGTGCTCTTTGCGCTATAACCGTGGTTGCTACACATCGAATCAGTTCTGGGGATGCTCTCTCTACTATACCTGCTTCCAACATGTCCGTTACTCGCTCATTGTAAAACTTCGCTTGTTCGGGCGTTAAAGGGCGTTGATGTATCCGTAGGTTGAATATTGCGTTATCTGGAATGTTTAAATTCAGCGCTGCTCCAGGAATAGGGACTACTTCTCTTAGCGTTAGTGCAAAACTGTCTGCGTTTTCCGCTATAAACTGTTCTAACTCCTTTTTCTCGTCTACTGTCAGGTCGTTCCCGAACGTGATCTGTCGGAGAATTTCTTTGACTCTTGCCGGATTAAATGGATTCGTTTGTCTTGAGTATATTGACGCGTCGTTCCTCATCGGTTCTAACTCTGGAAGTTCTTCTAATAGTTGCTCTCCTCCTTCGTCTGGTCCTTCTTGTGCGTTTAATATGTTGATGCTCGTTGTTTCTTCTGTTAGATTATGTGTGTCAGTGCTTGATTGTTCTCTCGATACTCTGGCCGCTGTCACTCCCTTTGATGTGTTATTCTCTTTTTCTGCTGTTCTTTCTTTTGACGCGCTCTCTCTCTTCTTTCTGATCCAGTATCCTGTCGGCTTCCATTGGCCCATTGGGATGTTTGATGGTTTTGTTTTGTTTTCTAACGTCCTTTGTTGTTTCTCGTCTAGCGTGAGACTGACTGCATCTGCTCTCTGTAACATCCGCTTGTCCGCTATCTGGTTTTCTATTGCGACTGTTTTGATTCCGTCGGTTATCACGATCGTGTCCGTTTCGTATTCGTGAATTGCTGCGAATGTTTGAAGTGTCGGTTTTCCTAGTAAGAAGCCCCAGCTTCCGCCACTGTCAAAGACTTCAAACGTGCTCCGCACTCCGACTTCTTCAATCCTAATCATTCCCGTCCACTTTGCGATTGCTTTGACTATATTTCCATTTGCCATCCTTAATCGTTTGTCTGATGCGCTCCAGTTTCCCAATCTGTGCTTGATCTTCTCGAAGATCGACGTGCACATTGCACTGGTCATTGCGCCGTCATCGAATATTGCTCGTACTCTGACTCTTTCTCCTTGTGGACCTTCTAGCTCTATTCGGTGAGCGAACGGAACTGCCTCTCCATTTTTTAACTGAGTTTTTGTGACGACCGGGTGTCCAACCGAATACAAGTCATCGGTTTCGATTGCGTCGTGAAGTTCGGTAGTACATGCGATATCCTTAGCTACGCGCTCAGCAGAAACTTTGGGGCTAATGGTCCTAGAGTTGTCCTCGCATGTTGCCTCTTCGCATGCGAGGACTTCGACTCCGGCTTGAATGTGTTTGAGACTTTGGGTCGACGTAATGTTCTTTTTTACGTCGACCCGTCCACTTTTCCCTGTTGTTCGGGAATCTCTTCAATCCACGCTTCTAACTGTGTCTCCTCGTAGCCGTTACTCATGACTAGTGATATCGGTGTGGCCGTTGCTCTGTTGTATGCGCCCAGCGTCTTGCTCACAATTGCTCTCCACACTGCTTCTTTGCGCGTTAGCCTCTCTTCGTGGTTCGGCGGTAACGGGCAATCCCGTCCGTTGTGTCCATGTGTCCCACATGCGAAGCATTCGCTGGATGCGATGGCTGCCGTGCCCGGCTTTAGTGGGTATCCTGTCTCTTGTGTGACTCTCGCGTTCTCTCCCCATCTCGTGTTCCACTGTGCGAGCTGCGCTCTATATGCTGCTTTTCCTGCTGCGCTATCCGGGTGTTGCGGCATCGTTTGGACTAACTGCCTGACCATTGTTTTCATCTCCTCCGTTACTACTAACGGCTGTTGCGTTGTGGCCGGTTGCCGATTATACATTGGTTGTGCGTTCTGACGATTGGTTGCTGCTGGTACCCGGTTATATGTGTTGTTCGCTGTCGGAAGCGTTGGCGGTGTCGTGGGGTTAATCGACATTCTATTGAATTGACTTTGTAATGCTGCAATTGGGTTTTGCTGCGGTGCTCGTGTCTGGACTCGAGCTAGGTCTGCGCGTAGCGCTTTGAGCTCGTGTGATTGCTTGAGGTATTGTTCTTGTTTCTCTACAAGCCGACTTCCCTTGAGCTCTGTCACCGCTTTCGTGAACTCCTCCCACTTGGTATATTCTTCGTCTTTCAATAGATCCTTTATGATGTCCGGCAGTTTACTGCGGACTTGCCATATCATCGACGTGCTCTGTTCGATGCCTGCGTCTGTTGCGAGTTGAAGCGTCTTCATCGCCCATGCTACGTGCGTCCAGCATTCTCTATCGTAGAGCGTCTTCTTCTTTCCTACGTCTTCTTCTCGTAGTATATGCTCTAACAATTCTTTCTCGTACTCTGCTCTTGTCTTTTCCGCTATCTGGACTGGCGGCCAGCATTTCTCGAATGCTATCACAAATGCATTCCATGTCGCTTTGTCTTTCGACTGCAACACTTTGAACCATCGTTCTGCTTGTGAACTTGTTCCGAGGTAATCACCAAAAGCGTCTAATTTGTCAGTGCTGTCTGTTATTGTCTGCTGACGCATTGCTCGATTGAAGGATTTCAGGAAATCCGCCGGATTTTCTGATGCTCTTCCATCGCCGTGAAATATCTGCGGGGTCTCTACAGGCATGACGGCTTTTAACTGTGCGAGTGCAAAGAATTCGGCTAGATTGTAATTCGGTACTGTGGAGATGGATGTGAGCTGCTCTGTCTTCGTGCGACGACGTGGTTGTTGGACTTCGGACGATGGTATGTAGATGTCTAATTTTTGGACTTCTAGTTCTGGGAAGGGGACTTGATTGTTCTGCTGTTCGTCTTCTTCCGAGAGGCTGCTTAGTGACGATGTGCTACAGTGACTTGGTGTGTTGTGTCCTGATGGATCTGGTGTATCGAGAGGAGATGATGCTGCTGATGTCTTTTCTGACCAGAGTTCCCAGTTCGTTTTTAAACGAACGTTGGTTACCGCTTGTCCTTTTGCTGTTCTGGGTCTCAATTTGTTAGCTTTGGGCATCAAATATAAACGTAAATGCGAGTAAGATGAACACTGCTCTTTTTTGTAATTGGTGTTGTTTTTGATGTGAGTTGCGACGTAATAAGACTGTATGTTTCTGTAAATGGTTCGTTAGCTTCTATTTGGGAGCTTCTATGTTCTATTCTATGACTAAAATCTAGACCGCGAGCTAATGTTTCTTTCTTCTGCGTGCTTTTTTGTGTGATAGGTGTGTGATGCAATATCGCGCTGGTTCGGATTCTCTCTGTTCACCACGATGGACTAGGACGAAAGCAGTGAGGGGAGAGCTCTATGATGCGTGATGATGTGTTACACTATGAACAGAGTTTGGCTATGTGCACGTGTCGCTGACTAAGCTATGGCTATCGCCGAAGGACCAACTGCCTCTTGTCTATGTCTCTTCCTTTGGTCTATGCCTTGGGACCCCCGGTCCAACGAGTCTGATTTGCGCAAGGCATTGGACAATGCTGCGGCTGAGCTGACACCGGTGTGTACCTTCCCTTTTTCTTCAAGATATTCATTTCTGACTATTCAGATTTTTGTATACTAGTTTTCAAAACACGAAGTCAAGGTTCCCTACAAGAAGGAGGAACAAGTCTTCGAGGTACATGCGCGTCCCTTATGGGACTGGGCTCTCGATTTGTTGGATAACCCACTGTTAGCACCACATTTTGTTTGGGACGCGCAGTGCGTCTACAAACATGATGGTACGGACTTTGTACGCTTCTTTGATGAGCCGTGGACAGGTGACTGGTGGTGGGACATCCAAGTATGTCACTATGTTTGATATTACTCATGTATATGTACAGTAACCATGTTTATGTTATCAGTCTCGCCTCCCACAAAACCTTGATGCCGCCCCCTTCTGTTTCATACTGTATGCTGACAAGACTAGGCTCTCTTCGCATGGCACTGTCAAAGGGTACCCGGTTGTGGCGCGTTGCGCAAATCTACCTGTCCACATTCGAAATGGCGAGGGGATTGGTGGCGGTCGGGTGGTCGGGTGGTTACCAATCGTGAGTCCCATTCGCTTTGTACATACTCTGAAATTGTTTCTGATATAATTACTATAACTACAGGTTCCCGAAGATGCTTCTGAAGAAGGGAAACTCGGATACACTACCATGAAGTGTGTTGTATGGCATGAGTCATTTGTCAAGCTTCTTGTCAACCTTGACCAATTCTCGAAGACCAGGTATTCATATTCGTGCTACGACAAGATCTTACGCTGGTTGTTTCCCGTCATACTGATTCTTTCTGGAGATTACGAGGAACAGTAAGTTATATATACTACAGAGTCTCACTTTTGTTCTAAATCATGATAAATAGATGCATGATGTCGCTTATACGTGGTTTACAATGCAAATGCCCATGTCCAGTCTGTCTCGTCCCTCTTGACGAGCTTCACAACCTGTCGAAGACGTTTCCAATTAGGTCTGCGAAAGATGCGCAGGCCGCACTCAACGTTTACAAACAGAACCGAACTCAAGGTGAGGAAGTTTTGAAAGGGCTGGGATTGCGCCCTGTTGCAGTAAGTGGACTTTTCTTTCATTTCAATTTTACTATCAACTAACATTTGTTCAGAATGTTTTGTGGCTTGTCGAGAATTCCGATCCTCATGAGGCATTGAGCCTGGACGACTTGCACACTCTGCACGGTGGTACAGGAGGGGTACATTTACTTGGAGAGTTGAAGATGATTCTCGCTGATCTTGGACGTCAGGCACAGGACGATTTGGAAACACAGTAAGTCATTTTTTACTGTCATTGACACCACTAAAGCCCTTGCTCCCAGGGTCTCTGAGTTCCCTCGATGGCGTGCTCTCACCCATTTCACTACCGTCATCCATATCACCTTTAGTGATGGCAACAAGAGGCGGGACTTGGTCAAGGTACGCACATATACATTCATGGATGCTGAATTTTCGTGGCTGATTATCGCAAAGCAAGTGTTTTATGCGGCACTCAGTGTTTTAAAGCGCCAAGTCAGTTCAGAAGGCTACTGCCTTCTTCATGTCATTCGCAGTTACCTGCAATTGGATAGTTTGATCAGGCTCGATGTCCATACAGAACGGACACTTGAAATGATAGACGCTGAATTCCTCGTCTATGATGCTGCACTCAAGGTATTTTGTCTTTCTTTTCATTGAATTGTCATTGGTACTACTGACACTATCTACTAGGACTATGTTGAATATGCCACGACGAAATCCTCCACTGAGGACATCAAGACGGACTGGAACCTTCCCAAGACACACCTTTGGAAACATGCACGATGGGACATTGAATCAAAAGGTGTGGCACGTAACTATAGCACACGCCCAAATGAGAAGCTCCATGGCCCGCTGAAAGCGGCCTATCTTAATCAATCCAATGGAAAGGACGTTGCTAAGCAGGTATGCGCATTGATTTTTCACGTTATTTTGTTGCTAACAGCAGCTTGTATATACTTGTAGATCCTTCACGTTGATCATCACAAATGTGCAGCTCTGCTTTTGCGAGGACGTGTTGATACCCTCGACGAACAGCACCGCCTGCAAGCCTTAGGCGGTGACAACGATGCACTCGGTGATGAGGACCATGTCGATCACACCAATCATAATGGACATTTCAAGCTCGGCTCCCCTCAAAGTTGTGCCGTTACCATTCAGGACATCGAGAACAGGCGCGGTGCTCAGGACACAGCGTTTCAAGGCTTTCACAGGAAGTTTTCTAATTTTGTCAACATATCATTGCCTATGTATGGATTCCACTTGACGAGATGGATTACTATTCCGGTTGATTTCCAGGTATACTACTCTTTGATTATCTTTCATCGTTTCACGCTGCTAACTGCCATATGACTTAGATTCATGAATACCGCTACCTCAGGCTCAATTATGAGAGTACCGTCAACTGGAAACAGTCAACAGACCACCCCCGGTCCAATCCCTCTTTCCATGGGTCTCCGCGCTTTGATTGTGCACTCATAAAGCTTACTGCGGAAAAAAATGTCTTTGTTAAGATCATACTAATGTTTCAATGTAATGTTCCAGATGTTGCCGGCACCTTCCAACTTGCACTCGTTCAACCATACACTGCTGGCATTCCTGTTGGTGGCGCTCACAGAATTGACAAAGATTTAAGGCTCAATCGAGTCAAAGCTGTTCCTCGAGGAGATTCGATATTCGTACCTTTGAAGTCCTTTATCCGAGGAGCGGTTTTGGCCCGTGATCCAGAGCACCGAGACGAGTTTTTGGTTGTTGAGCATATTGATAGTGACATGTTCCTGCGCATGAAGGCATGGGCATGCCAATGATTTCTTCATGTGAGTTATGCTCGCTGTGTGTTTCGGCTCAAATTCTGACAATGTTCTCATTCACAGACCATCTAGCCAAAGTTTTACTACCCCTACCCAACCTACACACTCCCACAAGTAATAGGTCGGAGAGGAACCTTGTTAACGCACCACACCTCCTCAGCTTCTTTTTGAACTTTGTCCTGCGGAACAGTGTTCTCCCAGAAGTCTCACATGAACACGACATCCGCAATGCCCTCGATATTGTGGAGCTCGTGAAGAAGGAGCTGCCCTTAGTCTTGCCATGGAGAAACCTCGTTAACACACCACACCTCCTCAGCTTCTTTTGAACTTTGTCCTGCGGAACCGCTGTCATGCATGGTATGTGATTCATACCATGTCAGATATATATAGAGAGTGATAAGGAAGATATGAGAGACTGTCTGGCCCTTTGTCACTAAATTACCTCTCTATTTTTCCTTTATTTCATTGTCTTGTATTTTATTTCTCACTTTACAGGCTTATTTTACCTTGTATTTGTATCAAGCATGTGACCTTCTGTTTATTTCTCATTGTTTATTTTTATTTGGCTTCTTTCAGCCACCAAGTTTTGTATCTCTATTTATTTCTGACTGTTTATTTGTATTTGGCTTCTTTCAGCCACCAGCTTTTATTTGTCATCACATCATGTGACTGGGAAATATTCTGGTTTGTAACATTATTTAAGCTGACTCAACATGTTTAGTCATGATTGGCCATGCTTTGTAACAACATTTAACATGACTCAACATGTTTAGTCATGGTTTGTCATGGTTTCTAATTTCTTTGTAAGATTACACTGTATTTGTAATGTACTTAGTAATAAGCTGATTCATCACCTGGTTTGTAAGCCACATTCTTACCAATCCATCTGATTAATCATGCTTAGTAAGGGGGTTCCCAAAAGGTATAAAAGGACCCCATTTTCACCCATGAAATACAATCCTCCCACTTGACTCTTATCTCAAACTGTGTGAGACCACTAAGACTTAAAGTGCAGGCCAATATAAGTGCCTTGAGGTAATCTAAGATATCATTATCTATTCTAAAAGTTATATACTACCTTACAGGGGTCGACTATATAACTTTCATTATCGTTATTCTACTCTAGGTTATATACTACCTTACAGGGGTTGACTATATAACCATTGAACAGCTCTCATTCTAAGCTTTACGTGTATTCATAAGACTCTCCCTTTCAACGGAAAGTGAGACACATCTAAGGACAACAAAGTTGAAACAGACTTTCATAGGTTGAAACACGACCTACTAGGCTGAAACAAACCTAACGAATTTATCCAGAACACAGAACATTCCACAACAACTTCGTATAAGACTACACAAGAAGAGGACAACAAACTAAATCCTCCCAAGAACTCACCACGTTACCTCCCACGAAGTAGAAAAGTCGGAGACCGTGGACTTAAGGACTGGCAAGAAGTCTTCACCGTGTATAATTGTGTTGTCATTATACACAACTTTCATATAAGACCCTTAAGTAACAAGACATCACTGGAGCCCACCGCGAGGGAGGCTTCTTCTTGTACCAAACATTGCAAAACAATCGTAAACAAAGCACACTTCATATAATTCATTCCACCCACACAACAAAACGTCAACAAACATATTTAAACACAACAAAGAAATCACAACAATCGTAAACAAAGCCATACTTTGTATAAATCACTCCACACACACATCACAACATCAACAATCGTATCAACGCAACACAAACAAAGGTCAAACATGACTACACGATCCGTATTAACATTGCCTAACCCTGGAACTAAGGCAGCACCTGCCAAATTCAAGGGTGGATTTTCAGAAGTCAAGGACTTTCTGAAACACTATGAAAAACTGTGTGATTATCACAATGTAACCTCTGATGAGGAGAAATGTGAATCTATTACCCAGTACATGTCCCGTCATGTAACAGAATTTGTAGAGGGACTACCGAGCTTCAGATCTAATAACTGGGGCAAACTCAAGGCTGACATTCTGAAGTATTATGATGCAGACCTTGACACGAAGCGATATAGACGCAAAGATTTATTGTCCTACGTAAGGACAACACGAGGAAAGAAAATCCCTACACTCACAGCTTGGAAGAAGTATGTGAGAGGGTTTATTCGTATTGCAGGATGGCTTGAACAAGCCAAGAAATTAACAAGTGAAGAATATGCAAGTTACTTCTGGGAGGGGATTTATAAGAAACTCTGTATCAAAATTGAAACACGCCTCATGGCCAAGGATCCAGACAGAGATCTATCTGAAGCCTTCCCAGTAGACCGAGTTGTCGCAATAGCAGAGAAATTGTTACACCGTGACCGGTTTGATGCAGACCTATTAGTTTCTGAAGTAGAGACTGAGTCTGAAACTGACTCCTCTACTGAAGAAAACTCTGATGCCAATACAGACTCAGAGTCTAGTGAATCTGAAACCGAGTTTTTTCGTAAGAAGAAGAAGGCCCCAGAGCCAAAAGATAAGAAAGAAGTAAAGAAAGCTCAAAAGAAAGTGAAAGGACATGTCAAGGAAGCCAAAACTAAGACTTCCTCAAAAGATACTAAGAGTCCTAGTATCACTTCACCAGAACCTATGGATGAAATGGAGGGACTCATCAAGAGACTCAATGCAATCTCACTCGATGATCCAGACTATGCTTTGTATTATTACAGAGCAACACGAATCGATCCTACTATCAAAGAAATGATAGCAGCCCCTATTTTGAAAAGAGGTAATGCTAACCAAGGAGAATATAAGCCTTACTACAATCAGAATGGACAAAATAATGTAAGGCAAAACAGTAACACCAATCAGACATTCAGAGGACCTCAACCAGGTACTAGGTTCTATCACCCACCGAACACCCCTTTCAATGAACGAACATGCTTTGGTTGTGGTGAAAAGGGACATGGTATTCCAATGTGTCCACAGATCAATAAACTAATCGCTGATGGTAAGCTACAGCGTACACACCGTGGGCAAATAGGAAAACCAGATGGAAGAACTGTAAGACGGCTACCTGAAGAAACGATCATTGAAGCACTAAAGCGAGAGGACAGTGTGCCAGTAGCTCACTTTATCAAAGTGAATAGCGGAGACACACAAACCTATAGTGCAAATAAGCAAAATAAAATTCAAGAGACTAGGACCGCATACATCGAAGAGTATGTGAGTTCTGATAGCAAAGATAGTGACATGGATGATTCAACCAACCAGTATGAAGAGAGTGAAGAAGAAAGTGATACAGATGAAGAAACATATGCATTCCCAGTTGAAAGAGTTACACGAAACTCCACACAAGGAAGACACGAAAGGTTCCAGGAGGTATTCCCTCCAGGTCAAAGCAAAACCCTAAGGAAACCGAGCGAAAAAGATAAAGGGAAAGATAAAGTTCCCACTACTCAAGCCAAGAAGGCTGATACTCATACCAAACCTAAGTCCACACAACCCGTTTCACCCACAAAGACAAAGCCTGCAAATAAGAAAGAGACGGGAAAAGGTCTAGATAATGGGTGGGATAGTGAAGACATCATCATGGATGATGTGGATGAAAGGAAGGTCAATGAGAAACACCCAAAGACCAATGACACACCTTACAAATCAATCCCAAACTCTGATCGTAAGAATACGACAACACGTCAACGCGTCTCTGACATCGCGGCTAAAATTAAGCCAGAGAAAATTCTTGAAACAGTGTTGAGGACTCCTATCCGACTTGAGGTAGGAGAGCTTCTTGGCACTTCTCGTGAGCTTAGTGGAATCCTCGCTAATGCTATCAAACCAAAGTCCTTACCTAATGACTCAAAGATAGAAGCACATTCAGTATGGACAAAGACACGTGGACTATTAATCAAAATAGCCATGCATTGTGACGGTCAAGCGATTAACGCAATAATTGACATGGGCTCACAACTCAATATTGTAAACAAACACATCTGGAAGACTATTATTAATAGGCCTATAGATATTGCCAAGTCAGTATCTATGAACGATGCGAATGGCGGCGAAGGCAAACTACGCAGATTGGTACAAAATGTTCCACTAGATTGTGGAGGAGTTAGTACTCACGCGAATTTGTTTGTTGGTGATCACGTACCATTCAGTCTATTATTAGGTCGTCCATGGCAAAGAGGAAACTACGTCTCCATTGACGAAAGAAAGGACGGGACGTGGTTATTATTCAAAAATCCACTTGATTTAGAAGTCCGTTATGAACTTCTATGCACTCCTGACGGAAATGATCCTAATTGGGACTTTGAACCGTCCACTTGGGTCACTAATATGGGCGAAACGACAATGTTTTGCGAAATTAATGAAGAATTACCGTATTCAGAATTTAGCGCGCAAAACTCTAAACTCAAAAATCACGTGACCAAACAATTACAAAATGATCTCCGTGCCGAGAATTTTATTCGTAAGAAATTTATCAGCAAAGGCCGAGATCAGTCAGCCAAAATTGAAATAAAAGATTTCTCAAAATGTATAAAAGAAGCGCCAGAACCAGTGCTACGCCCAGCGCCCACTGGCCTCGTGTCTGATCAATCCAGCGCGAGGCATCCAGAAATCACATGCACATCCATTTTTGGTAATCTATTGCGTTTTCGGAATATGCCGGAACACGCGTTCGACAATACTCGCGCCGAACTGGCCGATTTCCTTTTTGAGAATCCCGGCAATTTCCGGTTCAGCACTTCCATTGAGAATGACGCGCTCACACTTTCCTTCCACGCTACTGCCTTCTCCCCACCTGCCAGCAACGACCAGGATGATCCTCCCTCTCCCTCTTATTCTCCCATCCTCTGGGACGGATCTTCCCTGGACCCGGACGACCCTGTAGAGGATCCTGGAGCTGGAGACTTTGTTGGAGGGAAGGGTACGTCTTTTTTTAATTCTTATTATATTCAAAATCTAATTAAAACAAATGGTACATCTTATTCACCCCCTCCTCGACAATTTTTGGCCAATGCCAACGTCAATGC